CTCAGTCAGCGACAAGTTAATGGCCATAGATGTCAAAACAACCGTTGCTGGATGCGAATATCAGAGACGCTTCGTACCCCCAACATTTCGAGGCCGAACGAATCAAAGGCGTATAGATACATCGGCTGATTTTGACGTATACGTGCATTTTTGGAAAATATTGCAGCTGTAGTTCTTGACGTTTCCCAGCGCCGGTTACCTACCTACCTGTTTATTTTTAAAAACTAAATCGGCACACTGTCTCGATATTAAAAGGATACTAGTATAAATTTCAAAACAGGGTCCTTTGAACCACATTAGTCTAACAAGATGGCGTAGGCGGTCATGCTGACAATTTGAGATCATGGGTTTTATATTCGAATCGAACAGGGCATTTTAAAGAATAAAACAGGCCGAAAAGCGATATTAATTATGCTAATTTTTCTACCATAGTCACGAAATCGCTAATCGACTTGCCATCTCGAAGCACATCGTTTTACGAGAAAAGCTTATCGAGACGTGCTAATCTTAGGAAGAACAGTCTCCTTTGGCGACTGCCTTGTTAAGTGTTCCTTCAAATGCTGTTACGTTGGCCTTGGCAAATCAGTCATCCTCATTATTTTCGTTCGCCGAACTTCTATTGCTGCTTTGTTCGATGGTCAGTCATCGGTAGTGAAATAGTTTTATTATGTCTTGTCCAGACGAACGACCACTACGATGGTATCGTTTACTGTGATATATATACATAGACGGGCGTTTAGTTTTAATCTATGATGCACCGTTCTTCTTTCGAAATCTCAGAGCTGCAGCCGACTGGTCTAATAGACACGGCTGAATAAGATCCTAATCGGCTCAAGTTAGTAGCGCTCGTCTGGACGACCAGACTAGTTAATTGTCGCGTAACTTACGTCGCTCGTCCGGCATGTCGCCGCTGAGCAATGGCGACAACGTTGAATTTAACTTACGATAGAAGAAATTCTTTTGGCTCTTCTGTTGTATTATTGGTTGAGGAGCGTGCTGAACAGCTAGCTCTGTACTAGCCGCCAAACACGAAGGCTTTAAGAGGAAAGAAGCCGAAAATATAAAGGACGAAGCCCGAAGCGTTGAGAATAGACCGGTGGATGGCGAGCTGCGAAATTAGACTAGGTGTCGGACGGACCACTCGGACTATTTTGTTCAACTTGTGAATTACCAATCTATCAATTGGCTTTGCTTATGGATAAATGAATATGCAATAGTCGCCGTTTGTATTTAGACTGTGAATGAGTTTAGCAGGGAGAATGAAAGGCAGACGAACGAGAAGCCTTTGAAAAAGGGTCTGCGTTGTATTTTGAAATTCATTCACATCAGCCCAACGTATTTTGTTGAAACACCAACAATCAGTCCAATAGAAAGGCGTCTTGGCCTTGAAATGCTTTTTTAGAAAAGACATGCCAGAGACATCAAAAGTTAGAGAAGTCATGACCTTAATCCTTCGAAGTACGTTTTGGATATTCGAAGGCCGATTTCCGAAAATGGGTCTAATGGCGGAAGGTGGTCCAAATGTGGGAGAAAGCTTGAGAAAGGTCGTCTTTGTTTCATATCATGGAACATGTTTTCCACCTTGTGGTACATTTCTGTACAGACTGCTCATAGAGTTACCATACGATAACTTTCTGCATAAGTTTCTGCATAATCTTTGCGCCGCTCTTCCAAAGGTCAGATTCTTTATCAGTAAAAATTAAAACACGATGTCAACTTTTTGATGTTCGCTTGAAGAAAGCTCTGCTTCTTTCACCATGAGCTGCTGCAGCGCTGATTGTGTTACCCTTATCCGTGTGGGGCAACTTAATGATTTTAGAAATCTGTAGTTGCGCCAAACGTGTGTCTAGCGAGCATTGATTAATGTACCTTGAGGTGTGCTTGCCACCTTCGCGTCGCCCGGTAAAAGCTGGGCGAAGGAGTCTCAAGATATCTGAAATAACTTATTTTTATAGTGTTTTTCTTTGAATATTTTGAAGGAGCCCAAACAGACTTCGCAGTCAATCTAGATTTATTTATGAATAACTATGCCAATTCCCCAAATACTTTTTTTCGGTGCTTGTTGGTGCCCAATGTTCGACTCCGCAATTAATAAGCCGTAGGCGGTCATTTTTTTATAATCTGCACGGGCGATAAGCTGCTTATTAATGATCTAGGGCACCGATTAATTTAGCTGAATTCATCTGATTACATCAAACAGTTTCCCCGTGCAACGGAGTTCTACCATGACCGTCACAATCGGAGACGTACGATTTTAAGTTGGACAAGCCATTTTTCAATATTGCGAAAGTCTTCGCACTGACATATACGCGAGCCAAAATTTCGAGACTAATGAATTGAATTGAATGACTTAAACGAACGTGGCACGGCAGAAGGTATTCTCCCAAACGCGTAACAGCAGAGAAGGACACCGTATTCTTTGTGCTCCGCAGCCCTATTAGTTAAACACTGCTCGTATCACCTGTGCCTATTATAGATGACATCGTGACACTTCTAGAACAAATTAAAAAAATGGTGATATGTTATTCATGTAATACATGTATATGGTATGGCTAAGCTCTGGTCGTGGTATAATGGCAACTCGCTGATGTTTACACGGCAGTCGATTTGTACAAGTTACAGAACACTAGCGCGTTAGTAAAACCATTTGTGCGAGATCTATTTAGCAGCCGTATCAAAAATAGCGTGAGAATTTATTAACAAACAAATCATTACCTTTTACACATCGATGCCAATAAGTATCAATAAATCCATTACCAGAACTAGACCACGTTGTATGCAACTCTGTTAAACGTCTGAACCAATAGCAGGTCCTAGGATTTGGCCGTAATCCTGTCATATAAGATTGAATGAAAGCGGGAGACATGTTTTGGATATGAGGTGCTTCGTATGCTTCTGCCGTTCATTTTGTTTGTGACCGGGTTATTTAGTGTTGTCCTATTACTCTTGTTGCCCACAACGCTCGCCATTACAGCTGCCAACTGTTTAATTCGGTGGCTTAATTTAGCCTGCGGCATGATTCTCGCTATGAGCCGTCCGCGTAGACCGAAAATCGAGTCTAGCAAATCTTTCTCTTTCCTTCCAGTCGGCCAACAAGCGTCTAGAAACCCCGTTCGTCCCGCAGCAGCTGTCGTCAAAAACATAGCCAACGATTCGAAATCATCGTTCTGATACGACCAGGGCCATTTGCAACCTCTGACCCCAATTCCCCGTGGATCCCGACCTTAACGTTAACCGATGGCCAGCGGCGACGTCGCAGTCACTCAACACCAAAGGCGATTATCGACCGAGATGGCAGTATATCCTAGCCGACGAGCAATACACAGGCATGGGAATTATGAATTGATACATCACACCATCGTTACCCTCAAGCATAATGCAACTGTTAATGGAACTCGCAAGCCATGCGGAAAAGACAGAGAACACTGTTAGTGTTCTTTGTTTTTTGTCAACACAGAGGTAAACAGAAACGCACGCTTGGCTCGGCTAGGATGGAAGGATCCATCCATCTTCTTCAATATACAACAGGTTAACTATTCCAAGGATTCTCCAAATGTATCACAGCATAAATCAATTTTTAGCCTAACTTAAGGTGTTAGCCTGTGAGGCTTTTAGTCAGATTCGAACATATAAACCCACATCTCTGTTAAAAATAATGCGGGTCGTAATTGAGGCCCACGTCACAATGAATAGTGTCTAACAGTGACGTTTCATTAAGTCGAGATGTCGAACTTCATTGGCAATGTTTATCTAATTAGACCAATCAGTCTACTCCTTAATGCGCGCCTTACGGGACATATCTACACCGTTGTCTGAGTGTCGCCCTCTAAGTCGAACTTAGTACTGTACACAGAATGGCCAAAGAATATCTATGGTTATGTCAAAGAGAAAACAAAAAAAAAACAATAAATAAAGCTGTTTCATACGCGTCTTTGTCTCGCATAACACATATAGATAGACGCATGTAAGCTTGAATTTGAAGGAAGCGCGTCTGTTATTAGTTTAAAAAACAAAGCAGGAGAAGGAACGAAAGCAACATTAATTTTTCATTAGGCGCATTGATTTGTGGGTGAATGGTCGAACATTAGCAGCCATTACGTATTCACTAACCTTCTAGGACGCATAGGTCTGTGGTAGGCAGTGGGAAAACTATCTGCCCCAGTCGCTGGACCAATTCTCTTGCGTAAATTTTGTCGAATCTTCAAGCGACTGGACAGAGAACTTAGCTTTAACAGAACTAACAATTTTTTTAAATATGTGTTCCTATTTGCAATACCACAGAGACACAAAATTAAAACACCGCAGTTTCAGTTCGATGGTTACATTTTCATTTTCTACTACGAGCGATATGGCAACGATTTTTCGACCTTTAGCAAACAAGAAGGCAAACTTTTTGGGACACACGACAAACGCGTGAGTTTGAAATTGTGTAATTAACAATAAAACTTGCTAACGGTAAATACTATTGATTTCCCTTGCAGGCGTTATCTCACACGTACACAAGAGTGTTTTGGTTCTGTCCTCGTGTTTATAGCTATCTAGCTGCGTACGCTGGTTGCTTACCTGGTTTCTGCCTACTCGTATGTAATCGATTAAGTAACGAAATTAAGAAAATCCAATAATTTCCTCAGCAAACCTTTAAAAGCGAATATATCTTTCCTATTACGGGTTATAGAATATTGAGGTTGAGGGATGATTTCGTGGAAATTTCTACCTGCAAAACTCTTCGATGTCTACTTAGGATCAGGCCAACATCCTGTACGTAACACGAGCATGCGAAATTGAAAGCAACAGTAATGCTGCGTAGCGTGTCGTGCCGTTTACTGCTAGTTACTAATTTCAGAATCAAAATAAGTTCAATGGGTTTCATCAATATGTTTCATCTATTATGTACTAATTGCAGGATCGCGTTTACCACCCGGTGCAGCCTTGAAGCTGCCAATATCTTCTTAAGTTAAAAGTTTATGCTTTACACAAACTGAGCAACATGCGACACTTACAAAGAAATCGAAGGCAGAACTGAATTACGTCACGATCGACGCTGTCAGTACATTAACCTCGCATTGAGCAAAAGTTAACTGTAACAACTTGTGCTCCATTGTATCTCACTTCATCAGGTCATGGCCAGATTGTCAATAGCTATTTGGCTACTTCTCGTTAGCCAGTGCAGTCCAAGTTTGGTGAGCACCTGTCCGGTTGCCCAGTATAATGGCTTCTCAAACTTGTGACCAAAGACTAAAGCTTATTCAAGTGCTCTTAATAGATCACTCCTCATACAATGCGCATTTATCTTCTTTCCAAACACAATGAGAGTTCGCAGAGATCACAATGGTAGCGTATTTCGTCAAACATTCAAATTTGGGCTTCTTCGGGGTCACCTGTGCACAACATTGGTCCCGGAACACAATTTGCTTGAATCGCGTTCTTTTCAACTATTTTCGGGCTTGCTATTCTATTTACGGGTTAAAGGCTCATATCGTTCCTGTGTGCACGCACGTTAGGTACAAGATAAAGATGGTTAAACATTTAGCATACTTAGGTTAACATTAAAGTCCTGCTACAGTCTACAAGGACTGCACTACTATGCACTAGTGATTGTCGTCGATGCCCCTGTCGAGCGTGCAAAGCCACAACAGACTTCTTCAGCGCGGCCAGCTGAAGCCCCCCGGCGGCACTTCGGCGACTTCTGTGAGTTAGCGAAGAGCGAACTGATAAAGGCACGCAATGAAGCCCACAACGAAAGAGAGAGAAGGCTCGCTGTTACGATGCGCTTGTAAATGAAGACTGACTGAAGGCAGGCTTCAGCGACGGCGGTCTTCTCTTACCCAGTTTTCACCTAGCCCTCACCCGCCTTCGTTTTCAGTTAGGATTTCGTTTGAATGGCCTGAGCTATGTGGTTATAATGAGGTGTTACACAAGTAAGTGCTTTTGCTTTACTTGAATGAATTGCTGATTTGTACCTGGTACGAAAAATTTAAGTAAAAAAACAAGATCGTACTTAAGTATATAAAATGTGCTAATGATAAATATGTTTTTGTTAGGAAAATCAACAAATTCTTCTTCTCATAGTACTTCCTCAAACATGCTAGTAGTGCAAAAGACAACGAGTGAATCTCTGGTTGATTGTGCTCGTTCTATAGAGTGCAGAGAACGTGGTCGATTGAGCACCAAGACTCTTCAAAAACATAGTGTAAATCCGAATAGTGAAATTAATGCCAATAATGTTGATATTTTTCGTCCCAGCGCACTGATAGGTGCCACCCCACTACCTGCAAATTAAAAGTGCGCTAGATCTAACGGGTCGAAACTACCCCTTTTAATACTACCTGCAATAATTATTATTATTTGGGCATTTATCTCCGGTTACTAACTGTGGGATAGACTTCAGCTACCAGTAAATCATTGGTAAATTTTATAGAAGTTGATAACGTGTGAAATCAGTTACAACAAAGTGTCATTCTGACTTAGTTTTTTTTTTTTTTTATAAATATGCTGTTTTCAAATATCAATTTTTGCTCTATGAATTCGGGACTCAATACTAAGACCATCGACAATCAATAATCGAACAATAATTGTTTTGGAAAATTAAGTTTAATTGATGTCTTCGGGGACGCGTTGTAATGTGGGTCTAAACCCGGGCATAGACACACGGTTCGTTTCGGGCTCATGCTAGGAGTCAGTCAACAACACGTCTGATGGAATTGTGTCTAATGGCGGCACCGTACGTAAAACTCGAAACATAAAGATTTAATTAAGCAGTGTGCAGGTGCGGCCTAAGCTGACCTTAATGAACCCGTTTTGACATTAGGCCGATTGTTTACACTTAGTGATTCTCTATTACACACTGCCGGAAACAGATCGGTTTCTAACCCTTGCAGGGATTCTAGTTCTTACATAATTACATTAAAGAAGCAGTACGCTACAGCCGCCAGAGATTGTTTCCGTCACCACGCTTATACATACGTAGTTATTTAGGTCCTGTCCTTATCACCAATGTTTGCGTCAAAATAAGTTCAGGACGTTATACTTCTCTGAAGGTTTGACTACTGACTAAGTATAATAAAAAAAAATAATAAAATTTATGTGTTGTGCTGATTTTTCGTGGACTATTATTATTATTATTATATACTAATTTTCATCCAAGGATAATTATTGCGGTATTTGATAAGTTTGTGACTTATGGACTTGATGTTAACAGATAAAATATATAGATATTTTAAGTTAGAGCCCAGCAAGGATGGGAGATTAATTAATAAGTTAACTAGCGGAGTTTATATATAGTTGTTGTTTTAACTTTAACCACAATAGCTTTTAGAGTCTAAAATAATTTAAAAAGTTCTAATTATGTACGGGCTCCGAACAGAATTATGATCTTGACCATATAATAAGAAGTGATAATAAGAGGATGTAATGTTCTGCCTTTGATGTGTAAATGTGATGTACGTTTAAGCCTTATAAACTTAAGTACAGTACCTGAATGTAATGGCAAACCTTTTAGCATTGTCAAAAGAGTAACTAAACAACACTACCATTGCTTCCGCAGTTTCTTAGCGGGCTGGGTCGACGTACAGGCGCTGTTGATATGGCTCGGTATTATCTGTAATTCGAGTTTTGGTTAGGGCGTTCTTTGTAGCGATCATTTTGGAGTCCCTGAAGAAGTGTGATTTCGGCTAGTCTAAGTTCGCATTCCAAGACTGAGTTCCAGACACCGTCGCCGTATATAATTCAGTGTATTTTACCATGTTTTAAGTCTGTTAGTTAAGCCGTTAGCCATATCTTCTCGACTTATTCATTTTCAACACGAGAGGCGTCTCCTGACCAAAGGACTCAGGCGAGCCGATTGTGTGGGAAGCTTCTTCTCTCTCTCTCTCTCTCTCTCTCTCTACTTCTACCGTATTGCTCTCAAGGGGCGCATGGGTTGGTGGAGCACTTTGTGCCCACTGCTGAGTGTGTACCTTTACAGACTAGATAGATGGCGCTCGCAAAAACACAATTCAATATGTACAGATTTTCCGTCGACATAGTCCCCACTCGAGATAATGCAACTAAAGGTATAGATCGATAACCACGCTAGCCTAGCACTTTTGGTTATATTAGTTATTTATAAAAGATGGTCAGTCGAATCAAAATGCTCAGAACTGATATTTTTTCTGTAAGCGCAATTTTGCATAAGTACTTTTTGTCTAAATTAGCCAAGTAAAAGCGCAACTGGTCTATATTTGATTACCATTCCGACTAAAACGAACTTGTTTCAAGTTACAGTCCTAGAAGGTCGCTTGGACTAAACAGTTGACATCGTTAGTAAATAGTCACTAAAGAGAAAAAAAGCCTCTAGTAGCACGCATGGGTTGAAACGAGCCAAAGTAAGAAATAGGCACACAGAAGTCTGTAACTGTCAGACTGTTCACGTTTCGCCTGCTGCGGTCCGCGATCCTCATTGTTATGACACAAACTTACGACAATCAGTGTTCGAGCCGTTCATTTTACTACTGTTCAAGGCGTTGTACGATGCCCAAGGACGTGTGCGACGCTTGCGGACTTTTAAATTCGACTTGCTCACCGATAAACCGTACCTGAACGGCACAGCTAAAGTATTCTAATTGTTAAATTCAACAAATGAAGGGGTTAAAAACAGCACGCTTCTCCGTGAGCTGCTTCTTATCTAAAGACCAACTGTTCAAAACTGAACCCATATCTGGGGACTCAGATGGATAGAGCCATTAGAATGCCAGCTTCCCTACTTTTCGAAAGTAATGTTTATTCTGGCTAACTCTTGGCATCACATGGAAGCATTACGTGTTTAGACAAGTACAAGATAAATTGACATGGGCAGAAAAGCATAAGCATAACTCTTTGTTTGTTGCAATTGACTGACCTGTTTTTTCCTAGAGGTTTGAGACCTCGTAGAACAGTCAATAATGCCCCGGGGCAGAGTGTCCCAAACATCAGTGAGGTAATAATCCTGCGACCTAGTGAAGACTAACTTGCACAACACGAAACTTCGTGGTAGACATTGTTAAAATATAAATCAACCGCTCTGCACGACGCAGGTTTTACGAGGTATAGCATTAAATCATTAAAGGAACACCTAACCCTTTCTGGGAAGTTTTGCCCGCTGCGTTCTCGATACCCGTACTCGCTTTTGACAGACGTTGTTGAAGACCTTCTATATACGAAAAAATGTATGTTAAGGTGTTCTTGAAAGTTTCATTGTCGGGGAGCCTTCGAGTTCTTTATTAAGAGAGATTTTCAAGTCAATATTAGAGAAAAAAAAATGTAAGCGATTTAATATTTGAAATGAATAGTTCTTTAATAATTTAGGTACTATTTCGATGTTTTTTTAAAGGCCCTGCCAAGCGTCCGCCGAACGCATAGGTGGAAATACGACACGAAAGCGGTCCAACGACACCAATACGCAGCGCAGTAAATTAGCGGCCATAAATGTACTATCTTGTTTGTAAACGTTGTGGCGGTGTATTAAGTCAAAGCAAATGGGCACTCTCTATAGAGCTGGCCATTAGCAATGTTGGCCGGGTCGACAAAGAAGCAGTTATCTCTAGCTTTCATTTGTGCCTTATTGATTCACCTGTCTGCGGCCCAGGACCGTAATAATAATAAGGCAGAATAACATAGCTATTGGCTTCGAAGCCGCTATGTAAAGCAGGGCACTGCATCACCGCCTACGGTGGCTAGTTATTCACAACATGTCACAGGCTCAATATGGCTATGGCAACGATAACATATGGGTGACAAATGGCCTGATTCGAGCAAAGCTTGCTGGCGAGGGCTATTCTAAGGGGATCTGTGCTGCGAATATGTCAAGCTTGAAGCGTCTAGTATTGCGAGGAACGTAGAGTTGGAACTCGATGTTCTTGTTTGTTGACATTACGCCGGAACTAATCATTGCTAGTTTGAATCTGTGTTTATGAAGAGGTGATTTTTTTGGATATCTAATTAACTCAGTAATCCACCAACTTGTTGTTATTGTCGTTAGCTTTTAATGTCTTCAGCTATTTTTTTGACTTTTCAGTTTGCACTGCCTAACCCTGCTTGCGCCATCTATCTCCTCTGAGTGCGTAGTAAAGAAAGAAAATATTGTATACAACCTGTATGTAGACTAAGAAAGTATTGTGTTGTTTGTCGAGAGCGATGTTGTTGTGCTTGTGAGAACCCGCTATTGAACTGTGAGAAGCCTCTATTTTTCTTCCGATTTGTCGTCACAAGGAACATCATTTACCCTTGGTTTATTATGGCCGTGTGTGGGTAAAACACTAGCATAATCACATGAGTGGGTAACGACGAAGGTCTTTATGAGCTCGTGCATAAGCGTACGGTGCTGTTTACAGAAATATTGTTTCCTTCATTCAGGTAAATGACGGACATACCTCGCCAGGGATGGCTGAAGTGGAATAATATGACCGACCCAGCTGTAAGGCTCTGTTGTAAGGGAGAAACCTCGCATTGGGTCACATTGATGAATCTAACTTGTCGTACGTATTCAATGAGCTAAGGCAACACCCAGAAATAGTGAAGAGCCCGACCTGAGAATAACTGGTCAGACTTGTTCGGGACGAAAAGCCTTCCTAAAATGATAGGCAATTGGATATTTCGGAAGTACGTTAACGCTTGCGTAAGCAGCAAAGGTTAAAGGTGGTAGCCTTTTGCAACCCGTAGTTCGATGACACACTAAATAGTAAATTTCTATAACAACGTGGTAGAAAGGTAATCAAAAGTGATTAAAATAGAAACAGTATTTTTTTTTTTTATATAAGTGTCGTTCATTTTATAGTAATGAGATATAGTACCAACAACCAGAATAACGTGATGAGTCAGTGGGGATTTTTCAGTTTCTTTTTTTTTTTATAAGGCGACCTAGAACTTCGACCGGTGGCTAAGCTACTCCTCGAAGTCTTCTACTCGAAGAGGCTTGATATTGATAAAGGCTTTACTTGTATTTCTAATAAAAATAATGTGTTTTGTTGTAGACGTGTATTTTTAAATTGCGTTTCAGTGGAGACATCAGCCAAAAATGTAGTAGACAAAATATCCCCACTACAGTTGTGCTGACCATCAAGGTAACGCGGGCACTAGCATCCTCGATCCGCCGGAGTTTTGAGTGTTGGGTCCGAATTTTCATATTGAAATCTATTTTATTGGTGATACGTCGTATCTTTCGGAGTCGCAGGTAGCTAAGTGTTTTAATTGCTTTTGCTTCAAAGGCAGTTTAGGCATGTGTGCCCAGTGTCGAAGCGTGCAGTCATTCAATGGTGGCCTGGTCAGTCATGCGGCCAAATCTAGTCGAGCCAACTCAATGAAAATCCGAATCAAATGATGAGCCCATAAATTTCGCTAGCATCTAAGACGGTTCCAGCTGCTACTAGACAAACCACGCATGACGTCGATGCTGAACATCAATCAACGAAAACGGTACACCGTCTTTACTTTAGACACAAAGTTAACTAATATTTCTCTTCAAACACACTCTACAGTACTACGTATTATCATATCGAGAGCTATACGGTACATCAGACACTCGCGGCCAGGGTCTGTTACCAAAAACTAATATTCTAAAACTCGTACTATACAATTAATATGGAAGGAGTTCCGATTTCGGGTGACTCTATGCGAGGTGTTGTATCGCAGAGGATAGCTTATAGTCTCAGGAACTGAGATTTTTAAAATATGGATAAAAAAGTAACTGTTGTACCAACCGTGGAACACAGCTTTATACAAAAGACAACAAAAGATTACTTTCAACTGCCTCTATTGTTGACAGTAGGCTAAATTCTGGAATTACACGAAGGTTTTACTTTCTCCTTAAACATAAATTTATTTGTAGTTTACCACTATCGTACGTAGCTATCACCGAGTGGCGGACTGTATATATTAAGAATATACCACAGTTTCGTTGTATCATTTATCCGTCTGTTTCTTGCCAAGTACTTGTATCTTCATCGTGGGTTTCATGTGCTTTGAACGTTTTACGTTAGCCTAACTTATTAATTAAATTGAAGCTAATACATAATGGTATGAACGAAACACTAATTCCCACACCTCAAATGTACGAGACGCCTTCATATCTTCAAGTTACGTTTTAAATGATTATCATATTCTATTTTTTGCCCAAATTAGAGGTTTCTCTTCAGTATACAAGGTTATTACGCTACCAAAATATTATTGGATTTTTGGCCAAGTTATTAGGTGGATTATCAGTTCAGCTAAACGATGACGGAAATGTAATAATTTTTGTTTCCGTTGTTTCGAGTGATGGCTTCTAGCGTGACACGTTAATTCGTATATACAAATGCATCTGCATGCCAAAATACTTCAAAGCTGACTGCCGCTAACACTGCTAGTTCGTCGGAGCAAGCAAAAATCTGCCAAGTGTTTAATATCATACGTACACCGGAAAAAAGACAAATGAAAGATCCACGAAAGATATGATCTGTTACGCCGTCAGCAGGACAACCATTGGAGCCGTTCACGGCGCGATTTTCAACGTTGGCCAAGTTTTAGTTCGCTTAAGGGATCACATTTGGCTTGCAAACAATAAGTGTCATCCTTGCGTTCGTCATCTAACGCAAAAATCTTTTTCGCCATTATCTCAATGTCGATTCCAAGTGAAATTTATATATGCCCATGTCGCATCTATCTAGCCAAACACTGCGGAGATCATTGGCCCTTCACTCATGATTATAGATAGCTGATTGGGTGCCAGATGACAACTAAGGCACAGTTCGGGGGTAGATCATCAATCTTAGGGCAACGCGAAAACTTTCGTGACTAATACGTCACAGACAGCGTCGCCAAAGTTCAACTGGTCCACTGAAGGCGATCGGCCCTCTACTCTGTACACGCAGCCGCGATACAGACCTGCATCGATTAGTACAGTTACAGGACTAGTAGCTGTTAAGGCACGGGCGCCGGTCGTATACGTGCCAGTCTTCTCTACCGAGTTCAAATGGTGTGTCATAAGTTGTATAGCAATTACATTTCTGTTTATCGCGTCAACTGAAAACACAATGCCCACGCTTACGGATGTCGTGAGGTGGGAGTCCGACAGCAAGGCTGTTGTTGAAAGTGGTCACTGCTTATAAATTCTAGATTACGAACAAAAAAAAAACAATGGTTGGTAGCGTGACGATAAACGAGATAACTCGCTCATAGAGGCTTTAGATAATGAATTTATGAAATGACATTATTCTCTCAGGTTCCTTTTGATATTGTGCAAATAAAAGTAATAATAAACACAAAAAAACAAAAATTTTTTGTTAACAATTGTCGACAGCCCTCCGTAGCAATAGACTGCGTAAGAAACAAAGGCAAACGCTCTAGACATATCACAACTGCAACTGAAGTATTCCGTTCAAATAAACACTAAAGCATATTTCAGGCTATTTTTTACTTTATATCATGTTATTCTCGACAATGACGTATGGTCTTCCAGCTAGGTTATTCTTGCTTGCAAGGCATAGTACTATCAATATTTATGTGTGTACAATCCTGTTTGAAGCTGTTACGTTATGTTTGCCATCTTTTCTTATCTCTAGCTAGCCTAGTTCGCATATATGCCGATAGTGAGCGCCACCTATCAGTCACACTTCTGAGAAATATGTGTGTATTATTATCTCCGACATTGGAAATCTAATAGGACCGCGAAGAAGGTGCTTTTAAAAAGGCGCCACAACTGTAAGAACCATGCTTACACATCTAGTAGTTGTCAATGTATAGAACGTATGTGTTTGTCTTACTATTCTATTTGCAGTTAATTTGTTTTGTGAATCACAAGGATGATTGTAGCTTATCTAATCGCTGGACAAGTCTAAGACCGGCGTTAGAGGATTACCGTAATAGAAAACAGCGAGCTTATAAGGACTGCATGAAAAACAAATAAACGGGCTTCAACAATAGTTCACGAGACTTCGGACTTAGTGCAAGCTTAATAATAAATAAGACTTACAGGGTTTGCATTCAAATCGTTCGTCCTTGTATACCTAGAGGGGCCATAACAATAGAAGCTTTTTTTTATACGAACGTACCAAGTCATATAACATGAATCGACGCAACGCATTAAGGAATTGTGCCAGTATACCTGCCGACCGGCAAAAGTTCTGCAAATACAAAATTCCTAATTACCACTATAACACTAGAGGTTTCTATATCTGGACGAATTGACTATCTTTAAGTTGCACGTGATTAAAAATAACATGAAAATAGCTGATAAGCATGGTTTTAATAAACTCCTCGAAGCGAGATCACACCTTGCGTCCTCGATCAAAAACAAGTCGACTTGGAAATAAAGAGAGTTGATCCATCGCTCAGAAAAAAGGCCACGAAGTGACCTAATTCAGTAACACTAATAACAGCGATCAGCAATACATATACTCGCCCTAAGCTTTTTTATGGCGTTCGTTTCACAAATCCCCTTGGAAGAATTCGCTTGAAGACAATGTACTATCACCCATAACAAAAAAAAAGACTTTAAGTGAAGCGGCTCGGCTAGTCTTATTATGAAATGTTTCTTAAGGTTATGAAACGCCTTAATCAACATGCTGCACGTTTTCCCCAATAGAAACTGTTAGAACGCTAAGCTCCAGAAGCTAACAGTCGTGGATTCTTAATTGTCCTATTTAGCAACGCGCACTCGAGATGCTTAATCTTGTATTGCTGATTTAAATACAGCATGAATGAAAATGGTAGTTGAAGATCAGATAGGTCTATGGGGGGAAGTGAAGGCGAAGGAAACGAAACTCTGCACAACAAATTTGTTGTTGAGTGTTTCAATTCGGGTTTCAGAAGTCTGACCCGAGAAGCTAACCTACAACATATTGAAAAACTCTTGTACAAAAGCCGCTAAAGGTCTTTCGGCAAAGGAGCGCAAAGCATCGTTAGCGAAGTTATCGTGATAGAGACAATCAACCAACAACATGACGAAGATGACAACTCAGTAGTTTCTCTAAAGAAAGAAAATTAATTTAATAATTTCTAGCATTTACAATATAATGCGAGGCTCATTATAATGACAATCATCACGTTCGTGGTCAGGCCACGTTTGTTCCTTGTTAGTGATCGTCCTGATACTTAAGCACCCTCGTTACTATGCATTAGAAATAGGTGCTACCGTTGTTTTCATAGTTTCGCTCAAATGTACTGTGAGCTTTCTCGTAACTACAATTCATCAACTGTATCACATGCATACAAGGAACCCAGTGTATTTAACATCTAGTAATAACTTTTTTCTGAATTCGATTTGTATCGAGTATCGAGCACATGCAATAAAGTCAAGCTAACCAGATAGCTAGTTAATGCAAACCATCAGCAGTTGGTCCGACGCATGTCCAAGGCAAGTCTGCTTCCTGAAATAAATTCTCTCAGTACCAACCTAGAGATTACGGGTAAGTATTCATGACTGTATGCTTCAAGGTGCGAACTAACTTTATTTTTGACAAAAGCCCTAAGGCCACATACTTCAATTTAAAGGGTGAAATGACGTTGAATCGTCAGAGCACAAATATCATATTACGTCTTTATTAGGAAATAAAACTTTGCGCCTTGGTGGTTTTACCCAACGACAGGGCATATTCGCACGTGCCTTTTTTATACCGCGTATGGTACTTAACGTTCTATTATCGCATTTTTATTATTTGGTTACCTAGCCAAAGCGTTAAGAAACTTATTCATTGAGAAATAAAACGCGTATTTTAATATATCCTTACTGCCTTAAAGTACTGCATCTCTCTCTGCTATTCATTCGTGCATTTCGATCTTTCTCGTTGCTCAGTCACTTATCGAATGCATTACCATTTATCTGAAGCAACGCTCAACGGTAGTAGCGAATGTAAGAGGTTGAAACATTTCCTTTGAATCTTGGCAAAAATATTTACTGAATTCGCACGTAAGCACATTTATACAAGCTGTGTACTAAAGCAAACAGAAATTGTTGGACAAATCTGTAGGTACCTGTAAGTACTTTAATAAGCATAATGCCACATAAGTAAGTAATTTATAAGCAAAGCTCTCGTCCACCGTACTTATCATGACTATATCGTCCAACAATGTTTACAGGCTCTCTGATCCAAAAACGTCCCGCCAAAAAATTTAAACTACTCGACGCGCGCTCTGGCGGATCGGCGCAGCCTTATATCTCCCAGCCATGGCATTATACAACCGTTTTCCCGTGCTGTGGAATTAGCAATATTCTACAGCGGTCGCCAGATCCGCGCGCTCATTCAGTCGGCTCGGCCTATTGCCGCCCGGCCCACAGATCGAGCATGACTCGCCGCTCTCACGTCATCCATAGCCCGCGCATCGTCCGCTGTCTGCCGCTGTTTGCCCGCCAACGGCCCTATTTGCATGTATCCCATTTGTGCCAATCCAGAACACAGCAATACAGATGGACAGCTGGTTGGTCCGCGCAGGGCGCTGAGTGCTTCTCTCTTCGCTGCCTTCCCTCACCTGCGCAATGCCTGAAATTGTTTCATTGGTTGACTTGTTTTTGTCCAATGTCTGGGATTGCCCCTGTCTGGGATTTAGCGGTGCCGGGTGGCAGCGGCAACTTTATCGAACTACCCGCAGTTGACTTTCGATTTTGTTTTGTACAACCGTACACGCTACAACCCACGTCTGTATATACTTCCACGTCGCAAAACGTGCGCGTCTACCAGCAGGCGGCTACAATGTTTCACTCTCGCTCTCTCTCACTCTCTCTGCTGTTACTCTAGTGTATACGAATGCGAAAGGGCAGCATTGCTGTGTTCATCTGACGGAGACGATTTTTCGCCTGTCTGGGAAATAAAATGGTTTATTCTAGCATCGACTAGCATGTTGCCGCAATTGTTCGGGATGCGTGTAAGTCTCCGATGTGTTTCGCATGCAAGGTTGCTTCTACTCGAATCGGTCATTAACTTCCTCGTTAGTTTCGTTTTTGCACTCTTTGTCTACGGACTGCCGTTATTCGACAGTTGTTTCGGCAATAACGTTTGTTACCGTCTCGATCGCTCTCGGCCCGTGTCCATCTGCCCCTCGTGCCGTTTTCGTCTGCTTCTACGAGTGATTCGAAGTTAGTCAGCCGCCGCCGCCGTCGTCTGTGTCTACGTACAGGGACCAACTCCCGCGCTAGTGACGACAGTCAGCAGTTGACAGTGGTCCGCCGGCCGTGGCAAGCGCTGATTGTTGTCTTCATTGCTACTAATCCACTAATGTCCGTTCTTTTGTTGGTTTGTGAACGACAACAGCACGATCGCGCTATATGCAGCAAATGCACGGAGCAGAAACACCTGCAGCGATAGTAGAAGTGCCAGTTATAGTGAAGAAGAGGAAGCACAGCGGACAGAAAGGGGACAAACGGCTACATACACACGTGAGGGAGAGAGGGCAATACGACTACAGCAGCAACGGCCGCCGCCGCCGCCGCAGCAGCAGCAGCAGCAGCAGAAACTGCTGCAGGATCAACTGCTGTGGCCGCTGCAGCAGCACCAGCAGTGAGTGAATTGGCCAGCGGGTGAGCGACGGCGAGTAGCAGCCGCGGAGTGGAGCAGCGCCCGCTGCAGCAGCAGTAGTAGTAGTAGGGGTAGACTCCTCAGCACCGCTACTGATTCCACCGTGGTTAAACAACTTTAGCAGCTGCAATGGTGGTGGCAGCAGCAGCGTAAGTGAACAAGCCACTGTTGTTGTGTATGTGGAGCGATGCAAGCTGCTATTCAACATCCGCTACTTCAAGTGCTCACTCAGTATAATATTGTAGCATTATTAGCTAATCTGATTAGCGTTGCGATTGCTACAGTCATTCAGGACCGTGCAGAGCGATTCAAGCGGGTAGCAGGTATCCAAACGCAGAGAGTACGAGCCTAGAGAGGATTTGTGTATGTGTGGGCTGGTTATATTCGTTGTTGTTGTTGTTATTGTGGTTGTTGTTGTTGTTGTTGTTGTTGCTGTCGCTGCTGCTGCTGCTGCTGCTCTTCACGGTAGAATTCTCCACGGTTTTGTGATGACTGAACGTGCGTTGCTACGTCTGAGTACATCGGTGGTGGTCTGGGTGGAACCTGCGTGCTGGGTCGGTACGACAGTGTCGTAGTTGTGACGAAGCGCTGAATCTAGTGCTGCTGCTACGACCGTAACTGGAGCTGATGACCATAATCTAGTTGTTGGCAACGGTAACATCAGCACGTCTGCAACGTCCACGATAAGACCCAGCTGCCAGCTCCCGTCTTTTCTTCTTGCTTGTTTTGCCATAGCAGTGGGCCTATTTGATGTGGCTGCGGCGGTAATCAGCTACGGCTGCAAGTTGAACGTTTTAATTCAATACGAATTGCATGGGAAGTACACAGACGTCGAAGGACAAACAGTATCTATTGGTACTTAGACAATAGCAATCACATATACGATACTGTTACAGACTTCAGTCCGTCGTTGAAATAAGTACGACTTGTGAACAGCTAAAAATGTTACGATTAACGACGCCGTTGCACGTAGCGGTGTTGTACCCAGTTTTGCCGTCACAGTCGCTGTAGTGTCTTGGCCCACTTCGGCAAGAACTGTCCCTTCAAACAAAGCACTCGGGCCGGAACAAGCTATAGCGTTACAGAAGCTGGAACAGGCTGGCATCTCGTTGCTTTCAGTGCTGGTATCACGACCATAGTGCTCTAGCAATGTACAGAGTGTATCAGCGATAGCAGCAACGATGGAAGCTGGAAGAGTTTAGCTAGCATGCGACAACCGCGTTGGTTGAATGAATAGATTTCCACCAAAATCGTCCAACAGCAGCAACGTCATAGGGGCTATTGGTGTGTCGTTCGCTACTAACGAACGTTACGTCCATTAGAGGAAGGGTCAATATTACCCCTTCGATCGCGACAGCTGCAGCCGTAACGCTGGTGCGTGTCTGCCTGCCTGCCTGCCTACCTACCTACCTACCTACCTACCTGTGAGTAGTTCAACTGCAGCCGCTGACAAGCGTGCTTATTTTCTACCTGATCCTTGTATGTAATAACACAGACGAGAGTGGTCTTACAGCTCGCGAAACGTTCCAAGTCATATAGTGCGGTATTGAAGTACTCGTGTAACTGTTGCTGCCCGCCCGTGACACGTCCTCTATTTTGCGCGTGTATGTCAAACAGAAAAAGAGGGCTGCAAAGAAGTTAGTGCAGTGTTCAGCCGATAAGAGGAGCAACACGAGCATAGTCGAACTTCGGTTGCTTGCAAGTGGCAATCGCAGCAGAGACTGGCAACGATCTGGGCAACGGAAACAGCCGCAAGATAACGACACAGACTAGATAAAAAAGACGCGAGATCAGCGCAACAAATCCAGGAATACTTGACAGTGGCTAAGATAGAGGATAAGACAGGTTAGTTAGAAGCGGGCTGGAAAAAAAAAAGGAATAAATATTGTTAGCTACTGAAGATCGTCTTTTTTGCCTTATGCCATTTATGGCAATCAGTATCTTGAATGTGTCTAGCTGTTGAGCGGTCCACGAATCAATCATTGGTTCACACCCGCCATGTCCATATAGAACACGTTATGACAACAGATCCAAGAAGCAAACAGCTCTTTGTTTCAGCACCATTTGATGCAAGCTCTAATTTCATTACTGTTACCACATAGGCTTTATTTTTGGTGTGCATTATATGCATACTGTGCTGCTTCAGTATCTGTAGTATCCACCAGCCTGTGTGGAACCGGTTCCATTCTATCCAGACGAGTCTCTTTGCTACTAACTTTTACTTGCTCCTATCCACTGCTCTCTATGACTATTTCTCCGCAAGCCTCTTAGTAGTGATGATTGAATGTGTGGCAATCACGCAGCGTGTTTTGCCAACCAATAATGGTGTGTGGTGAGGTCCTTGCCGATTTTGGCCTAACATGCGTTCAGTGATGGTAAAATATGCCCACAGATATAAATGGCGAGAATCATCTACCATGAAATATACCAAGGTGCACATACACGTGCAATAGATTGGCAGAGATCGCTTCTTTCTATTAAAGTCCTCCGTTAATAGTAGAAGTCTTTGTTGTCCACAGTTCATCTACGTGTTGTGCCCCAGTGGCCCGTGTTGTCGTCGTTTGCCACGTAATAACGTGGACGCTGCGGTGTCAAAGCCCAACACTGCACATGACCACCTCGTCCTGACAGTTGACCAGCAACAACAACAACAGCTGTAGTACCTATCTGAAAAAAACCAGCAGCAGAGTGGTGGTGGCGTTAACTTTAGTACCAGTGCTGGTTAATGCCTGGTGCCTGCGTGTCAAATTAGTGCGTTTGTCGTCGTTCGTTCGTCGGCGTGCCGGCCAGTCTATTTCCTACAACGACAACAAAAGTTACTACTGCTACAGCTGCTAGCGTACTGTTATGGAAAGCTAGTCGGCTGACAGCGAAGAAGGGTCCCTGTGATCGCGCTATTGTGGTCTCGAACGTGAACACGTTGCTTCGCCGGAGGAAGCTGCTCGCGCTGTTCTTTCGTCGAAAGGCTGAAGCAGGCAACGTCGAGTGTACCCCTTTAGCACATAGCGCGACGAGATAAGTCGAGAGAAATAGGAAACTGCAGTGTTCTAGTGTAGTTCTGGCTGGTTGGTGCAGGCTTAAAGGGCGGTGGCATTGGCAAAAAGGCGCTACTCCACTGGTGTAGATGTAGTCAAAATGAGTTGAACGTGTGTAGTCGTTCTCGTGTTGTGTTCGCTCTCGATCGCCGGGGGTGCGGTGCCAAGGTGGAGTCGGTAGGCCATGGAGAAGAGCTTTGCTTCGATCGACGAAGAAGAAGCCGTACGAAGCATACTATTAACACGACCAAGGAAAGTGAAACTTACACCGTCACCATTAACTACTTGCAGGCAACATCACTATAATTTAAAAAACGTCGAGTCTTCCTCGAAGTCAATACAATTCCCAGCAGAAGTAATATTGCGAGGTAGGAGTCAGTGCTATCGCTTAAAAGATATAGCGGGAAACCGAGCTAACCCTGGAGTAAAGAAAAGCTCGACATACAATTACACAAGAAGCCTTCATCACGCTCTTTCTGCCTCATCACAGTTTTTATGCTGCTTCTAATTAGCAGACAAACACCACGAATTGTAAGAAAATAATAATATCCAAAACAACAGGATAAAGGCTGATATATAGACCTTTGTCTCTGGCCTGTTCCGAAGCTGCCGCGATGATTCTCGCCTTATTCAAGTACATGTTACTAGTTCAGGTTGTTGTTGGAGGTTCGTTGTCACATATATCATCAGACAAAGATACAGACTTCACAAGTTCGGCTAGAATTGTAGCAGCTACTGTATCAACAGTCACCGCGACGAGGTCCCCCACCCGCGGAGGGGATCGCTGGAATCTGTTAGATAGTGGCAGTGAAAATTATAATGATAATAGCAGGGAGGGAGGCTTATCGTACTCAATCGACAGCGGCGGTGGTAGCAGTAAAGGCGAGTTATGGTTTGGAGAGAAATGGCTTTATACGCTGTCGGCGCGCTTGGTTCGAATACCACGTTGTCACGTCACGTCTTCAGCTAGCAGTTCCGGCCATTTTCATTGCAGCGTGCTGAACGCGACACACGCCGAACTCACATTCATGCCACTGGCTGCAGGCAACCTCACGGCGCGATTGCTGCTCCCAAATGATCAGGAAGTGATATTGCGCGGGGTCGGTTTGGCCAACCCGTTCCGACCGTCAGGTTTAGACTTTTATCGGTTGCCGCCCGGTGTGCCGTTCGAACCGTGGCTATACTTGCACAACCCATTGGCGAGGCCGATTCGCCTGTCAGAAGTGTACGCTACCAATCCGACGTTTTCAGTGGACGTTCCCGAAGGCACAAGTTGGACGATACCGGCTCGATCGACACGGCCTGTGGCGCGGGTGTCGATTGCTGCTGAACGCCGCTACGAAGTTTCCTATCTGCGAGTACGCTCAAAGCAAGGCGAAGTGTCCTTGTATTTGCCATTACGATATTTACCTGCGTCGTTAATGATGGATAAGCCGGCGCCCGAAGGACTAATTTTTCCGGAGAAGTCTCTAGATATTGGTAAGTACTGTGTGAGTATATATATATCCATGCATGCGTCGTTGTCAACAATCTATCTAAATAGAAAGAGATTTTAAAGGAATCGTTTACACGTGCTAGAAGTGTCATTGCTGATAGTTATGTTTACATAATGTAATCACGATTCATCGTGATTACGGCTTCAATTCGGTCCTACACAACTTACTAGTCGTTTTCAAAATATTCTTCTTTAACTTTTTAATAGAAATCATGTATTATGCGGTATATAAGCTACATATAAAGATTTCAGTTTTAGGTCGATAGCAAGTCAAACATTCTAGAAGTGCAAAGGCTCGAAAAAATAACAATTGACATTTTTGTTTCTAAAGCGGCCATTATATTAACAAACTAGGCGTATAAAAATTGATCTTTGAGCTATTTCGATGAATTCTTGAGCTCCTTTAATCTGAACGCTATTGAGATTCTTTCGAATTTTTCAGCATGAAAACTAGTAATAGTGCAAACTATCGATTTCAACGAAAAAGGAAATTTTTGATCTTGTTAAAGGTTGTTCAGGGCGGAGATTAAATAATAGTCTGTTTCGCTGAAATTGTAAAAATGACGTATGGCGAGTTTGTTGTTGTGCTTCACGAAAAACAAGCTTTTCTCCAATGGCAAGAGTGACACGGACGCATGCTCGTCACGACAAACACCTTGCTAAAGTCTGCCTTAATTTCGGCACCGTATGTATATATATAATGTTGTATCAAAGGGACTCATATGAGTTACACTGTATGGTCATCTTAGCGGCTATATGGGTTTACTGCATTTCGGATAAAGATCATACCGGACGCCCTCAATATTTTATTTGACAGAGTAGTTGAGAGAACTAACTTGCTCTGAGCTGCAACCTAGTCTACAGGTAAAAAATTTGACGACCATATTGACATAGCGGACTGTTCGGATTAAATATGATGGCCGACACAAGCATCGCATGTAGGGTCATGATCAGCCCTGAGTAATTTTTTTTAATGAATTATACCCAATCCCACTCACTTTTTAAACAGAGTTCAGGCCGTGGTCATGCTATTATCTGGGGGTTTAAAGTTGGGCTCTACGCAGACTCATAATAGACAAATCATGATTTTGGCCTAAATATGTTGGCAGTAAGTGATTATGAAATATTGCTTTCTATAGCAATAACCACGGCTCTTTTATGCAGAGCAGGAAGAATTTTCGTTCTAGCTTTGTTAAAGGACTGATTTTTTGTTGTACGACATTATTAGTGACCGATGTAGCTTCATTCCTAGCCCACGTCGTAGGTTCCTTCTTCACCTAACGCCATTTTTAATTATAGATACCGACGCAATCATCGTTGCCCCCACCAAAACAACCGACAAGCCCCCCATCTCTCTCTCTCTCTCTATAACGTTGGTGTGTATGTATATATGAAACGAGTTCGATCAATATAAGGTTGTTTTCAGAGACAAGCAGGCAAATATAAAGGAAGATTATTTCATTAAACAGACATGATATAGGTCGGCGTTTTAAACATCGGATATACTCTTAGCACCGATCTCAACATCTACAATTTATGTATTACAAATACGAAGTAAAGATGTGCTATTTTTGGCAATAAAATTTTAGGTATCTAATGGGTTTTTGTGCTCACAGTTTACAGCAACGGTGCTCAAACCTAAAATAGGCCTTGAGTGGATTGTCAACACCAGAAACGGAACATCTGAAAGAATTATGCTGGCAAACCAATTCTTTTTTTTTTTATACACTGCCCTATTTAGGCATGGGTTTTAATTGTCAAAGTAGAACAGTTTTTTTTTTTGCAAAAATACCAAAGAAACTAGCTGATTGACTTCATTATAACACACGCACACACACCCTGACCACTACTATATGTGCGCGCACTAAAGCATTAATTAGCCTTTTCTTTAAATGTAGAATACTATAGAGCTGGTGTAGAACTATTTTATATATCACGCAACGATAGAGAAGCATGTATCTTCCGGCTTTAATCGCCGTAGTTCGCTTCCTATCATCGCCGTCCTTGTTCGTTCCCATATGGCACTTTGAGGACAGAACAGTGCGAGAAATGGGCGTTATGAATAAAATATTGTATATTCATGATGAGCAAACAGAAAAAAAACTTCTATCTGCGTTGTTTCTTATTGGGATGGACTACTAACCAACAGATACGGTCGGGATGGTTTATGGTTATGGATAGGGTGCAGTTGCGATTATTGTTTAACCGGTATTTTTTCACAAAATTTCTTTCGGACCAAACAGTACACCTTTCTTTGATAATACTTTACAAAATCTACCCTTTTCCCTATCTTTATTGTTCTCCGTTTGTCTCCCTTTGATGGAAACAACTGCCGTTCTTTTCCAGCCGACCCTGGGCCATTTTCCGTTTCCAACAGGCACTCAGTACTACTGTAACGCTGCTTTGAGAGCTTGTCAGAAAAGCTTTTGCTAAACTTTGCTATATGGCTTTTCTCTAATAGGCTATGTGGCAGCTGAGTAATCTCAGTCACGTCGCAGCATCCTCGATCCGTGAAGATCGAACTAGCAATGGTTGACCATCCTTTGCGTTCGGTTTTTTTTCCGTGTGTGAATAACAAACATTTGCTGATCCTATTGAAAATATTAGACACAGGCACAAATATCAGCTGTTAGTCCATAAAAACAACGTTTTGATCAATTTGCTATGTTTCAGTGATCAGTGTGTCAACACAAATAATATTTGCCGTGCAGTGATAATTTCGTTGAAATCACATGATATATTCTTCCAGCGAATACCACTATTATGTGAATGTATGCTTTAGAGATATCTTATGAGAAATACTGTATTTAACCTGAGTAGATTCAACTGATTTTCAAGAATCTAAATAGGGTAAGTGGACACCCTTGATCGTATTGGCTCAATTGATCGTTATAGAGTTGTGTAGTTGGGCTTGTTAAAATTGCGTTGGATCCTTCAGCTCTGAGGGCAATGTGGTTATCAGAGAGAAAGTACTAATTTTCAGTTGCTTTGACATATTTCGTCTCTTGTGTTACCACAAAGGAGCTCCAAAACACTTTAACAAGGTTGGTCTTGAAAGCAGCACCGACGGAAACCGCTTTCAAGATCGTTTTACTAACGAAAGGCTATATAACACAAGCTTATGCAGCCTTTCGTTAACAGTTCGCCGATTCCTCGCCATATCTGGTTGTATTGGTTGACTTTTTGGTATTTGTTCAGACGTAACGATTGACGCTGACTATTAGTCATTAATTAGCGCGTTCGTCATTACGCGAACATTGAACAAGTCAGCTCTGTCATAAGATCATTGCTTAGTTTCTATTCGATTAGCTTTAATTTGGTGTGAAACCTTTAAACTTAAGCACACACTAAAGACCTTATTTAGGAAAAGGTCATAGATTTATATTATGGCGCTGTGCTCAACGATATTTGTCAAACATTACTATGGCATGAAATATAGAGAAACACCTATGACAGGAATTTAACCGTATGTAACAGATTTTTGTTCGATAACATCACCACAGTTTAGATTAGCTCGTAGATGCATAGAGTAACGGATTATTCAGACGATTTGACTTCAACTCTTGATTGTTTGTTCTTCGTTATACTCGGAAACGGGGCCTTCCCATTAATAGTATCAGAAATTACGAGGATCATTATGAATTAATGACAACTGTAATTTACATGAATATTCAAACTCCAACTAATGCACCACTGATTAATAGCCTATCGGATGTATTTTTACATTTAGATATGCACGATATCGAAACGACAATTCTAGACCCAATATCAACCACAACCGGTCGCCAGAGCAACCGATCGAGTCAGAGTTCAAGTGTCACCATCCATGCTTGTTTGATGGTTATTGTCGAACTAAAGCTAGCCTGTGTTGACGTGAATTATATGACTTGAACGTGTTATGTTGCCCCAGACATCTCAGAGGATATGACATCTTCCGCCATTCCTTTGCCGCTTGCCGGTATTTCCTGTGTCAAGAAGATTCGGATTATCACTTGTGGGTACGTAGGCGTTTGTGAATCACAACGAAGCACGTAGCTCTATCGCCGTACCAGCGTAGCACTCGTTCCGTTTTAGTATTTCGGCAATCAAAGCGTTGTTAGCTCATTATTTAGACCCATTACATCTGAAATCAAATTACTTCGAAAAGCAGTTCGTACTAATACGAACGGCAGAATTGCTGGCACGCAAACCGGACTGGCAGAAAACAATTGATTATATTTTGGCGGTATCTACCTTTTTCAATAGCGTGTGTCCGATCGGCCACCGGACACTTCGATAGATTTAGGAGTGAAATTTTCAATCGTAATAAATAGAAGACAAAGGCGACAAAAAGCCAAACAATAGTTAGAACGAAGTGTAATAGGTTCAATAGGTTCTTTTGGACGGACAACGTCTATAGAATCCATAGCGGAATTGCGCGGACTGAGCAAGAATCAAAAATTCGCCTATGCACACTGCTATGGAGGTCGAACCAGTAGAAATTGTGGGGGATGGTCGCCTATTGGAACGAGACTGCACTGAACGCTATTTATCGATGCTAAGTTGTATAATTGAGCCTGATCGAAGCGATAGAGCCTATCCTATGTATGCACCTAGTTACTTGGTTATTTCGAATGATTTTTGCTGTACTACGAATCGCATCGGTTGATTGACCGATAGAAACCTGTTCAACGTTTAGCTTCGCTGAACCGTAATTTAGGCGCCTAGAGGGTAGAAGTTACAATTTTTGCTTTAAATGCTTTCAGCCCAAATTCGGTGCTAGCCACGGAAGGTTATTTTAGTGTGGTGCGACTAAGATTTTTCTAATACGTGTAAAAAATGGGGTTTGGATTGCCCATCTAATCGACGGGGTTATCACGGTCTCACAAGGGTGACCTAAAAAACTGGAACGATGTTCTTATGGTCGACGTATAAATGCTAGTTGGCTTAGTGTACCTTTAAAGTGTCGAAAGTCGATTGGGTCGAATCTGTTATCTTGTTCATATTTTGAGCATGCAGAAATGCGCCTAGTTTTTACACTGTGTGCTCTTGTGCTGTTGTTATTTTCGACGACTATTTATATATTATTATATCTATATTTTAGATGAACTACCAACAACTTTTCAAGCATTATGTAAACAACAGCTGGTTACTGTATTATATATATATATAATTGTCTCTATCGTCTGTGGTATTTTCTGCCGTTGATTATCTATCTAAACATGTTGCAACGTAAAACCGTTAACAGTATTTACATTTTTCGCCTTCCGCTTAATTCGTGACCGACACAAGTAGGCATGAAACTAGAAATGCTAATGATAACAATGGTAATCGTAGTAGCGATATTAGGGCATACACAGGCAGATTCTTCGTCGTAATGATTGTAGATGTGAATTAGCTTGCTTTGCCATTTCGAATTCGAAAGGCTGGGTCAGATCTTTAGCGCATCAGACGGTGTTCACGTTTAATGATTGTTACAATGCTCCAGCATTACGGATACCCTTTACTGGCTTCCTTTTGGGGAGACCCATTTGGACATAGCGTGACAATCGCATTAATACGTGACATCACTTCCTAATGCCTTGCCTGGTGCATATTGTTGCATTGTCGTCTGCTTGTGTATAGGATAGCCAGGCCCATTTTAAGATTATTAATAAGGTGGCCACCGAGAAGCTCTCGCTGTGCCAACGTATCGGCCGAAGTGTAAGCTTCACAAACATGATGGCTTTAGGCCGAAAATATCGGGCGGTTTAACCGCAATGGCTAGACACTTCGTTACACTTGCAAGCAAATGATTAGTGAGATGATTTATACAACGCTGTGTGTGTGAAATTAAATAATTCTTGAAACTATGAACCTGGTAATGAGTCTGGTGAATTATACATCCTCGAATAGAAAACGAAATTAAACAAGGGAAAATAGTTTGAAATTTGTTGCAATGTACAATTTGCCACGCCTCACACGTACATAGCAGAAAATACAGAACATTGGTAGGGTAAATAACAGGTGTTAGCAATACAGTCGCGTCTGTTTTATTCGTTCAACCTACTTTCATCCTTATTGATGCCGCGCAGGCGCAATGTATTTAATACTGATTTCGATTCACGCAAGAAGAAGAAGAAAAAGAAGACTGCCAAGGCCAGACAGTATAGATGTTGTACTATACATTGCTTCCATTATTCTCATATTGGGGCCTTCGAACCCATTCATTTTTTGACTCAAATTATTACAGACCAACTGAACATGACGATGTCCGTTTTTTTGGCTTGAGCCATTAGAAATTAGAAAAAATCAGAATTAGTTTTGTTGCACACCGTTTTTCCAGACACTGTATATTATGGCTTGGACAACTGTTCGACTTTGCTCATTTTTCAACTGTGCTTTTCTTAGGAATATATTAAGCTAGCTATAAGAAGGCTTAGACTTCCAGCTTTCCAGTAGGACGTCTGTCAGGTTTCTACAGCGACGAATGTGAAGGCTGTCTGCAAAGCTTTAGGCATATATATTGGTTAGTCTTGTATTTTTCAATTACACAAGAGTGTGTGCATAAAGCGTTTGTTAGGAACTTTACCTTCAATTGAAAAATAAGCACATTTATAAAGAGAGATGTCATCGGCATCGAAGTTTCATATTCAATCGACTTCCCAGAGGCGATCCAGTCGAAAGATATCGGTGAAAAAGCAAATCTACTTAAACATATGTACTTTCCCCAGAGAACACGTATTAATCTCAAAAAAGGCTACATGTATGCGTTTGCTTGCTTCAAGGGATTAGCCTCTAAAGTGCGCCAAAAAAACAGGACTTCGATGAGAAAGTAAATATTTTCCTAAGTAATAGTTGCGACATGTACACTGCATACTCTACAAGCAGGTGGATGTAAGGTTTTTTAGCGACCACAAAAATTAACTATGATCAGTTGCTAGTTTCCTTCCGTTGCCGTTATTTACATTAGTATCGTTATAGATCTGTTTGTTACGTGGCTAAGGCACTTAAGCCGATTATTTTTGCATATTCCTAAACACGCACGCACGCACTTGACGTTCGATATAAACGCACAGGTGAATATTTTTTTTACCTTTGGTAGATTAGAACGATTTATATATTGCTAGAATATACGCAGCTATAGGCGGATCATTTCTTTCTTTACCTAGGCTTAGCAGTGCGTGAGAACGCGCCCATGAACTTCATCGGTGTGATGGAACTGGTAGATTTTAACAATGATTGAAACGTGGTTCCAGGGTGGAGACGCGCGTGCTCGTATATGGAAAGCGTGTATGAATTGTTTATCTACCACGGCCTATCTCCACAATCTATTGGCCGATTAGGTGGAACTTGAGCTGAGATCGCTACTCCGCAGCAAAAATAATAGAAATCAAAACTAGCTAAGCCCACTTTCCGGAGCAACTATCCATAATCATTCCCGACGTCGAGGCATATCCAGAATGAATCGCAGCATCTACAGTGACGTTTCTGTGCCGTAGCAGATCATAGACTTGGTTCGATAAAGAGACCCAGAAACGGAGCTTGTCGAAGAAGGGATATTTGAAGGTATATTACTTAGGGATTTTAACAAGGAAGTGCAATATCGGAATTGTATTAATAGGGTTAGGAAGAAGCTTGATTTTTGGTTCTGATGCCGGCCCTTCATGCAGCTGCCACTGGGTAAGGAGGGCACAATAAAAGTGAAAAGAAAAGCCCATTTTCAACTAAATAAGACTTGCTATAGCTCATTTTTTTACGTTTCAAATATTCTAACAAGCGGAGAAACAGCGCCTAATAGATCAGTCAATTTAAACTTCGAGCTGGTTCAATGTATAGATATAGCAGTGGGGTACTACAGGCAAACCGAGTTTTGTTAGTTTCTATAAGAATTATTATCGTTATTGTAAACCAATCGTTAATAGTTTTTCGGCATCAACAGCGTACAATAAACGCCGCGATCTGGATGTCTTTTAATTGATCCTGCGAGGCATCACAATGGCCTTCAACGTTATGGTTTACGCTGATCTCAAAAATATGCTGCAAAAGAGCTACCCTATTAATTCCCAATGTAACTTCAATGCCACTACAAGTACAAAATAGAATTCGACTGTTATTTACTTCAATTGTTGCCCCAGGCACCGTCCTATAGTGAAAGAAGACAGCACTTCAGAACTTTTATCTAGCTCACCGTCGAATTGTTATTGCTTAAAGCTTACTAACAACACATTCACAATTGCAACTGATGTAAATGCAAATGTATCCCTTATGAATATCGCGGGGCGCTGTCTTTGTTCGCGTTCTTTCTTTGCTTGCTTGCTTCGTTCGCACCCAAGAAGTGTGCATAAGATAACTTAAAAGAGTATCCTGAAGTCATCTAAATAGTACTTTCGTATGAAAGTTTACTTTGTCAACGAATTCTCGAATCCTATTGCACTGTCACCGAAGCATATTCATAATTGGTCTACCGCTTACAGCTTCCCTTCAATTGTAGTCATATATATGCCATTCGTACTTCGAAATCAGTCAAAGCTATTTTTTGACGGTTATCTAATGCGATTCATGTCGTGCAGCCGTTCATCTGTACCCCTTGTGTATACGCAAGTTGTGATTATGAATGAGTGGATCATTGTTCAGTTGATTAATGTTGGCAAAATCTTTCAATGAGTTCCGTTCACCGCGAGCTATTTGCGGGGGGCTGAGGGTACCTCCTGGACGGCAGCGATAGTTTTACGGTAGTGTGTGTCTACATGGCAAAACCGTACATTAGTGGCGTGAGAGCAGACCGCGTCGTGGATAGTCCTGACTTTGTCGAGATGTGGGTCGAGTTAATTTAGAGAGACAATGCGGGCACGGGCCGCAGAGGTTCTCTGGAGGAAATTCGCGTTAATTTTTTTTTTGTAAGTAATTGGAATGTGTGACCGTTTTCGTTCGTTTTCCGCTTGCTCACTCGTCCGCCGCACAACCTAACATCGAGGCTGTACTGGTTTAAGAACAGTCTTCTGTCTAAGCTCGTTAACTGAATCCCTTTTTGATGTGTTACATTTCCTTAGGATAATGGCTGTGTGGAGAGGTCAGAAATGGCATAGTAGGTAATGTGTCTGCATGATAATCCTACGCGTTGCGGTGTGAATTCAAATCCGGGCATAGGCCTGAATTGTTTTGTGCTGGGGGCCAGCCGTCTGATGGAATCGCTAACGGCGATACCGTATGTAAAATTCGAAACATAAATGGCAACCAGGAAAGGGTTTGCAAAAAGGCCGTGGTAGGTAGTGTATTTCACTAATGCACCGAGTTCAACATCTCTACTATCTACCCTAGGAGAAATTTTACGATGATCCGGCGTTCACACTTATCACACACTGTGTGTTTATTCTTATTGCATACGTGTTATTATTGATTTAGTCTTAAGAATAAACCGCTGGTACGCTCATTCTTCTTCTCATTTCATCTCAAAGACAGATGTCTTTGAAAGTATATGAAGCATGCCCTTCGTAGGTGAAATTGATTTGCGGCATTCGAGTCATTTCAATGGACTTCATCCCTTACCACGTTTCATGTCAATCTTGTAAGGAAAATCTTGCATGATGATGTTGATTCGTCAGATTCATCAGACTATAAACAGTTTTCTAGTATATACATTCTCCCTACTTACATCGAAGAAATAGCTTTTTATATTGAAGAAAAATACTCTGTTAATGCATTTTCTCTGCCCACTTGAAGGTTGTCACTCCATCTAATACCGTTATGTGAATTGTTTTTGTTCCGTTTCGCATCCCGACAGCTTTATAATATGTAAAACATAAGTAGCACATACCTATGTCGATTTTTTAGGTACTATTATATAATATTTGCTTGCCGTTCTCTTTGCTATGTGTACTTTGCAGTTAAAAGGTAGTCAGACGCAATTCGTCTATTAAAACGTCTGCAAGCTAATATCTGAAGGTTTTCCGGCCATCGAGTTTCTGCAGGCTTTAGCTATATCAACCGTACTGTTTTACGTTCCATTTAGGCTAAGCCAGTTAGTATTCGGGTTTTTGCCTGTAACATTCTGGTAGCAGTATTTCTCTACAGGACACGGCCATTTTGTTTGCCTTTTTCTCGGTCGTTGCTTCGCTCGCTGCCACTACCACTATTCGCTTCAGAAGATGGCAACATCACCAATGATGGTGCCAGCAGTCGTATCAGTCACTGTTAATGGCATCGATGCCCACCTAAAATATTACGCGACTCGTAAAGCCAGCGGTGGTCGAACGGCCAATGCAGACGGACGGCAACGCAGCAAAGCGAACGCTTCAGTAACACCGTGTACGGGGTCAGCCTGCGCTCAGACCTAGACCCTCAGCTGCTATTAAGGACGCCGTCTTCCATCGACCAACCAGCTGTCCCGCTCAAAAACTTTCCAGCTCAACTATATATATATATATATATAAATGAGAGAGAGGGACAGCTGAACCGCGCGTCAGTTATCTTCATAGGCACTATAATGGTTGTGCTAGGCAGCGGCGTGTTGGCGTCTGCAGCGGAGGCGATCGTGGTTTTGCAATGTCGTCCGTTTTTTTTCCTGTCCTTTCTTGTAGACAGCAGCAGCGCAATCGTTTGCCGGGTTCCGAGGCAATAGATAACGGGTGATCTTGTTGCTCGCTTCGGCCTGCGGCCTATAGCCCTCTTGCTTAGGTTAATCCTGTCCTCGGTAGGGTAGACAACAGCTCGTCATAAAATTAGAAGTAGTAGCGCTAATGGTGCTGTACTAAATGTGATGCAATACGATATAGAAACAGAGAGCCAGGGAAATGGGCGGAAAAGGGGTCGAAAGCCCGAGGAAAACCAGCTATGGTTTACGGGCGACACACTATCAAGCCAGCGAATGACCAGACTGACTGTTGCCTTTACTACTAGAACTACAATGAGTTCCATGGATGCTAATAATACCATCATTTTTGAACGCGATTCGAGTTCGTTGTTAAGAGAACTCTCGCTGCAGTACTGGAGGTACGCCATAGTATTGGCCGCGGTTGCCTGTTGCGCTGACACTCCTGACACTGAAGCTATGGCTTCAACTTCAGTTCTTCCATGCAGTGAGGTAACGGGCTTCGATTCGGTTTCGTGTACTAGACTATCTATTAGTACCTAATAGATGCTATAGGATATGGCTTACTGTGGGAACCTGCGGCTTGTCGCTGCGACAGCAGCAAGTAGTGGCTCTTGCATCGTCATCGTTATTGGTGTCGCCGAACAGTTCGCGTCCACAAATCGATGCTGAAGGAACGCACCAACAACGCTTGCTAGATGCAACCACACACAACATAGGCCTCATTAGCCTGTTGCCGTCGTGGGAAAGGTAAGACGTCTTATTCGCTTTCCTATTAGCGGCTATTACTACAATTGCTATTGTTGCTAGAATGTCCGTCGTCGAAACCACTGACACAGCCGCACGGCCAAGCTGTACCTACGTTTAAACAAATTGGCGTCACTGCCATTCGACCTACCCAAGTCTGTTGTCCGACTGGGTATTGCTGCGATCTTCGTGCGACGCTGACGCCGTCGCCATGTCCCGTACGTTCGTTTGCAGGTAGACGCTTAAACGGTTGTTGAGTCTGTAGATCTCGACCTGTCTCTCTGAGCTTTCCTGCATTAGTATCTGGGCGGGAGCATTGGTATCGTTGGGGCTCAGAAGAAATCCGTCAATGTCGAGGAATACGTTGAGGAATAAAGGATACGTTGACAGTCAAAGGACGAAAAGCGATGTACCGTACAATTGCCTACCTTCACTTAAAGGTCAGAAAATGTTAAGTGGATATGGGGATTATGCTGAAATGAAAGAAGGACTGATGAACGCATTACAGCCAAGGAGGCTGAAAAAAGACACCATCACACTGGCAGCGTTGTTTTGATTACAAACGCTTGAATTGATAAAACATTTACGAAGAAGAACTCGCCCTGAAGGCTGGTAAGCTGTCTTTTATGTGAATATATATGCTTGTGACCATGAAAGTAGCGTTTCCCATGTCGATTGGCTATAATACGAAAGGAAAGTGCTTTATGTCCGTAGGTGTGGATGTTTTAGAGCATGATGCTATTTGAAGTTTTACTTCCATTGAGTAAATATGAAGCTAAACAGTGATAGCTAAGCTATATTGAAAACTGTAGCCGTCACTGTTTTAACGATTTACGTTTACATCTGAATTTTTTGCACTGCAATCTTTACGCCCGGCTTCGCCATTAGATATTCTATCAGGCAGACGGGTGACGGGCTCCCAGCACGAAATAAAGTGTTAAGGCTCTAAACCTATATACTCGAATCTAGACCGCCAGACGTCTCTGAGATCAACAGGCAAATACGTTACCCACCAGGATACCGCGGGGACCGCATCCTAATCCCACCTTTGGTTAAAAAGCCAAGCTTAACTCTGCTCAAAGATAGCAAATAGGTACCGGTAAGCATGCATTTTTCAGAAATTACTGTTGACTGGAAATAGCAATTTGTTCAACCAGTTATTTCCGTTGTTCCGTAATCCGTTATCTCTGGATGCTGGCTGTTCTATCACTCTGTTGCGTAACTTCGGACATACGGTGTGTTTACCCATGTGGAAATTTTAAGGGGACTTTAAACGTAATTATAAGAAAGGCTTGACAGAGCATATCGTAGATGAAAGCTGTTCTCTAGCTGTGAAATCTGTAGGGAGTTCGACCTGTGCTTTTGATATTATCTCGCCTAAATAAAGCAAACTAGAAGCGGGAATAACAGCATAAACCGAATGATTTCTTGCACTTGAAAGATAAATAGAAAAGAGATAGGGCAAATAAATAGAGCTCTAGTGAGCATTATTAGCAGATATACAAAATTAGTAATCAATATGATTTTATGCTACTATATCTTGGAAACATTTTCGGGTTGCTAGATCAGTCTGGACGATAGTTGTTGTTTTAAATATGTTTTTAATATAAAAACAATGCAGTATTGATGGATTTCAAGAAATATCAGTAGAACTACATAGGTTGATTATTAAATGGATTTTAAATTCATATCTCCTGTGCGCACCTATATGGTTTTTTTGATAAAACAAATTCGAAAATATCCTATGTGTCATTAAACCATGCTGATTCTAAGTTATGTGACGGTAAAAAACGAATCGGTTCAACATTATTATGGTAATGATATGATCAAACCCGTGCGGGCTAGTTCTCTGTAATGTAAAGTTAAAGGGATTTATCTCCGCGGCTATTAAGTGACATAGCATTCAAGGCGAACTACAAATATCACCGCTTGAGCAAAGGGAACAGATATATTGCAGACGCCTCTTTGCAATTACGCTGAGCAGCGCCATAGATTTAAACAGTCTAAGCACCTGCACACATGATACAAAAAAAATTCGATTTTTTTGTCTTATAACAGCACTCGACGAATTAATATAGAAATGGGGTTAGTAAACGTTTAAACTATTTACTAAGGAGTTCATATATTTTTCAGTTTCTTTTCAAATGTCTAAAATCAAGTGGTCTAGTAATTGGTGCGACTCGTCCAAGCGCCTCGAATTCCGGCCATGTACAGTCCTTGTCAAAATCCGCTAAGTATAGAAAACTTTTGTTTGATCTGCTATCCGTCGAAGAAGTAAACAGATCGCTTAAGGACGGATACTATTCGTTTTAGAAGACCACTGATTGATTGTCTACCTTGTTGACAAAACGGAGCAGTCACGGTGACGTCAAGGCGTGACGCTCAAGGCCTCGCTACAGACCGTAGACTTGAAAGCCGGAAAGCTAGTCTGAAGGCAGGGAGAAACCATTAACCATTGATAAGTACGTTAAGCGCTACGATTAAGTGTCCACAGACAAATCGCCGACGCCATATGAGAGCCGTTCATACGAATGAGACGCGCACCTAAATGAGAAGATGCGAAAGCGATGTTTCCTGCCCTCGCATGGAATAGCTCTCCCTTCGCGAATAGATCTTCGCGAACAGCTTATTTAGCCATTATAATCGCCCAGTCAGCTCCGTAGTCGGTAACCGTGTCGGCCTGTGTACCCACAATCAATAGGCGTTTTGTGTGGTAGTCGTTTGGAGAAGACGAACACTGACTAATTACAAGATTCTAAAATGAAACCTGTTGTGAATGAATGAAGTCAGTTATCACCCGATAAGTAACTACCTGCTCGCAAAGGTTATGCGGCGAAGGCAAGATTATGCCTACCTATATCTATGTGTGTCTTTGTTTTTCGGGGAATCTGTTCCAAGCGCTAAGCCGTACTGCTTAGTTTTGAACGCGAGTTAAGAGAGCGATAACGGAGCAAGGCTGAGGTACGCACAGAACGAACTCGAGGTAGGGACCGCGCCACTGCTGCACTTATCACAATAGCCACTGACGTTAATTACCGATTTACTTCACACCTCGTCACCTCGTGCCGTTTGCAATGGTTAGAAAGATAAAGACGCTTCGAGGCAGACAGAGACGGCCGAGTAGCGTAGAGCTGTTATCTGCAATGAAAACTTGATGAACAACATTTACGTATTCACTGAGAAACGAATGACAGCTAAAAAGCAACATGAATTAGGGTGAAGTGCTGTGGGTACCGGTATAGGTAATAGATAGAGCAGCGCGAACTTGAAGCGGAGAATTTGTTTGAACCTGTTTGAGTTGTCATTTACTAATGAGCTCGAGTAAGTGGAGCTGATGAAAGTTACTGGCTGATGGACGATGTCGAGCATTAAACGAGACTGGACAATCGCTCACTAGATTCGCTAAGGACCCTACAGCCCTGATCGATCTACCTTCGCATTCAAAATGACTGGTTTCTACTATACAACGGAAGTCTTATGGAGATTTATAATATTTGTTGTAGATGTCTGCTACATGCTAATTATGTGGTGCTACAGATGCTTAGAATGAATAAAATTGTGTTGATTTTTTAAGGTACGTTGTCGGTAACAACCACTTAATAAGCAAAATATATAAATAAAATAACAAATATATAAAAATAATATAAGCAAAAAATAACCAAATAAATCGAAAGGTTTGCAGGCCTTTTACAATGGAATTCTCCAGAGGTTTAGCAAAACCCTTTGGGAAGGTTGCACGAACTCGTTATATGTTCATGTTGTTGTACGTCTAGTTCTTTTTTTAATGGACGATTATAGATTCAGGGGACTGATAACAAATCAATCAATTTTTTAGAACGCACGGTAGGTAGCGCGAGGATACCCATCAGAATAGCCTAACCAGCATTGTTCTCATCGAATTAACGCCTGCCTCTCTTCTCGATTCGACGCGAGACCTCCACACGAAACTAAGCAGAGAGTTTATTTTTTGGCCTACGTTTACGTACGATAACGACCTTGGCTAACCATCACAGGATATCAGCTAGCTTTCTATACCAATAGAAGTGACGCCAGCTTTTTCATTGTGTAAAAGTGCAGTGTTTTTGAGTTGCGGCCTGGTGAGAGTTTGAGTAAACAAAGGCTTCTCGCCGTTCTTGTTAGCCAATTACCGTCACCACTGTTGCTGAGCGCACTCGTCCTGTGCCCTTACCAGCTGTGATAGTGTGCTTTATTTCACTGTGGTGTGTAGGCACCTTGTGCCCTGCTTTCCACTTTCATTTCCATGCGGCCTTCTTCACGGCAGCAGAAGCAAACAACACGGTGAGCTGCAACGACAACAATGACTCCATAACAGCCCTCCAAACCTGGACGTCATTGCAGCTGTTGACGTCGCTCTACGCTACAGCAGGACGACTGTAGGACTGCTAATATAAAAATTAAACAAGGACGAAATTGCAATGGAAGTGCTTGCCTGCATAGAATAACAGAAGTTGGCGCAACGGTCGTTGCTGGAATCGCTGTAACTGACTGCCACGAGTAAAAGCGATAGAAGCAATAGGTTGAAGCCGAAAAGGCCTGTAGTAGATGAATGGCGTTTGGGGCTACTCGGATACGCAGATGATGACGACCGTTAGCCATGTTTTTTATTTGAGCAACATTTTGTAAAGGGTTTAATGGCAGCAACAAGAAGACAGAACGACAGCAGCAGTAACTGCGAGATGGTAAGAAGGCAACGTTGGATAATACGCCACTAAACTGAACCGTACTGGCCGGACGGACGTTTCCAGTCAGGGTTCGTGTTACGTTTGGCCTGTAATTAGTTTGAGCCCGTCTGCTTCCTTCTGCCCCTTATCTGATTTTAGCCTCGTTATCAACTCTCCGTTACACTGTAGTAAGCTGCACACTGCTGGTTGTGGCTGCGTGTATATGTATGTGAGTGTGTGTATCTGCGTCGGATGCCTACTGCTGGACCTAGTCCTACGGATGGACCTCAATGACATGACAGGTCCAGAACTCGAGCGTATTCTACTCGCTATTGCTGCAGCAAGTTTTCTCCACACGTGCCAGGAAGGCCATTTGTTTTGCATCATTGTAAAAGCGTGCTTCGCACTGGTACTCTGATGAAGTTGACAAGAGCTCCATTTCTCAACGACGACACACCGGTTCGCAAGAACGCAGTAGCTTCTGTTAGACCCAGCCGGCGGTTACGTAAATAATCAAAGCGCCGAGGTGGCAGCCGATGTGTCCGCCACTTAACCACAAACGGGCCGACTTATTGACTGACCAGATCAGTAATAAGGCTTGCCTTTTGCTACCGCTGCCACGGTTTGGTTACAATGCGCGATCGACCAGTAGCGCGCATAACAAGTAAGGTGGAAATAGATGACACCCTATGCCGCACATCTATTATGATGAATTGTAATGCTTGTCGTGTTTCTCGTTTAGTGTTTGGTACCTTGCCATCGCTATAGCGATATTTTAACAATATATAAATGTTCCAAGACGTTGATAATAACTGGTTAAGAATGGATAGTATGCATGGACCAAGGATCATTTGGTCGCCAACGTACTGGCGATAAGCCTCACGACGCGTGCTCCATTGAATGATTGAATAGTACCGACATTAAATCGCAAGACCAGCGTCATATTTTTGCTCTCATTTCTGTGGCGGCAATCTGACGTTCGACTTAAGGAAGGAAATATTTGCTTTTAACGCTAACTTTTTTAGGCCCAGAATAGTTTAGAGCAATCTTTTTGCGCAATCCGAATGAGTCTTTGAGATTAAGAGTGCATCCAGACTCCTGTAAAGGCTAAAGGTTGTTAAGTTCTCCTGGGCGCTAACTCCTAGACGCTGAGTCATTGAAGCGATTGCATATTAGATGTATGTTCATATACCATTTGGATGACTAACAGAATCATCCTGCCGCCCTTTGTCTATGCAATCATCGCTTCTCTACAATAAATAATACCACTTCCGGTAAAACAATGATCAACTTGCGATTATGTTACCTATGGTAACTTTCACTTTATTTTAGTTCACTTACGTCGTTATTGTAGGCGTACGCCGTTCATAGCATGCCCGTGAATCAGAGCTGTTAAGAGTCATAGGTCAGAAGCTTCGCAGCTTAAACTACATGCACCACTTGCATATCTGGTGTTACGTGCAAGTTACGCCTAGTTGCACGGGAACTTTTTCCTATATATATAGGATATATATATATATATATATATTAAATAACAGCATTGACTTGCACTTGGCATCCTAATAAAAACCTGAGGCTTAATCCTGGTCGGCGGTCCGTTCTCAAACTAGAGATTATTCTAAGTTGGCGCACAAAAAGATGTAGGGTGAGAGCGAAAAAAAGAAAAAAAAATCTGTTAAATGAATTTGTATACTTAATCTATTTATTCAATGACTAATCATTGAAAGTACCGCAAATATTTGCAAGTATAGCATCTGTCTTTTCATCAATAAATTAGGCACTAACATCTAATGTTTATTTATTTATCACCCAGTTTTTCTGATACGCACTTGTTCGAACGCTAGCAGTAAACAATACTGATTTGGGTATGTATGGGCACTCTAGCATTGATCTATGCACATGCGATAGAAGGCATATAGGGAACCACAGCGGAGCTGGTCAAGTCTCTCTCTGATTATTTCTTGTTGAGGGTACAAGCTTCTGCAGTTAATGGGGCTACACCAGATGTTGCCAATCTCTATGAACTATGAACGCATGCTTCTGGAACGAAACTCCAGTTTTTAACTTAACGGAACTCTGAAAGTCGAAGGACTGCTTAGACTTTCATGAGTACCGTTAGAATGTATGTGCATGCTGAAACATAGTAGAATATATTTTTCTCTTTTTGTCATCACACAGATCGTGTCTTATATACACTTGATAACAGATTTATGATGTTCTACTACATAGATATAACATCAGTTTGATCATGAGAGAAATTGTTATTTCGTTATTATACATACTCTAACGAGGTTTTCCATAATTGTTTATCAACGTTTGCAGGCCCGGTCCTTGTGTCGCGGTCTCCGTTGACGCTTCCGTTGAATGTGGTCAACACCTCGCCGAAGTCGTTATCCCTTCAGGGAACAGCCGATTCAGATGGCCTCCAAGTCAACCCGCCGGAGAAGCCTGTGGGCCCCGGTAAAACATGCACCGTTAAGGTAGCGTATATCTACGTAGTGCAGATCTGTCCCAATTTAAATGCCTTCTTTTTACGTCTGTGTATGCTAGATAATCATAGACAGACAAAGCAATGCTGTTTTCTAACGTATCTTTGCGGTGAGTTACTGCTTTTGATGAAGGTAACGACTAACTAACCTCTATAAATATGAAATGAAGAAAATCTTGTCTAAGAAAATTGTCACAAGTGAGGTGTTTATTATTATTGTAGTTGCTATCCTTGATTCTTTTTTCTTTTTTTTTTTTTTTTTATTATTTTAGAGCTGCTGCAGACGATTATTAATGTTTTATCCAGATTTTTTAAAGCTAGTGTAGCAGGATTTCTTCTAAGTTAGGATCATAATGGTTGTGTGATACTATCAATTCTCCTACGACTACAGCTATTAGCCATCTATAAGCAAGGGAGTTAAATCTTCAATATATATAAAATGCATGAAAAGCATTTTGTAAGTTGTTTACTCAATAGTTCAACTTCGCGATGTGCTGCCATATCAAAGACCATCGTTCTTCATAGCTTCTCGAAGATACCTATAATTTTGCTATAATTACAGTTAAGAAGTATATGCTTCATGAACCGCATGTGGAACATAAACATTTTGTTTTATAACCATGTAGTTATTTGTACAGATCACAGTGAACATGTTCTGTAAAGAAATCTGGTCTAAAGTTCTCATTTGCTATCAAAAAGGTATTATCAAGGTTGTATGTTTGAGTGCTACAAGAGTCACACTGTGGGCTACCGTACGTTCCTCATTCATTTTTGTTTTGTTGAAACGACATTTAAGCAACATAATACAGTATGCAGACCCTTCACCGTAAAACTCTTCCCTATTTGTTGTTCTCCATTCGGCGGCTTCGCTACCTTTGCTCAGGATTTATCACCGACAGCAAAGTTAGCAGCGCGTTCTCTAAGCCAACATATCTCTGATATACGCATATTTTTCTTCGCTTTGCAATGTCGCATTGTATTGTATTGATTAACCGCTCTCAACTGAATGGATTTTATGCATTATATATATAGAGGAGAGTTCTTGTACGTTATTATCGAGTAGCGCCGAAAAATAAATTAATACGTTGTTTGCGCGAGCTTGTTCCGTGCGTTCTTAACGTCCTCGTCTGGGGATCATTTTATTATTCTGCAGCTTTTCCTTGTCGGCCGAAGGCCGACGCCAGCACGGCGGCGGGTGAAACGTTTGCCACTGACGCCGCTGCCTCTCACGTCATCAGGCCCAGTCAGAACCTTCTCTCTAAAATCAGCACAATCATGATAACGATGGTGATAATGTTCTGGTAATCACTAGCATCACCCAGAACAATGCTCTGTCTGGTAAGCACCAGACACGGGGCAGATCGCTTATGCTGTCACGGCGAATGTAAAAGCCACGAGGTCGATTGCCAACATTCGTCAATCGCCGTAGCGTCTACCAGTGATAGGGAATCATGGTAGTAAAGGAGGTATATTTGTTTAAAAAAAAGAAGGTCTTTAAGGCCTTCGGTATACGTGCTACTGTAAGAAACATTGCTGCCTTTGTAACCGCTTTGCGTAGTATCTTGAATGAATCCTCCTTCTCCTCCAGGATGGTAGCCGTGATGTACGAAATTTGTCGGTTTGTTGGCCGGGCCGACCCACTGCGTCTAATCATAATTTGCTCAATAGATGCATCTTAGTAGCTTTGGTTAGAAGATAACGTTGCCGTTAGTGTCATTGGCTTTATTTACAATAACATTTGCGTGAGGTGGCAAGTACCAGCGGAAACGAGTGAAGGGCGAGGAAGTGAAGGGGAAAAATAACTATGACAACCACTAGCACATCAGCTGTGAAGAGTGTAACTTTAAAGGATTTTGCAAGGAATCAAACAAACAAGGTCGTCTATATGGCACGCGACGGAAAAGTGATGGACATATGTTGCCATTGCTACCCGTTTATCTCTTCGACCCAGGCACCAAAATCTAGAACGACCTTTTAAGTTTACCTTTTTCTTCAAATATATGGTCCTTTACAATAGGGACCCTGCCAGTTATCACAGATGTTGATTTTATCGTGTCCACCGACTCCAAATATTGTGTTGGTAGCAGTGTGCTAAAATAACAATCGACTAGTGTTTTATGCCATTGTAGCCCTACAACCGCGGAATAGATATACAGTATTTAAGCTGGAACGGCAGATCATGATCACACATGGATAGATACTGTCTTTCCTACAACTGAGAAATCGGCTTGTTTTATATATAAATCTGTTTAGCATTTATGCCTATTGAATCTATTGGCGGATTTTCAATACATACACGTAATACCTGTGAGTGGTGTGGTCAAACGAAAGGACGTACCACTACACGCAAGAAACGTGCATCATTTTTAAGATGCTAGTTGTAGGGTACTCACCTTCTAACAAAAAATTCGTTTTGTATACCTTTATTACGTCCACCCTAGCTGATGGCCATAATATGACACTTACCATTAATAAACCCTTTGGCTTATCATTATATAATAGTTGACGTATGTCATCGTGCCATATAAAAACGCCTAGCTCACGCAGGCCTTGTCTCTCTATCAATATGATAATGGTTTGAAGTTATCTCGCTTTGAAACGCATTTATTGATTGAATTAAACAAATTTCAAACCATTTATCCTGAATTTGGTTATAGGTAACTATCGATCCACAACGGGTGTCGCGCGGTAACGGTAACTTGCAGTTGAAAGGCGGCAAATGGCGTCTTCAGGTACCATATTCGCTACAACTGCTTAATGGTAGTTTGCAAGCGGCAAACTCGAAGTTCTACATTGGCGCCAAGGGCCAACGCGTCTTCTCGGTCGAAGTTACAAACACACTCAATACGGGCCTTCGAATAGAAAGGGTAGGTGATTTACGTAGACTTTGCCCTTGCTACTAATTTTGTTGAATAAGGATGAATGATAAAGCTGGACAAAGGTTGAATAAAAGTCTGAGTAAAAAAATCTGTAATAAAAATTGCTGCTAATTGGTTTTCGTTCGTATTCTGGTAATAATTTACCACACAGTAAAAATTGGCAACGGAGCACACATTCATCAATTGGAATATGTAAGTGCGTATATCTGAATGTTTTCAATGTCATTGTAATTCATTTGGTTCTTTCTGAAGAATAATAAATTTGCTAAGAGGCCTCTTTGTTTGCTGAAATCCCTGAGAATTATTGAAAAGAAGTTGGTAACCTAGTTCAAAGGTATTTGAGGTGTCACGATATCGAAGAAAATTTCAGCTTCAAACCTCAGTTGCTTTCATTCCTTGCTGGTGCTGGCTAAGAAAAATAATGATAATCAGGAAAAATGATGCAGTAATAGAGACGACAACTAGTTGTGAAAGAAACCTGTTATATTCTGCTCTCTAATAGTAGTGTTGTATTTAAAAAAAAAGATTGTTGTTCAATAATGGATAGATTCTACTAGAGAGAGGGTAGCTCCACTGCTTTGTGCACCTACCTGCTGTGTGTTTAGGGTTTACACTATGTACAAATCTGTGTGGTGAACTTTTAAGCGTAGTCTTCACTGAGCTTCCTCTCTCTCTCTCTGTTTGCTTTCTCTCTTCTACACGGCTACAGTAGTACTGTCAGCCACTACGGAAGGGCAAGTGTGGCCAAGCAATTTTTGAACACAGCGTCCAAGGCAAATAAACGCAAGATAAACCACTAGTATTGTTTTCCTGGAAAAAGGAAGTCCAGAATTGCTTCTACGGTTTTTTTTTAAGAATTGAGCGTAGCTGGCTGCATTCGCTGCCTATACATTAGTGAGGTTAAAGCGAAAAACGCTCGAGATTTTTGCAATTTCGAGCAAAGCGTAAGCTCCGGCGAGACATTGCGTCGGCCTATTCACCGCAGTTCAGGCGACACCTCGATTAACGATAGGCCCCTGGAAGATAAATCGCGCGTCGAAAATCAACTGCTTGTTACCGCAAGCGTTATCCATTATGTCGGCTTCGTCACGCTACTCACATTGTAAATGTATCATGCATAATTGGCGGAAAGGCGGAACATTTACCCGATCACGTGAGAAGCAGTATTTGCGAGTTATTGATTCTCTTCCAGGTGTTAGTACGTCGGTTCTGAGACCAAATACGCTCATAGCGTTAACTGAATTTCGAAAGACAATTGGGAGCTAGGTGAAGCAGTACGAAATCGTGTTCGATGTTACACCATAATGTTCTTCAATGAATGTTTTCGTTTGGTTACTCAAAAGCACTTTTCAGGCATCACACCTGTGAATGCAAATGGCTGTAAGCGTACTTAATGCTCCATTGATTTTCATTTGGTACACACGTGTGTGTCGTAGTATTCAAGAGACAATTGTTTGATAGATCATTTAAGAGTTTCGCGCGTATCAGTCCCAGTTCTACGTATTACATGTGTGGGGCTCTAGGTATATGTACTACCTATATTGTATCACTGTAGTCTTGTCCACAGCTGGACTGGGTCTTTTTGACCACCCCTGAATTCTGGCAGAAGTGCGATGTTCAATCGCTGAGAATTGGCTTTTATCTGATGATCTTTGTAACTGTTAATGTAAAAACTTGTTTTTCTATGCGCTGGGTGCGACAGGAGATCTGACTCTCATGACGATATTGACAACGATGTTGCTGATTGCAATGGTGACATCTTCATTTATAAAAGCGCACTTTGACCGTTACAGGGAGTAGCAGTTGTTGGACATTTGGCGGCAGTTAGATTCCAACCTTGTGTGTCTCTCTCTACCGATCACTCGACGTTTGTTGATCCTTCATTCTCGCAATGGCTGGCTTTTTGTTTTGACAATGACGTCACCTTCCGCTTGAAAAATGCGGTAGCATTTCTGGGGCTAACGTCTATCACTGCTTGTTATTTGCTGGCGCCTTCTACAGACGGTCATGTTGGGATCCACGAAAATTTATGTCGGTTATAGAATTCGATTACCAAAGGCTTTCGCCTTTTCCGCGTTTCCAGCTAGTAAGCCTAGGACCAAAGAGCGCCACTCGTAGCGAGCCCGATATCAATAGTATGATCCGTAATTAAAGATTGCTCACGACTATTTGTAACGTATTCATATTCATATAAAATTTACTTCCTGCTTTCTCTTCCCTGCTTGCCCTTAGGACAAATGGTTACTTAAAAACCAAACATTCAGGCCCTTCCTTCTTCAGTATAATACTGCCTTAAATTTTCAATTAAATTACCGCGGTGCGGTTATGTATGTCAATTATTGTATTCATCCAACATACATCTTGTACTTTATTGTTTTTCAATATTCGTATTTACTGACTTTGCTGAAAGTGGTTGGTATTTGTTTGTTTCTTTTTGGCTTTGATGGCGTTCCCTGAATAGCTGTACTCAGGATTATGATCATGTTTGCTGGAACTCAACGACATCTTGTATTAGAAAGTTGAGTCGCCTTCGGTAACCTTATGTTCCCGTTTATGTTAATGGTCAGGAGTTCGCGACTGCATCATATTGATGACTTTATCTCTAAGAATTCATGATCTTAGGTTTATTTATTTAAAGGTACAGTTGCTTTGTCTACCTTTTAGATACATTTTTAAATTTAGCCGCAATATTTCAACGATTTATATACAGCTGTTTGATTAAATTCACTTAACTTGCACAGTATATATTCTCTGATATATTTCAGCTTAGTTAAACTATTCGCTCATAAATGGGACTAGTGAATGTGGTTGTTCAAGATATGCACCGTTATGTAAACTTGGATAGGGTCTGATATTGTGTGTAATCCAGTTTCAGTCTTCTATCTCGGTATATCGAATTCAAACGAGCTAACAATATCCCCTTAACTCACTGTAAGTAACGTCGAGAACCAAAAAAAAACAAATGTTATGGAGGCATCTATCTGTAAGGTTCCATAATTGTGAGCTAAATCAACGTTGTCCGTACGTCCAGCGTATGTGCTACGCTGGACGTACGGACGCGTATGACTGAAGTCAGTCAACTCTGAACAAACATCACGAGGTCAGGCCATTTAACGAGAACAAACGAGTGGTAGTTACTTTGAAGTCGTACGATATGAAAGAAATTAATATAGCGTGAGCCAACTATATCTTCTAGTGTTCTAAAATAACAAATGTATGCGACGTCAGTTTTCACATAGCAAATACTCTACTATGTTTTTTCTAATTTTGCCGGGATTCGTTCGTTTCCCCACAACACAGTGATATACACCCAAATGTGTCTCTGTGATGCGTGACCTTTTTTCTAAATGATTATTCTAACATGTTATTATTACTGTCATATTTATTCTCGGAGAAAAATGCCTAGAAACGAACTTTGTGCTATTACTGTGTATTGTTTTTGCAGATTCTAATGAACTCTACCCCTTTGGCCGCGCCTTCGCCTTTGCCAGAGGTCCCGCCATCCGGAACGCTCCAGATCTCTTTACCTCCTGTTCAACAGCAGGATCAGCTGCAGGCAGCGAGTGTGAGAAGTATTGCGTTACCGCAGACGAACGCTTTCGGGCCGTCTACGCTGACCTCACAGGCACATCATCGTTATAATGCGTCTTTGCGCGTACTTACAAACGTTACAGAATTCGAATACAAGCTTGAGTTCTATTCAAATCGTCTTGATCTACTTGTTGATCGGCGCTTACTTGTCGAATTAACTGAGAAGGGTACGAAATCATTAGAAGAAATACCGTTTGATGTTGGCACTCAAGGGATTGGACAGAAAAAGAAGATTTGGCTCGAACTATATAATCCCAACCCTGTTGAGGTAAGTTGTAAGGGAAAATACATAAATTGTGAAGGTTCGATGCGCTCTGAGTTATATATGATGGTTTAAATTCACACGACTAACTAAATACATCTTTAACAAAAAAAAACTTCTTTTTGGAAATCGGGAACATTTTTTCTCCATTAATTCGCTGGGGGTTCAACGGAGCTGTATTTTGTTCGTAACGTTAAGTGTTGTAAGATAGACCTTTAAACAATTAAATATGCATTTGATGCCAACATATGTTAGTAGTAAGTAAATTACGCTTACGACCAGACGACAGGAATAGTTGACAAAACACCTTTAAACCTTATACCAAGGACAGCAAGCATTGACAAAAAATTAACGCTAGATTTTTCTTCGATCCTATATTTTTATTGCCAATTTTTTCTTTTTGTATTCCATTTCCATAAATCCATTGTATCCATCCATAAAATGTTAAAGTTCCTTCAGCGACACGGTTGCCTCTTCTTCAATTCAGTTATCATTGTCAACGTTTCCCAGTCTTATTTCTTCTTCCATTAGTGCGTACGCATGTTTTTTTATTAGGCTTTATTGGAACTAGAATCAAAAGTTGAATGGGTTGTTTACAGCCAGACAGAACGTTATATGCTGCCATGCACTTCTGTACCATGTAGGACAAAACAGGAGCTCGGAGATTAACCAGTAATTGAGATTGGCAGCCATCAAGAGCCTGGTTTGCGGCAACTATCGTGAGGAGTGGGCTGGCATTGCGTTTCAGATTTGTTCTTATCATATTTGTTAGAGCTTCGCTGTTGGTTCGGGGTAGCTATCATCAAAAAAGCATGATGTCCCATATAAATTGGTCAGGTAACTTTTTTTTAGGTTTTCACAAAAATGCTAGCCATTATGATAAATTACTAATGTCCTCATAGTTGCTACTGAGATCGGTGGGGCAAACCGTGAACTGTGCACCAGCATGCATCCTTTGTATGAATATGCGGGGTCTGTGGCTCATGCTAAGGTACGGCCACGAAGCCGATAATGACCACATGATAACGACTTCGTTTTGATAAGAACCATCTTTGCGCAATATGGTAGCATCAAATTGTGTAAATCGGGACTCAGATTTCACGCGATTTGCTGTGCCCCAATAGATCGAACAAAGCTTTTGTACTGCAGATGCTTGAACTTTAATGTTGAAACGTTCCACATTATCTTTGCTCGAAAGGAATGCACTGATAACAAATAGCGCAAGATGCACATTCATATTGAAAATTCTATGACGTATATTCAGAACTGCTGTAGAATCAAGAGGCACCCTATGTACGATTGAATAGAATCATATCTTGTGATTTGTGCGGTATAAACTTGAATTTTCCCTTGATAGCATCGTTTAAAGAACGTCAACTTTGTAACATCCAAATATTGTTTCTTTGTTTTTCTTAGGTTAGTTCAAAATCACAGAGTGCTGAACCTTATCCTATGAACTTGTTACCGTAACTAGGTGGAAACCAGTTTCAAGATATCGTGATTAGGGATATCTAAATAAGGCTTTGTATTAAAATTTATACCAACTAAACATACTTCGTTTGTATACATATCACAAGCTAACACCATTTTCTTTTTGGTGATAAAACTCTGATCTGATCCGAAAAAAAATAATGGGAGTGTTATGCGCAACATTGTATTCACTCGTCCAACAATTTCAGGTGTCTATTGAGCACATATCGTCAAACATTTCAACATCGCATATAGCTTTGCCGTCTCTACCTCCTTGGAGTCTTGGACCATATCGGATGTTGCAGCTGGCTCTGACTCTCAGTTCTCCTGACGAGGGCCGCACCTGGGGATTGCTCTCTGTAAAAACCAATTTTCACAGCCAAAGTTGGCCATTTGTCTTCCAGACTAGTAAAGGTTAATTTACAACTACTTGAATAACAGTAGCTAAACAACTATGCTATTTTGTTTAGGTTAAAAATTATTTACACATGGTGTTTTATTGACGAAGAGGCCTGTTCATTATAGTACTACTTACAGAAAAAAAAAAACGATAAATGGTACCATGTAGTATTAAAGCGTCACTTTCGCTTGTCTTAATTAGGTACTGTGACCGCGGCTGCAGGGTTAAGTAATAGTGCGACGTCTCGAAGTCCAGGGGTCATATTGGTTGAGGGTGCATTTCCATTTCGACACTCATCGGAGTTAATGTATTTAGAAAGTTCGTTTGATGCGCCACTCATTGTCGCCGGGGCCCGCGTTGACGGTGACGATTCTCAATTCAGTATTGAGCTGGTTGAGTCGCCGGTACTTCATCCCGGCGCTAAAAGTCTCCTTGGAACTCTTAAGTAAGTTGATTTTCAACTGCTGAGGCGACCTTGTAGAGATAAATTTTACAACAGTTGCAGTTTGCGCAAAAGTAACATTACTAGTTTTCTGTTTCGCAACTAATTATTACCGAATGATATTGACCTGTTTTTTGCATAAGGTATCGGCCCTCATGCGCGGGTCCAACCTTGTGCTACGTCGGTTTGGGAGGTCCACTGGATTCGTCCTCTTCAAAGGACCTTTATCTGTGGCGTGGTATGCAGGAGCGCCTCAAGGAGACGCGGGCCTTAAATGTATCGCTTATCGTCGATACTCTCAGCGTCAAAGGGTTCGTCATACCTATTACGGTGAGTTATGCCTTTTCTCTGTGTGATTTGACGTTTCTGTCTGCCTGCTCACATTTTACATCAGGCTTTCGATGTAATTAGAATATGTATATATGTGAAAATGTTGCAGTGACGCTTGCTGCAATTTACAATTATTTTCACGTAGTAGATATGTCTCTAGTAGTCTGTTCCACATACAAAAGTACGTCATGTAATGTAAACACAACTCTGGAAACTCGTAGGTGTTGTCCGTCGAGGTTGGGATCAGATCAGAATAAAATGATCTCATTTGGCTACAGATACTAGTGTGATGCTTCTGATGACCATCCGCGCAGTATTTACATTAACCTTGTTCCCCATTGGTCGAACTAAATGATGAACAACGTATCTTGTTATTACGCTCCGATTTGGTCGACTTGGCCCTTTCAGCTGTTAGAGGTTATAGCTGGTGTTAGAAGAAGGATACGTTGACCTTGATATTTTTCTCTTTTCATGCTTCTATATGTATAACGTATATTTCGGCTTCTGACAGTTCGAATATTCGATGAGAGGTGATGTGTTGGTCAGATCATATAAAACTAGTCAATTGTGGCTTGACTTATAGAGGCCCATTACTTACTTAAAGAACTCGAGCCAATCTGGGCTTATGTTGGGAAGTTTCGGACACTGAACTGTTTCCAAATGATAGTCAGACCCAATATTAAAAGTGTATAAGTTAATGTTCACTGGTAAACGAACAATACAGATGATGACTTTGTATACGTCTCCCCATACATACAGACTCTTACTATGTTTTCTAGCAATCGTGTTCGGACATTTGCAAGATTGGCCAGTGTCGTGTCTATCTAAAACTGGACGCATTTCTTTTGGTCGCATATGAAGATTATCGTTCTCTGCTAGCAAGCGCGGCACGAAATCCTTGGTATCGCATGGATACATGCGTTATATTGCCTGTAGGACGAGCCTGTCAGGGGGAAACATTTATTGACTTGGACCGAACAGACACACACACAGAAGGCTGCGAATCAATCTATCGCGTATGTATATCTACTTTATAGGTGCTGCCTATATCGAGTTAGAGCTTAAGAGTCGATTGGCAGATGTACTTAAGGTTGATTGAAACATGATTAGCGGCACCCACCTGTCCGACGTTACACGCTCTAAGCCTGGCAAAAGAACCAAGTCGAATATAGGCGCGCAGGAGTAACGCTGATATCAAGATTAAGTGACTAAGAATGAATATCCTAGGAGTATTGAGCCGCGGTTGAAGATTCATGATAGAACTACGCAACCATTAGCTTAGTATCTTCTGCTTATAATATGAGCGCGTCAGTGTTTAACGCAGTCATCCTGTAATGAAATTATCAATGTGAGGCATCACATTGTCTTTCGAAACCATACTTCTTGACTTAATTTTATCGTCCTTTTTATTTTATCTGTGCTATTATTTGCATTATTTTTCATAATTGCTTTCAACCAAAGGTAATTCATTGCGTCGCGCCATAGATCCTGAATCGCTACGTATCTATTTAGACTAATGTAACGTCAAATGCCCCGTTGCTTACGGTTAATAATGTTTCATTGTGTTTGGCTTTACGGTCTGTCCCCCTCTAGGCCAGCATTTTTTGAATGCTGACTTGAGCTGGCTAGCTTTATATGAATAGATGAATCATAACTCTGTTTTGCCAAATGTGTTTGGCTCTGAAGGGCGAGAATGAGGACACGCAGGGCACTTGTGTCTTGCACGTCTATTATTTACACGCGTACAGCGGTTGCATGTATAAGGACATATGGATACGTGGGGACCTGCGGACCTCTAAGGCTGAGCTGTTCTATCGTAAAGCGAAGAGTTAAAAAAAATTTGTCTTTGACCTTCGACTAGATTGACATCGGATGGAATTGGGATTGGTCATCAGGGGTTATGGGAGAGAACGTTGCTAGCGGCTTGCGTAAATACAGGTCCCCGCTCCGTCCCTGACGCACGCCAAAATCCACGTCCCGCACGCTTAAGAGATATTTACACCAAAAGTTTCACTTCCGGATGACATGTAATCTGTGGACTATACAGCAAAGGGACTGGTATAAGTATTCTATTGAAATTTCTCTCTTCTGGTTTAAGTGAAAAAAAAAAGTATGCAAATTCTGGATAACTTTAATATCATTTCTGATATTTTTTTGCTAGTTGTATTGAATTGAGCCTGTGATTGTTGTCGTCAAACAGGAGCCGAATAAGCAGTAAATGTACCAAAATGTGTGTCTTACGTGATCACCGCACTACAAAATCGTTCCTCTATCGCGATAGAGGAGCGCCAGACTGAATACAGAATTTATTTAAATTACTGGACTAGTTACGTCTTCTATAGACGCTACATTTCCAAATCCTTGATTTTGCTTATGCACACGTAAGGATGAATGCTTTCTATTTTTTATCATATTAAATTTGTTTACATTATTGAATCGCATATACAGAACGTACTGTCTCTTTTAACAAGCCAAATATAGACCTGTTAGCTACGCTATAATAAAAATAGTTCAGAATTGTAATATGCGGGCCTCATTTGATTGTGGCGGCAGGATGAATGAAACAGTCACTTACACTTTAGATTCACTAGTAGATTGAACCATCTAATGCCTTATTACCGTTTGCCAGATACTCCTAACCAGTATTCTTTCCATTTCCCTGTCGCGTAAGACTTTCGGGGTATACTCAAGCGACCATTTCCGACATTCGACAAACTAATAAGCTCTTTCCATTTAGTTGATTTTAGTAGAAATTATGGAAACGCCAAGTGAGAGGACTTTAATACATGCTTGAAACATGGATAAAGGATAGGCCCCCACTTACGAAGTCGTACTATAGCTAAAGCTCTTACTTTGTCTACGTCTTTGGCCCATAATCGGGTCCATATTATAGGTAACACATGTATGGCCACGAGTTACCCCCCGAGGGGCTGTTCGTTTTGAGACGACTCGCCTAGGTGAAGCGAGTGAAGCGCCAGTGGTTGTTGATAACCCGTCTGACCAGCCACTTATGATGCAGGCATACGTGAGTACGACGGGAGGCCCCGAGGTACATTCGATCGTCGCGGCTCAACATGGTAATTAGGATCCCAATAAAAATATATAAAAGTAACAGTGCTTTAGAGTCTGCTAACTGTTGATTACTAACAGTGTTGATACTGTTTGTACGTTAAGTCATTACAAAATTATGAAAAAGCCTAGTTCACTTGGCTGCCAATATAACAAGCCAGTTCCAGCGTAGTGACCAATACAGGTCTACAACCCTCCATAGTGCCGTTGAATTTTGAACTAGGAGTTCTTGTTTCTAGATGAAGGGTTTTTTTCCCAGCTCAGATATGCTACCGTGTGATGTTTTAGATATGGCTTCATGCATTATTAAGCAAATATGTAATATGATCATTGAGTTGTCAAACTAAAGTTAAACTTGGGAACTCTATAATTCACTCTGTAAAATCCCTTGGCGTTCCTTTAAAGATATATTAAGTTCAGAAACCAATCTCATATCCGTTATGAAGCGGTATCAACTTAACTGATCGAGCCCGGAACAACCCTACTGTAGCTATGAAATTTGTCGTTCTCCTAATATTTGTTTTCTGTAATAATGGAAATTTTGCATCGCAGCAAATGATATCCAATTCAGTTACACGAAATAAAGAGGTTCTGGGCAGACAAGGTACAGAATTATACTTGTTACTGCCTACGCAGTAGATTGTAGGAATTATGTCGACGATTGAATTTCGTCAATAATTCGTTAAATTAACCGCTTTCTAAGACACCATCTTTTCTAGTACCGTCTGAAATGATGAGAGCACAAAAAGCATATTCAAAAAGACAGCTCTACGTCTTATTCAGTTTTCCGATTTAACGCTCCAGCTAAAATCGTCACTGGTCAAACAATACGCCATTATCGTTATCGATTTTGTACGGCTGTCTTGTCGTTCAATAGTTATCTATATATTTTAAGTAATAATCTAATATTTTAAGTAATAAAAATAATAATAAGTAATTTTAAGTAATAATAAGTATAAGACTGGCGTCATGATCATCTTCAGCTATCAAATTGGGGCACCTGTCATCAGCATTCAGCTTAGCTCGGTCTGTTCAGAACTCCTTGTCGTTAATACCGCCCCGTTCGAAAAAGAAAATCCACGTACGTTTTGAGCCGTCGACGATTGGGCCTCACGTCGGCGTCTTGGTAGTACGCAATAATTTAACTGCGGTCAGCTCGGTACTGCTCCGAGGGGAAGGTGGAATGGGAAAACTGCTATTAGCAGGACAGGAACCCGGCGAAACGATTTTCTTCGATCTTAACGCAGCCCTATTAAAGGTACGATCGTTATCTGAAATGTCGCGAGCTGCATGTGGTTTGCAAGTTGTTTGTACATAACGGTGATGTTTATTCGGGAACTCTGGCTGATTTTTCCTTCTAGCATCTCTTAACGATGAAAAGCGACATTTTGCTATCGACAATAGAAGTTACTATATCGACATATTTCTCGTTAGTAAATTATAAAGCAGGCGATAAACTTTATAGCAAATATTTTGCACACCTTTAACTTGCTGTTGTTTACAGGACTGTGGTAATATTGGTCTCTATACAACCCTGAAAAAATACCCAGTAGCAAAGAATGTTGGTCAGTTACCGATACGGGTACGGCGTGTCCTCATCAACGAGAGGGAGTGTGTCGGATACGGGTTCCGTGTCAAAGATTGTGAGCAATTCATCATAAAGCCGAATGCCTCGCACAGAATCGAATTGAGGTTAGTAAACGATAGAAAACATGTGAATAGAGTTGTCGTCTAAACCTCCGACTAACCTAAAAGTTAAGGCTTTTTTTTTTTCCACTCGCGAAAAGGGCTCGCTGGCCTGACTCTTATTTAAAGAAAGCTAGAAAAGAACTGTAGTCATCTAGCCTCTACTTAGCTCTAATTAAAGAAACAAGTAGCCGACTTTATCTCTACTTTATAATAATAATCTTCTCTCAAGAAATTGCTATTTTCGCAGTATTTTAATGTTTGTTAGTTGTCTATAGCTTAATTTGTATTTTTGCAGCTTTACTCCGGACTTCACGGTTTCACGGGTAGAGATAGTTTTGTCCCTTGTACTAGACGACAGCATATTGGACTTCAACATTGTCGCCACGCTACCAAAAAGTAAGTATTTTCACATACAGAAACAAACATTGAAAAGAGATGGACATCGTATCGTCTCAGAGGTATGATGGATGACAGCAAAACAAATTCGATATAATATGCAGTAACAATAGATAAGCAGAATACTGCTCACCATTGAGAAAACAAAGGGGGCGTCTATCGTCTGTTTATGGCACTTTGGCAGTATGCGTAAAATATAGCAAAAATAAGGAACTAGATTACGCTGACGTTTTCAGAAATAGCTCGCACTTTTAAAGGCAGTTAAAATTATGGATGTTGACTTCGAATTGTCCGGAAACTACTCGATAACGAACAGCAGTAAGCAGCGGTGTTTTTTTTTTCCTATATTCCTCTATTGTTCAAGCGAGTGTTATGTTTTTTTTGGCCAGACAAACCCAGTCTAATCGAATCAGATATCCGTTCTGAGCTTAGACTCGTATGTATAATGCCGCTTATATATGCACCATGCTTAGGTTTTGAATGAAAGATGGAGGTTGCCGCGACCCCTTTATCCATGAAACAGCATCATTGTCAAATAGCATATACGCCACAGTCTTCACCTTCAACAGGTCTTTTACAACAGAAAACTGCCCATCTGCGATATGATGACGCTTTGAAGCACATAGCAACTTTCGTGCTTAATAAGAGCGAAGCCTTTTCCCTGATACCTACATCCTGTTGATTTACTGCGTCAGCATCAGTGTCTCTTGGCTGTTCAATCATACTTCTATAGGTTGTTATCATTGTTTTTTGCCTTAGACACAAGTTTATGACTTTGCGCATAAAGTAGGACGCGAATAGGCGCAATATACTGTGCTGATTCGCCGACCTATCCCAGTGGCGTCCACATAATGACCAGTAAAAGAAAAACCCTTTTGAATAAACCAGTGGCGTACGATAGGCATCGGCTTAACTGTTGTTACTGTTGTACAGCTGCTTATTTCCGTATTGCCTTCAATAAAAGACAATTTTGCTTGACAGATACGAGTTCCTTCTCTAGATACGGGTCCAAAAAGTCGCTCGCTAGAAAGGTGTGTAGATGCTGTTTTGTGGTACAACGATTCATTGAAATACGTCGACACGACTCGTGTATTGGTTTCTATCGAGTATTGCACAACGATACGAGGCAACGCGATATTTTTTATATTCGTATATATGTACATCCAATCATAACAGGGAGGACCACAGTTGTGATAAATGTTATTAGGGAAAGGGACCTGTCTGGGCATCTATCTGTCTGTATATAAATGTATTCGTATGCCTAAAAAATACCTATTATTTTTTGATAAATTAGATTGTGGCACAGATCAGAGTCTGATTGTGTTCTAGAATTAAAACCTATACATTGACGCACGTCAGATGTACTCCCTTTTATCGTTTACACATTAGAGCCTTCTTAACAATTTTTTGGTTCTGTTTGACTACACTATATATATGTATATATATATATATATGATTATTTGTGATTTGCATTTCCCTGCGTGACTCCGTTACGCATGGCCCATGGAAGGGAATCGTTCGAGTCGACTTCTCACGCTCGAGGTGGTGACTGAAACGTGGCGATGAAGCTATGCGCTCTAAATTCACGCGTCACGCGTTCGTGAATCTTTCGTGAAATTTCGAGATATTTGGCAGCTTCTTTTTCGGAAAATGTTATTGTAACAACAAACGTTTTCGTCACCCGTTGAACGTATGAATAGCAATGTATGCTTGAATCTATTCAGAATTTCCACGAATCATACCGGGTACTTCCGGTCGCTTTTGCTTCCGCTGGGCACCATTTTTCGCTTGGTGCTTCGTTGGTGGACGACACAGACAAGCCGTAGCTCATTTATGGCGAGATACTTTTTCATAGTAGTTACGTAAACTGTATCTAGGCTACTACAGTATCGCTCCTTGTTTCAGCTATCCTGGACCAAGCGGATGAGCAGCCCATATTTTGATTTTCTTTTCGTCATCACTGTTTTTGTTGCAATTCTATAATATGTATTTCAATGAGTCGCATATTCAGTCGAGAGAAATAAACTTACATAATCATAGGTCTCGTGCTTCTGTATGAAATCCTGCGCTGTGATCACCTCCGCTGTGCTCCTAAGTCTTCCAGTATCTGTTTGCAAAATGATGGCAAAGTGTCACTTAGCAGAAGTTCCCTTTGTGTAGCATTGTCATTAATATTCGTTCGGTTCAATTACTGAACATTGATCCTTTAACACTAAACGATGTCCTTTCCTCTGCAGCCATTATACTCTAATGAGATCAATAGAATCATAAATATTGTGCTACTAAGTAGTGCTTAATTATAGTAACTGTCCGGCTCGCTAAGTAGCCCAGAAGTTACCTTAATAACTGAATGAATAAAGTTGCAATGAATGATGAATAAGTGGCCACTGAACACAACGTTGAGCGTGGGAAATCTCGTCGACAAAACAGGAAGTCGTGATCGTTCTATCTGATAGCGGCAAATGCTGCAGCTAGTACAATATTTATACCTGGGATATTACCTGTCTTCACAGGGAAACTATTAGCAAGCTATAATAATTTTCTATTTCCTATTTAGCGAGCGACGCGTTTCTACTATCGTAGTGCATTGGACAGATCCTGTTAAGAACCGATATATTTTGAAGGAACCTCTTTGTCCATTGAGGAACTTTGTTCAAGTAACAATGAGCTGTCACAAATGCTTGCGCATTGGCTGTGTCCAGCCAGGTTCTTTATTGTATAAATAATAGAAAAAGCCTGCAATAAAAAAACTAAGCCAATTGAAATTAACCGAAAAACTCGTCATAAAGGATAGTACATGTGCTTAGTAATTGTCTAGCAGTTCTGCACAGTTTCATATGTAGCGTGAACAGCTAGAATTGAACGCGAAAACAAATGACGGGAATATACTATACCGTTCAGTGGAGGGACTGTAGCTTTTTAAGCATAGCATCCAGCAATGTTATTGGGCTTTAGCCAAATACCACAGACCTCAGTGGTGACGTCTTGTCAGTTACCCCTAGGGGCATAAAGACGGTTCGAATCTAGACGTATACACAAATTTTCAGGCCATATCCGAGCAAAACGAAAGGTAATGGATATGGTATTTACTTTTTTCTGACATTGGTTTTTCATGTTGAGCACTCGACACTGGTAGGCCTTCGAAGAATGCTAATCGGCCGTATTTAGGCCTGTCGTTGGGGACAAAAGTTGACTATAGAAAACAATAAGCTTTACACGTCTTATCTGCTTCAGCTATCGAACGAACCACATTTACGTATCATGCAGATACCTATGTAGCACGGATGCTAATATGTTGTGGACGTGATAATAGTTATAACTTATTATCTGGAAAACCCACTATACTACCCATTTGTTAGCAAGCAAATTTCGCCTGACTTTACTGCTGGTCAGTGGTATTTTTTAACCATATCTGTATTGTCTCTTAATTCTTAGGCGTGGTCACGACGTGCGCTGACCAGGTGGTTCGCCCGCCGTGGGAGGGACCCCTGTACGTAACGTGCCTCATCGTAGCGATTCTGTTCGTTGCTTGTATCTTAGCTTATGCGTTTCTCGACTCGAACAGGGTACTGCAAGAGACCCTGTATAAACTGCCCAATGTGACGGACCAGCAAGCGAATGGAAGTAGCCGCGAGAGTTTGTCAAAAACCACAGCAGCGGCATCTGCGGTGACAGCCTCTTCAGCGCTGGCATCAGCAACAGCAGCCCGTAACGGCTCAAACACTTCCATTAGTCGTAACAATACAAACAATGTCAACCACGTAAACCACCCGACGAGAGAAGACAGCAGTCGTCTTGATCCTAGCGATCCCGGACGTAACGCTGATAGATCTCAACGAACTTGCGTTACGAGGTACGTATAAGACAAGTTTGCATAGAAAATTGCATGTTATTACATTTTGTTACATTCTGGTATGATATGTAAGCTAAAAAAATCTAAAAGCAGTTGTACACACTGTATAGAGAAAGCAAATCTTAAGTTGTTGCTTGCGTCGTTCCGCACAGTAAATTTACCTAAATGATATGATATCTTGAGAAGGTAGTTCTTTATCTAACTAAGCTAGAGCATTTTACAGTTTAATTCTCTACAGAATTAAGCTGACTGGATCTGACTGATCTGATAATTAATTCGTTTCTATACGTATGTGTGTCTATCCATCCGTTCGTTTTTGCTTCGATGCTTCATAGGATGTTTAGCTACGGCAAAAAGATGTTAATTGACTGGTTAAGTACGAAAGCTCCACTCGGAAATGGTCACTCAACAGCAGCTACTTGCGGAACAGCAGGATCAGGCTTAAACTCCGGATCATTGTTGTGTCAGTACGACCGTAAGGGATCCTTACATAGTGAGGAGGGTGGCGGAAGCAATCATGGCGACGGAGGTGGTGCATGCGGACCTGGAAGCAACGGCAGCAGCAGCAGCAGCAATAGTACTAATACAAATAACCGCCGCAGAGATAGCGGTCCACAGAACAGCAGAAGAGAAGGAACTAACCGTCGGAATAAGAAGAAGGATTGTATTGATTCATATGTCCGAAGTAATTCGATCAACGCTGGCGACGAGGTCGAGACCGAAACGGCGACACAGACAACTAGCGACGGTCACGATGCTGATGAGTACTCGACAATCGTCGACAATGACACGGACAAGGCGTCCGATAGAGCAGATCTAGATGACCGAGACCGTTCAAACACATTAGTCGAAGCTGAAACAGAAACCACGTCTGAGGATAGCTCCGAAGCGTCAAACGAGAACGTACCCGTTGCAGAAGTAACGCAGACTATTGAAGAGGTATGTACCGAAAGCCGTAAGCTCGATCAAAGGACGAGACTCGACCAGAAGTTTACACGTCGCAAGGAGAGACGGAGAAAGAAAGAAAGTAACGACTCACCGATGTCAAATTCGTTAACTTCTGGTGGCCGAGCACACGGCTACTGCAATAGCCATAAAAATGATAAGGATAATATGCCGGGCAAGGATCACTTATCGAATAACTATAGCCATAATAATCATAGTCAGAATCACCACAGCAATGGCCTGTCAGCAACTCTACCAGATGTCTGTGTGCCTGCGGCCAATGTCCAAAGGAAACCTCCACCACATACCCCTTCGCCGCCAGCTGAGCAACAATTAGTCAGCAACACAATAACAGTAACGACAGCAACGCCGCCAACGATGCTTGGCAGCAGCGGACCAGGCCGTGAGCGTCGACGGGACTCCCGTGGTGGAGATATGCATTCTCGGCATGAGCGTGAAATTCCACCTCGTTTTAAAAAACAGCAAGTGGCGGCATCCTTTCGAGCCGCGTTGCCTTCGCTCACCCCGCAGGAGGCAAGTCGACAGCTCACAGCCGCTGTAGCACCGGTACCACGAACAATCACCTACTCCGCTGTCGTATCAGGTGGCCAATCACCCCTTTTAACATTCGGTAGCAGGGGTGGCACTTTTGGCATTGCTGGTAATAGCGGTATAAGCCTTGCACCGGCCAACGGAAGCCATCCCGGTAGTCATGGCCTTGTAAGTAACGGTCACGGAGCAACGTCACTTCATACTACTTCAGTTTCAACAACAGCATCCGGAATAGCACGTCGCTTAGGTGGCAATCCTCCACCCGGATTCCCTCTGCGTCCCTCTTTGGCGGCTACCTTTTCGCCGGGTAGCGCTGGCGGAGCCATGTCGATCGGTGGATACGCAATCACGCCAGGCGCATCACTTAACGGACTGCATTGCACCAGAACTCTCAGACCAACGGCAAGTCACAGTCCTTCTACCAGCAGTGAGCCATGTGGTAACGACGAACAGGAGATGGCCCCGCTGATCCGGTCCATCATCGACTCGGTTATCCCGACGGAACGCGATGAGCGGATGTCCATGTCTTGGGTCGCATCGAACACCACTCCATCATCACCAGCCTGCGGATCGCCAGTCTCTGCTGCGGGCGCCCACAGCAAATCTGGCACCCCAACTGGTGGTTCTGCGGGTAATTGCAACACTTGTAATAGCATTTCTGGCGAGTCGCGATCGAGTTCCGTAAACAGTGGCTGTAATGATGACATCAGCGGAACAGCTCATTCTGCGAAGAACACCACAACCGGCGGAAAAAGTAGTGGACGTTCGGTAGGTGTTCTGTCATACCCGACGACGATCGTTATGTAATGGGTTCGTGCATGTCGTGGCGGGACTTAAGTTATGTTTAGGTAAAAAAAAAAAGCTCCACTTAGACTGAAGATGTCGGTCCAAAGGTTTCCAAGAAAAACATACAAACATAAATAAAATGCCGAAGCGTAAATTTGACTACATATCCATATAGGTGCCATTAAACTGACCAGTATCATATAAACTGCGTCACCGTTTCGAATCAGAGGAGTGCTCAATGATTACAGCTGAGAAAACACGTTGGTGAAGTTAGAACTCCGTAGAACAACTATGAATCAATACCTGTGCTGGTTTTCTGTTCGCTTTTGCTTTGTTCCTGACACGATTTACCTATCATTTGTCTGCAGCTGTGGGAAGACAGTACTTGGAGGAACAGCGGTACGAATAGTGGGAGCAACAATTCGATGACATCGTTGTCGTCATCGATACCAGGTTCGCCGTCGTCGCCGCCTCAGTGCTCGCAGACGCCGAGCGCTCTGCCGCCGACCTCTAGTAACCACGAGTCGACATGCGGTTTCGGCTCTGGATCGGTAGCTCCAGTTGCCCCTCCTTCGCAGACGTTCCCGACTTTCCTTCGTCGGACTCCCGAACGTGACCGAGAGCGTGACCGTCGCGAGATGGGTCTTGACCTGCATCAGAGACATCTGTCGCAGTGCGCAGAAGCTGGAGCCGTCACTCAGACCGGACAAACGCCCGCTCAAGCCTGGTCGCCGACCACTAGCGTTACTCCGCGGCATCTTTACCTCGCAAGAGGTCATCAAATCCAACAGCGGCTGAGTCATCCTCCAACCGTTTCTCCTACGAACGATTACAGCTATAATGGTGAATTCCTAGTTGATGATAATAACAGACATAATAAAAATAATAAATATTGCTCAGGAATCCTGCTTGATTTGCGAATTTATACAGGATGCACACATACTCATCATACATCGATTTAATATTTTTATTAAATTTATTTCGGCCAGAAAGTACTGGTATTACCGTATCAATGTTATTGTCTCACATATAACTAACCCCGTACTCTGTCTTCGTTGGCCATACAAACACGACTTTTGCAGGTGCCAACATCTGGGGATCTGGTACATCAGGCTTATCTCCAACACAGCCGCAATCAATATTCCCTTCGCCTATTGGCACACCTTGGACACCATTCAGGAGCCCCTCCCTATCGTTATCAGCTGTACGCGAAAAGGAAAACGCTGGCAAGAAATGCCAATAAAGGAGCGAACAGTGTATCCTCGAAGCCCGTACGCTAATGCGTGTGCTAACGTTGTAACCACGCTGGCCTCATTTGGTACAGCACTCGTGCGTGACTTTTAAATCCAACAATAGTTGCGTAGAAATGTGACGGGAAACTTGAAAACGTTTGATCTCATTACCTTCTTTCTCTCCAAATTCGATTCGGTGCACAGCTCTACAAGATAGTTCGCTGATAGTGTCGTGTAGAGGAGATAGGTCCCACCAGCGAAGAGAAGGAGATCCCTAAAGACCGCCTACTAGACGATGATGACCGTTGCGATGCCCCTGAACCAATGGTTATCCATTAGCCCACCTGCGTAGGAAATTGTCACCCTGTTATTATCATCATCATCATCGCCATCACGATCATCTTCATCGCCATCGCACGTGGAAAACGGTCGCGAGTTCAGCGACACTTCAAAACCGTGGAAAATCTTTTTGCCACACGTCTACAGGCCTGCTGCGTTTTCTTGTCGTAATTCGTATCTTGCGCTTTCGAGTCTCTTATACATGTAGAAACGACGGGGGGAAAGGGGAAGATCCAGGAATAACATCAACTCCCATTTACCCCAGCCAGTCTATTCTCGACGTCGTAGGCGAACGGTACACTGGTGAAATTATGAAAATCTTGTTTACAGGGGCTGATTAAGCACAGTAAATGAAACAAAATACTGTATAAAAGACACTTCATGGAAGAGAAGCTATGATGCACTGACTCCAGCTGAGTGTGTCGATATGTCCAGCATGTGTCCGTGTTCGAGTGGCTTGCGGCGTGCTAAGTTGGCAAGCATCAGACACATTCGGCTGAGTTCTGATCTTGCCGAAGCGTTGATTAAGTGATGATAAATTAATCGGTTATTGATATAGGTGTATTCGATACCTACTTAATCTAGTAATTGCATAATAATTTGCGTGCTGTTGATTTGCCGTTAACTGTTCATAAGGCGCGATTGTGCTTAGTTGATTGATTGATGTAAACTAAAGAGATGACACGAAAATTGCGTTTATCGATCAGCAAAAAAGTATAATGCAGACCCGAGCATGTGTTGTGGATTTTGGGTTACATACGGTCGAAGCAAGACGATAAAAGCATGCGGGAACCGTCGGCAAGGAGCTAGACGATCAAGCCGATACGAATAGTATATACACAAACACGTTATCAAGTATTTGGACTGACTGACTGACTGACTGAAAGTCGGCCAGATAATGTGTATCCGAGGTAAAAATTACAACCATCAAAAACTTTATTAGGTGAACTGCTACAGAGGCCTGTATTGCAAGGAGCACGTTAAACTTTCACAAGTATTTTGTTTGACTTATTGTTGGGCAAAAATTGAGTGTGGGATAACATATATATATTCGGTCTTTGTAATCGAATCTGTCCTCTGCTGTGTGAATAACGGTATCGTATAGCGATTCAATCGTTATATTAATATTTCAAACTAAATGTTTAAACATCTCGCTTGAAATAATGTGCTCGTACGTGTGCTTGAGGAAATGCTTATATTGATAGCACGAACAGCTTGTTTATTACTAATTGAGCGATGAGATGGACTGACAGCGCACGTTTCCTCATGATACAGATAAGGTCAGAGCTGCAAAGTAAGCCAAACAGTAGGGCCAATTAACAGCATCAGGCATGTTGTGACATGCAAGCCTGCAGGGTACGCGCACCATATCGAAAATATCGCAAGTACTACTATTATGATTTGTGTGACGGCCAATTGAGAAATATTTCAGCCAGAGCTGCTGTCTAACTTGCCACCGCTTCGTTAACGCTTTCTCAGATGATTAAGAACAAATGCCTTCGTATTCTATAGGACAGACAAAATTGTATAGGGATAATTTTTTACAAGCCACAAGTCAGCAACTACAGACTTTACTCAAATCAATGATCAATTGCAATGTTCTCACGACTGAATCAGGCGACGATTTACGATAAGACGACGTAAAGCCGAAATCGCGTGACTGTCAGTATCTGCCTGCCTGCGTGCGGACGTGCATGTGTGTGCGTGCGTGTGTATATGCGAGATAACTATAATATGTAATAATGTATTTATTAATAAAATATAACGTTAGAGGACGATGATGGTGATGATAAAGCAAACGATCATTAGTCAATCATGATGAAAACAAAGAGAAATGACCGAAACACGGTCGGTCGAAACTTTCGGGAACACAACCAAATAGAGGAATCATGAACAATCGAACAGACAAGGAGGTACAGAAGAAAGGGTAGTATTACAAAGATCACACCGTATGGAACTATAGATTCAACTAATTATCTTTGGGATTATTAATATCAATGTCATAATTGCCCAGTATGTAAGCTGCCGATATGCACTAGCTAACTGGAATGAAAATCAAAGAAAGAAAGAAAGAAAGAAAGAAAGAAAGAAAGAAGGTTCTGGGACAGGACGAGATTGCTTGTAGTGGTCGTTAATGATTAATTATCAACCTTGAAATTATAATTCTAAACTTTAGTGAGCAAATAAAAAAGCGAAGTGTGCTGAGGTTATGATAAATTCGTGCGTTTAAGCCAATTACCATTCAATGAGACCTCACTGAAGGGTGGGTCTTGCAGAGGCAGTCGCAGCAATAATCAGTAAACATAGTTAAGAGCTGCTGAAGCTGAGGTTCTGTTCGAATTCAAGGGCCAACAGCAGAGTAACGGAGGGTCAGGTAACATGAAAAGTTAAAAAAAAGTGAAGGGTGAACAATGCGGCAAAAGGCGTAAGCGTATAGTCAGGGTTCAGTCAGTAGTAAGAGTATCGTTACGGTAACTCTGTGAATTAATTAGTTAACGAGCATCATCTGTGCAGGTTTTTTGCCGTTTCAGATTTGATTAAAATGCAATGTCGTCTCTATATGCCAAAGATCTAATCTCATATTTGAACGACAGATTGATAGCACGTCTCCATTGAGTAGTTCTAAAGCATATACCCACAATGAATAAGACAACAACAACAAATCAAGGTATCTCTTAATACGAACTTAGTCTCTCGACAGTGTGACAAACTTATTATTAAGAGAAAAATTATTACTAGAAGAGCCTATGTAAATCGAGCGTAGCTGGCAAAGGCTGAGATAAAGGTGACGCCATTAGCGATGATTCTGTAAACCTGACAGAACATTACCACTTTCAAAAAAGGCTTAGTTCTAGCATATAGGTCGCGTTTCGTTTTCAAAGAAAAACGCCCGCCCGCCCGCACGCCCGCCCGCCCGATTTCAACGCCGGACACATGGTCGTCAAGTACGGAACATTTAGACGGATTTAGGAGTGTGTCCATAGGAGTCGTGAGGGAATTTTTCTCCAGTACGTTAACCCGACACATATATATATATATATATATATATATATATATATATATATATATAGGAACAAAAGCTAAACAACTAAGGGTTGGTAACTAGCTACAAAGATTAGACACTGCGTGAGGAAATCAAGCGTGTTAAGTACGAAACTATTTAATGCATTATATTCAACGTGAACAGTAAAACAAATTCCAGTAACAAGTATCATCGCAGCCAATGCGTCTTTTTAATTTGTTGTACTTAATATTATTATACATAGGACGATCACTCACCACCACACTCTTGACGTCGTGCGGTTCTGGCTAAAGAACTCGATGCTCGCTGATTTAAGGCCACTTATCGACGGTTACCTGTTTTGCGATAAAACAACGGAAAGCATTAGTCTGTTATAAGCGAATTTAGCGTACTTTGAAATTGAATAACTTTTTAAGTACGCGTCACTAGCAGACGACATTTAGGTGGTTAACGCTTTTGCAGTATTTTGGAAACTTATGGGGTGAAAACCGGTCAAAAGAAATGAGTTCGGAAAAATTTCTTCTAGTCCCTAAAGTCAATGTTGATTGGTCAAGCCTTCATATCTCAGGGCCACAGCGCTACGGAAACTCATAGGAAATTGGTGACGACGTTAGGCAAGGAGGCCTTGAGCGAAAGCACAGTACACAAGCGGTGCAAACGTTCCAAGATCGGAAATTACAGTGTTAGAATGGACGAGATTAGGGTGAAAGGCGAGCGAGACCTGAACGAAAGAACACATTTACGCAATCCGAAAGACTTTTCAGAAAGCAGAAATTAGAGTGTAAGGGCTTTGTCGGCCAACTAGCATCTCTCATGTAACATGTTACAGCATTACAGATATAACCCAAATACTAACGATACGTAAAACATTGTAAATAAATGAATTGTCTCATGGCAATTGGAAATGGGGATGGTGTACTCCACGTACAATTGGTGGAACCTTAAGAAGCAAAAACTGCCTGAAGCATACGGTTGCCGTAGGCCGTCGGGCGAGAGATGGCGTCGCCCTGGAAAGAAACCAAGTTTGGTGGCAGTGTCAAGTAGATTCGGACGTAGAATGATAATATGAGCATCAGGGACATCGACTAGCACGAGGTACACGCCGAAAATGGAACAGTGAATGCAGCTCGCTAACTCGTCTTCCTCAACAGATCCGTGACTGCCACGGCACTTGAAAACATGCAGTTTCAACTTCAGACCCCATCGATTCTCCACGCTCTAAGAAAGGCACTTGGTGCTACTATCTAAACCAGAACTATCAATCTGCTTATTATAGGTAAAAAAAACTACGTGTGGAAATGCGAATAATATGTATATGGCTGTCCAGAAGTTGTCAGAGCGCAGGGACAAACGCCTAAAATATAAAGGAAAACATATGAAAGTCATCATTCTAAGCGAACTAGTCATTAATTTGCAAAGTCAACGGGCTTCGCTTGTAACAGCCTAATATTACAACGGGAAGTTTTAGTTAGTTCGCAGCCTGCTACTGCCATAGATAATTTAGAAAAAAAACGATGTTGATCAATTCGTACGAAATTGGCGCATAGTTTTAGTTGTGCTAATTCCTTTGTCAATAGATTCATCGTTTGGATTTATATGAAAGTCATATTTCCAAAAAAAAAACACATTAGCGTAGTTAGGGGGGTTTAGAGAAGTTCAGCGAGCCATAATTTTGAGCACTTTCAAATCAAAGCAGCCCAAGTTGTGCATCTGGACGTACCACACAAAGCAGTTTTTTTTACACTAACAAGGTGACTTTCTGATGTTTTGCTAATTCGAGTGTACCGTGCTAATCTGCACTGGAGATTGATTTGAAGTCAACGTATAGGAATGGATTGATCGGTTTAAGTACTCTTCAAAAAACTCATGTAGCATTAACTTTTAAGCATGAACGTTTCTATACTAGTTAATCTGTGCTGCAGAGGTGTAACATTTCTCAACAGATTAGAGCTCTTCTGAACAAAAACCAGCTTTGCATCCGCTTGTCACCCAGATCTCACTTAGTAGTAAATAATGACCGAATCTTTATGAATGCTGCTAATTTACAAGATAATATGTGAGCTGAACAATCGGGCTGAAGATCGGGCCTTACCATCTGTGCATTGTTAGACTGATAGACACTTTTTATAGAAAATGCACTTTACGAGACCTTCATACACTGCACTCTTTTTGAATTGATCAAGGAAAACTAATATTATAATTTTTTTATAAACTGGTATATTTCTTTTTTAGGTAAGTATATTCTAAATGAAAATAAAGCCACTTCAGGGTTCGTTGAAAAAAAAAACAGTCAACCAGATCGGAGTGTTGGAGTTGACCAAGTTTTCTCGTGAATGAATTCCGTGTTTTAGATACACACTTACAACTAATAAGGCATCTGGCAGAAATAACGTATAAAGTTACTCTATTGAGATATGTTTGGAGTATAGTTGAGAAAACAGGTACAAATGTGCCTAACGAGGGAGAGTGCCGTAAGAGAGCCTTAGCTTTTTGAATAAGTAATGAATATATATAGGACCGCCATTAGACAAGAAACAGCGATAGACAGGGCGCGAGTTGTCTATGATTTTAAAATTGTTACGTCTAGGTTAGTGAGAAGAAACAGATTTCCTCATTTTATTGCTACGTCAAATATGCTTCTCAAGCATGGTTGACCGTTTTCGGCATTTACTACACGTTTTGTGGTATAGAAAAAATAGTTCAAGTTAAACAGAGTATGCGCTGACTAGCTGTTAGTGAACAGCCAAAAATATAGACCAAACCCCGAATAGTTAGCTGTTTGCATGCTTTTTTCGCTCACTGTTGGCTATCTACGTAACGTTTGGCGACTCATCGATGCCACGAACAGGGCTTGAATCATAGACGCTGCTAGTTAACGTGAACGATGCTTGTTCGGGTATTGTTTAAACGTAGGAGTCAATAAGAAGATTTTTTAAAAAAGCCTTACTACTATTAATCAATCGGCATGAAAAATCTCATCGTTATCATGTGTGCCAATTAGGATTGGAACACAATTTCAATCTTGAGCTGTTAATTTTGCATCATGCTGATAAGAATCGTACAAAGACTATGCAATCTTTGCAAAAAAAAAAGATTAACCGAATCAATATCGTCATCGTACTGACGAATTGCATCGAAGCTATTACCAATACGTTAAAGGGTGATACGAAGGTTCAACTTTTATTCTTTTAGTAGGCTTTGTTAATTTAGGCTCGGATAAAAAGCTGGCACCTTACGACTCAACAACACCCAACAGTCATGCATATTTATACAATGCTGCATGAACTAAAATACCAACGGTTTCAACAAAACGATATCGGGGTCGCATTGAGTGACAGAAAGCGAGCGCGACGTGAAGTCAAGAAATTCTACAAAACCTTAGTCTAATTAAATACCTAGTGTTTTCGGTATCTGCTGCTGCTCCTATAGTTATCCGCCAATTAGAGCTCTTTGCCACGCTAATGGCATCAACGTTCTACGAAAAAATGTGAAGGTGGCTTCGTTGAGCAACTGAAAGCAGACATTCTGTTTCGAGGCACTGCTTGGAACTGACTAACGTCTCGACTTGTATGCGTCCCGAGGCACCTTTCTATAAATGGTTTGAGAAACACAGTTTACGTGCCACTAGAGGGTAATATCTATCTTATGCGAGGGGGGCAGTCTCGCCAGTTGGGCTTATTTCCCTAAAAACCACTACTTGCTAGACGTCAGTTATTTTCTCAGTCATCAGTCAAGAATTAGCCAGACCTCATTTGAGTTCATTTCAAATTCATTTGAGTAGTCCTACGGGCTGATAGGCTGAAGTGGCTAGTGCCACCGGATCATCGAACAGGATCACCTTACCCCAGACAAGCGCTCCTCGCACAAAAGGATGACCGCTCGTGGGTTCTCTGATCCTGAAAAAGCATTATATGCCACGTTGCTCGGCCCTAACTTCACAAGCCGTTCTCTTTCCTTCATGATCTCCTTTATCAAAATGTCACCCGCACCCCCAACACTTCCGCGCATCCATAATTAAGGATTTGAATTTCCTCATGCCTCATATCTGCTGTCATGTATCTTTCGCTACTGCAGTTACTTACTGCAGTAAATGCGGTAAGGTGACCAGCGTGTGGTGTGCCGCATCTTTTAGGCTCACAGTGCAGAAAACACAAATGTCCCATATGGTTTTGCAAATGTTATATTTAAAAGCTTCGTGACTCATGAGAATCTGCGTGATGCTGTAAGTAAGGATCCCACTGGACATGCTATTCAGGCCTTTTTGTTAGAAATTATGGCGGTTATTGCCTTTCTCGAATAAAATTAGGTGTTACCTCCCGCTCTTTTTGCCACAGCCTCAAGGCCTAGTCTTCCGCATCATCTGCCGGGTCGTGTCAAAGCATGCACCTTTCTATAACTCTCACGCCTCAAAGAACGATGCCTATCAGGACTAGGCAGCATTTGTGCTAACAGTACGCTAGGCTTGGACAACCCTAAGCGCTAGTTTTCGGTGGGCATTTTAAAGTAGCTTCTCAACTGTGACTCCCATAGGTCCGGACAATGTCCAGCCATATGCCTCGAAAAGCGCAATCAATTCTATTATGTCATGAAAAGCTTCCTTTTCCATTCTCAAGGGCGATCGATGTTTGGCAGTATTGTGACAATTTCCATGTAGGCCCTAGTTGTTTTTACGACGGTTTGCCTGATGTAGGAGCGTATCCTTCTAATTGCGTGACCAAGTAGACTAGCCAGCTATCTTGCTGTTCGTACCAGATTTATCTGTTCTTTGTTCTAAATTGAATACAGGAGGCAAGCTTTGTTTCCTGCCAGAGCTTCTGATCAGAGGGAGCCTTAGAAATGGCTAACGTTACGACACAGTTGAAGAAACTTGCGCAACACAATTTCTTCCACAAGATCTGCAAGAAGTAGATACGAAATTTACATTTAGATAGTGATAATTCTACAACGTAAAATGCCGGCTCGTAGAGAAGGATTTCCAGCACGTTCTCCAGAAGTAGACATCCATTAAAATGGGACGCCTAGTTATGCTTATTAAAGTTAACTATGACCATATACGGTCATCGCGGAAAATAGCGTTTTATAATCGGAAACTAAGCAAAGATCAGTTTATATTATAACTGTTATTATTACTTTTTACCAAAGAAGATAATTAAAAGATGCAGGCTGTGTTATATAAATTTTACAGATAGGTTGTAGAACCCGGTGTAAAACGTTCAATTTATGGATGTTCAGTCACGCGCTTTGGCCAAAAATGACCCTATAGAATATCGCGGAGAGAAGTTGCTCAATTGTCGAATGCAGGAACCACACCATCGACATATTTCAGACATGGTGACCATGCATTACATGATTTGCGCGCTCAGAGGAGCAGAGTGGATTCTGCGCACATCTATATTTAGCTGACAATTCTCAAATATGTGTCCTCATTTGTAAAAAAATATGGTTAATTGAAAATAAACAACTACCGCAGCAGCTACAAATCAAAGTTATGAGACGCGTTGCCCTTAAAAGTAAAATTGATTGCGATGAAGTTGTCTACAACGATATCCAGCAGATATTATACTATTTAAATATTTTTGGTAATTTAAGGAACGACCCGCACTTAACCGATGTTGCAGTTTCTACAGGTATCAAAAGCGCTAACAACAGCGACAAAAGCCTGTGCCAGTATCGTTTTTGTGCGGCGTACATTCCGCCTTTGGAGTGTGCAAGCTTTTTATTAGCGAAATTTTTCTAGGTGAGGCGCCAACAAACACACAGGCAGTGTACGATATTACAGGTAAGATTGTAGTTGCGAAACAACACTTTATATATCAGAAAGAGCAGTCATATACATTTTGAGGCCGTTAAAGCTTCGAAAATAACTCGATAACATGTGCTTCTCACTTTGGTTGAGAATGAAGCGCCCAGACGCCCATAATTATTCCCTGTCGAGAAAATTCTCAGCATCGATACAAAGAGAAACAATCGATACTATTATGTTTATATTGAGAATGTGCGTATTTCGGGTAAAACTAGATTCCTAGCCAATGCTTCTGTTTTAGGTATGGTGCCCAAAGAAGAAGACTCCACGCTAGCGCCCTTTCTCGGCAACGCTTAACTGCCAACAAGGAAGCGTCTGCTACAAACGACTGTGCGACCGTCTGTAGATAAAGTGTCTGACCGCAGGCTGTACGTCTTATAGCAAAATGGTACACACATTGGCCAGTTAGTGCAGGGCTGATTGTTTGAAAATCTGATCCTGATATGTTCAAGTAATCGCATATAAGCGTCTAGCAGCAGAGTTTCTCATGCTAGATTTCTACGTACACGACGTAATTGAACGACTGTCTATCAAAGTTTGCTGTGACAATTTCGATCTGATCATTCATACTGTCAAAAAGACATTCATATAATTGTAAAGAAAAACTCCGATTCGAGCGGTATTGGACAGGTCGACATGTTTAAAATACGCAAAACGTCATTAAAAACTATATGCCGTCTAAACACAGTCTTTAAGAAGCACTCTTAAAGAATCCAAATCCAAAAACTAGGTCGACCATTTAGATTACTTACGGCGAGTCAGTTTGGTTCGACGAGAAAAGAACACAAAAAACACGCTTCGGATTCACGCTTAAAGGTACAGGTTGACATTAATCATTTTATTACGTTAACAAAAAAATTCACACTTAAAAATATTAACAGCAGATTACAATAGTAGGACCAGTTATCTGTTTGAACACACGCCTATAAACGTTTGTTCTCTTGCGTAACTAGTCAGTAGCGAAAGAAATATTTCACTTTTCTAGTAGAGGTAATGAATGCGCTGCAGGCGGGCATCCACCCGTTACTTCTGTTGAAGGACCACTATGAAAATTCAGTCGCACCCGGGGAGCATTTTCGATCCAGAGCGCGATCCCAGTAGATTCTTTTACCTTGTCAGCTGTACTTCAAGATCAGGAAAATTTATTTTTGCAACCTTTCAAAAAGGCTTCTAATGTAATTGTTGCCGCCTGAAGACGCTTCCTGTTCATGACTCAATAACAGCCTCGATTTACTAATAAGCATCAATAATAGTAAAATTTATTGAAGTAATCATATCTAGCGAGAAATGACGCAGTTTCCAAAGTCCGGTATATATTACATAAGCTCGATAGGATGTGTAACCTTTGCTTTCACAAATACCCATCCGTTTGTGCTACGGGTGACTGCACCCTTAAACCCGGCAATCATCTTGATAAGAAGGAATCTAAGAACCACTTTGATTCGCCTTCAGGCCCTAGCTCAAAAGAGAAAATGGTAAAGAGCATCCGTCAATTGTAGTTGTAGGGTGAAATATAAGTTGCGTAAGGTTTGCGCATATCACACTGGACATATCGCAGTGCCGAAGCAACTTCCACTGGGACACAGCCGTTGTCAACTTTTACCACGAATGTCAAAGGATCGTTGGCTAACGTTTATATGGCGGCTTAATCATAACGGCACATTGTGGACGTTCGGCGTTTACGACGCGGAATTCCCTGTATGAGTTTGGCAGAAACAAAAAGAGAGCCTTAAATCGTGTGAAATTGCTCTAGGAACTTGTCGTAGTCTAAACGAGTAGCAAATACCATTCCACTTCATTTTAAAGGATGTCGGTGTATATGCAAATTGTGTTATTAGCAACAGCCTGGCTGGGCCAGATGGAAGATATGGGCAACGCAGGTGGTCCGTCGCGATTGTTCAAGCCGCCATTTCCGGCAACGACTGTCGAAGTAACTCCCAAGTTTAAGGTCTGTAAACGATGTGTTACTCAATAGTCAGGCAAAGGTAAGGAGAATGCAACGTGCAGTGAGATCGCATGGAGCTGCTAGAATCTATACAGAATTGTCGAGGCGATGAGTGAGATCGTTTATTTACACAGAATTGTGCGACGCGCGCTTGGCTACATATTCCAATAAGTGGCTTAAACGAAGTAGTAGAAGGAATCACATAGCCTGTTAAGTTACAGATACGGGACATATCCAGGAGAAGACAGAAAACAGATGATTATCAACATTGTTAGTGTATATCTATAATAGCTCACTCTTTAAGTAGGATAGAGCATTTGTATGGCTGCTCTTTCAGTGTATTTATTTTCACAGAGCACAGCGTACTTCCGTTAGATTAAATTTGTTTCTATATGAATCGGTTTCCCTATTGTGCTATAACAATGTATTTGAATTAATCATCTCAAAGCATTTCTCAGATAGTGTTGCTTTTACCTAAAAAATATAAATCAGTGTAAAAATCGCTGCTCTAAAGAAAGAACGCTTGCGATACTTTACTTAGCTTGCTCTTTTTAACAGTATCGCTCGGTTGCGCCCGCTTAAAGCCCAAGCCTAAACTCAAGGTAGGAGTCAGCTTTTACACCGAAGTATGTAGCTGTGGCACGTATTTTCAGTTTTATCGTTGTCCAGTGCAAACGTTCACGAAAAAATAAACACTCTCGGCTGTCGGCCGATCATTAGGACCTTTGTGATTTCACAACTGTCCATGAAATGGCCATGAGAAATTTTTGGCAATCTACAAGATAGTTTTTGGCCCGGCGTTCGTCTTTGACCCTGGAAGCGGTTCACGCCACTCTAAACACGTTGAGATAGCTATGAATGATGTTATTTCAGATGTGCTCAATTTTCATAAAAGTACATTTAATCTTTTTGATGAATAAGGAAACAAACGTTTTGCTGAGCCTCGGCCGCAGTAGACCCTGACACTCTCGCATCCGTACCGATTTTGAGAAAAAAAATAATAATAATAATCATACGTCGATGTTTATTTGTAATTGCACTATTGAAAAATGTTTTTTTTGTCACGCACAGAAAATTATTTTTGCGACAAGCTTACGGAGTATACCACAAAAATAAATTGTACCTACGATATGTAAAGCTCGTGGATCTGCAATCACAATAAGGTTCGCAGTCGCCGTAGAAAAGGCATTTTGCTTTCCGTTGCAAACGAAACGGCAGTAAATAATTTGGTATTGGCATATCGGTACCGGGTTTGATTATGCCTCGTAGAAAAAATCCAAAGTATTATTTTTGTGTGGGCCGTTCGGCGGTCGGCAGGTTTTTGCCCAAAAGATGCTTAAGTGATTAGAAAGCCGGTTATAGACTAAATGACTTTTGTGAAAGTTTGGTCGGAGTGTTGCGAGGTGCGCTCTCTTCGGTTCGTTAATCTGTCCTCTCTCGGTCTTCACCCGCAGTTTGTACAATAGACAAATATTTTTTCGTCGAAAATCACTGGGTACTTTTTGCGTAACAGAGTCGAGTCATAAATGATGGTGTTCGTTCGCATAAGCATGATGAAAGAGCACCTGTTTTACTGCTATGATATATGATTTGTATTTGAGGTTCTTGTGAGCCTTCCACGAAAGCCTCCTTAGTTTGTATAGCAACGAAATTCAGGCATAATAAGAAAAATATGTTTATTTTTCGTCGATAGGTCATTTTTGAGGATCGTTTGCATTAGTGGGTAAGGACCTTAGTTAAATTTGCGAGAGCTACGCGGCGAACAGCAACTGGGTACCCCAGTGACGATATCTAACCAAATTTACTATTGCAGATTTATTATAATGGGCGCGAAGAAGGGTGCTCTCTGGCTGTACTCACACAGTTTCTACGGCTCATCGATGGCTATGATACGATGTTGTACTGGATAAAGTAGGCTTTTTCTTAAAGCCCTCTTTTGCCCAATGGGAGAACTATTCTATAGTGAAAGGATCAATTGTTTCATATTCAGCTGTAGCACATTGTGTGCACCTACTATATCATTGTTATCACATGTTATCTTAGTATCGTCACATCTTCTTGTTTCATCAGTGTTACGCTACACACGAACTCGTGTCGGCTACATCCATTTACTGACAGTATAACTAATCTTCATCTGCTCGTTTATTCGGTTCTATCTATAACAGAACGTAGTTCTTGGGTATCGATAAGCTCGCAATATAATGTTACTGCAATGAAGAAAACAAATTTACATATTATCAGTAAGCAGTGTGACAATACTCCCGATGATCGAACGTAATTGTGTGGTGCATTACAATGAAAAGTCAAAACATAATTCCAACAGTAGTTACCGAAGCCGATATATAATGGTTTGTCCTCGCTGAAGACCAAATCCACGAGATAGGTACAAAGCTCCATATGACCGGTGTATTTGCCTAGTAATAATATAGTATTTATTTTCAATGCATTTTACAAGCTAGGCTTTTCTTTTTTTGTGCGGCAGGTGGTCTCCGAAAGAGGCCCCTTTTCTATATCAACAGGAATTTCCTTTCCAATTGAGCTGGAACTTGATTCCGAGCCTGAAGCCATCAGGGAACTCGACGAACCGAGGAGTAAAAAGCAGCTGGATCAGAGCACGTTCGGCCGCGTACGATTGGGTAACAGCGAAAAATAATGTTCACTATCTAAATTCTAATTGCGATAGAGTTTTATCAACGATTCCATGAGATGATTTGTTGCGAGTTGGATGAAGCAAGCTCGATGTAGAAAGTGTACTGCTAAATCAATGAGTAACTAGGTTATGATTAGCGACTGTGGAAGTCAGGCCATCACACAGCAAAGAGATATCGAGAACTGCGATAACAATCATAATGTTTATTTTGATGCGCGAAAAACAAACAATATTAAATATTCTTTTGATCGTTTTTAATACGAATAAACATCTACCCAACGTGTTACACGTCAGCTACTGTTTTGTCTCGCCACTAACAGATTTTCTCCCTGAACCATCGCAAAAAACACCAATGAAATTTTTTCTATAGTTGCATAGTCTTTCTAACAAAAATGTGAACTTGATATTGTTGACCCGGAACACAAATTGTCGCGCTGTGTCGCATGCATCGACTGGTCCAGCCGACGATGTAAGCTTTGCGCCTACGCAAAATGACATCATGCACAAAAAAACGAAATTCAAGCGGAACCCACTAAAAACAGATACAAGCGTCAGCCGCGAGATGAAGAAAATCAAACGTGAAATGAAAGAACTCGTGAAGACGACAGGCTTTGGATCCCGTGAAAATAGGGCCGTGTTACCTCCTGATCGAACACTAAGGGCTCTTCAGGAACGATTGCAACTGTTCAGAAGTAAGTCCCTTGTGTGTATATAATATTCCCTTCTTGACTTAAGGATAAGGATTTGCAATGATGAAAATTTAGGTTATTTGGGTATTTATCCCGCAACCGAACGTCTCACAGCTCTGCGTGTAGAGATAGGCCGGTGGCGCCTGATCACATTAAGCGGTCACTTGAAATTCGCGTTCCTTCGCGTGTTTATTCTGTAAAAACCCAGACTTGTGTAAGGATATGAATATTTCCTAAGAATTTATGGTAACAAATGTTGCCGTCATGCCAGTAACCAGTGTCGTTACACCGACTAGACACCGCTGATTTATATTACCGTCGTTACTAGATATACATGTTCCTGTATATACACACACACAGATTTATTTTTCAAAATATTCACGTGCATCTTATTCATGTACAACCTAAATATGTTTTGACGATATTTAATGGGACTTCGCTTGTAGGCATTACGTTATCGCTAAATCAAGTGGGCCTCGTAGGAGAGCAATGTCTTCTTCGAGCGATTTGCGAAGCTGCCAAATTCCCGCAGGCGGATGAAGAGGGTCTCGTTGGACAGATCGTCACACTTCTCCTCACGTCTGTCATATTCTAATGCATTGCACCGTTATGCTTGCGTCGATCATGTACTTAGCCGATATATGTATCATGCAATGTTCGACATAGGTCAAAAATTTTTCACACCTTTATAGATCCTGTGAATGTTAAACAGTAGAACACAAGAACTAACAATAGAAAATATATTTTTTTTTTTTCAAATAATTGTAGGGGAACAAACAAATAATTGTTAAAAACTGTACATTTTTTTATTTTTAGGATTCCGGAAAATAGTGTTCCCGAGATGGCGAGTTATAATGAGGCTACGGAGCGAGGAAAGGCTGGAAAGAATTGTACCGGTTATAGTGACTGCCCGATTTCCGTGTTCAATGTGCGTGATCTTTAGGAATAATCTCCAAAATCTACAGTAGACACATTACGCTGAAGGAAGGTTTGCCTATTGTATCTGATTCAAATAGTAGTAGTGACCCTTTGTCGCGCACGCGGTATTCTAAGCAAGCACTATCGTTTTGTGCACTTTTTCAAAGACAAAGGGAAAAAATGATAGGAACGCTTTATTATGACTGTCGCTGGAGGACAAGACCATTGTTGCATAACAATAAAAACAAGCCTTAGACGCTTTGAACGAAACTTAGGATTATTTGCTTTTTTTTTTTCGTTTCGAGTAGACCATGAGCTATCGTGCCTTGGCTATTAGACGCATGATCTGCCGTGTCGAGCCATTGCCGTGCAAGCACATGGACGCTTACATGCAAAGATTATGATAGATAAGGTAAATGAGTGGATTGCTAATGGGAGATTGGTTTTCATATTAGTACAACATCTAGGCGAAGACCTCCATTAAACTGTGCCATTGCATTAGCGGTTCTAATGATAGGTTTATAGATCGAAGCAATCAATCAAAATTGATTGTCACTATCAATATAGAAATAGCTATTGCTTTGCAAGTCTAGTTTACGTCAATCCAGCAGCAGCCGTTTGGCACTCCTTACCATGATACCGTTCGCATATACCGAGACATTGTATATTTACTTTAGCTTTGCTTAGAGATCTTCTTTCCTTTGCATCGTAAAATCGACTATGATGAGATCTTCTGCAGAGGAATAAGGAATGGCTAGGACTGGAGCAGAACGGTATTATTTATCGTAAAGGCATTTTTATAAATACTGCTTGCCAGTGTATGCAGTTATCTTTAAACAGTCAATCTGACAAAAACATTTTTAGCCTTTTGACGATCGTAATGACAGTGGAGGTGAACGTGGTCAGTAAGGGACGAGCCGCATTTGACAGCTAAAATGATAAATCTGTTGCCAGCTAAGTAGAACAATGAGTCTCCAGTGAGGCACCCATATTTTTTCAACAATAATAATAATATGTATACCCGCAATCGATAATGTATACCCGCAATAAGGCAAAATTGGGTTTCCGATAACTGAGCAAGAAATACGTCGAACGATATCGTGGGGCTTCTCGCTCGTACTCGCATTGTGTACGTTGGAATTGTTGTTTAATTCATCTAAACCCATCGATTTTGTGAGAATCTTCAGCTCCATGGCAAAGTAATCGCTGATCGTGTCGACAGCGGTTCCTGTAACAATATTCTTCGTATACAGTATGCCGAGAACTGTTGCACAGTTTCTTCGCCTGGTTTCCGTAACGAGCTCACCAGCACCATCTTAAAATTCCGCTGAAACAGTCATCGACGCTTGCTGATCGCCGTCGTCGTTCGGTTAAAATAAGCACGCGGATTTTGAAGTGGCCAGTTTAAGTCGGAAAACGGTACATGCACTGAAGTTCCGAAATTTCTGAAAGTTCTCCCCTAGCTGAATCGGTGCGGTTACCATAAACTGCTTACATAACGCCTTTCCTAACTCTAGCGATTTGTAGTTATTATCAGCAAGCGTCAACAGATATACATAGAAACAGATATGTTGAATACCTTAAAGCTAAAACAAAAATTGCGGGAAAGACCTTTAATAAGGTTTTCGGCGAGCTTGAAATCCGTAGTTTTAGCATTCGAACGTTAGTTTGACGTTGCCACCTCATCCGAATGTACGTATCCGAGTGTTTCTCCCCCATCAGTTGACAACTCCACAAAAGAAAGTCGCTTCTCCTAGTTAAACACACCCTTAAGCTCACTTATCAGTAGACAACGTGGAAATGCCTCATCTCTATATCAGTTTAATGGGACCGTTTTTGGGATCAGATCAAACAGCGTACCACTAGAACGTTGTTGCATGTCAAGATTCAAATGTGTGAACAGGAGGCGATTTTTACCATGGCGCCAATCTCGTACGTAGCGTTTACGGCTTTTTTTTCATGCGAATACGTAGCGTTTACGGCTTTCTTTTCATGCGAATACGTAGCGCTGGTGTATCTGATCCCGATTACAGCCAATATAGAAAAAACATAGGTAGAGGAGCGGGACTAGTGAACTTCTTTGATTTTGCAGTACTTAACTGATAATTAGCAAATCGCCTAGGATGCTGGTTCAACTTCAACGAAGGTGATATCGCCAACACCTCGGTTAGCATATCTAAATTTCTTTCTAAAACGAACAACGCGGATCACCCACACGAAATTATCTGGGGGGCAACCAGCGATGAGATTAGTTGTATTGTTTATGCAGACTGTGCAATGTTTAACAGTGCAGCTTGTAAGATGCTCATAGAAATCATACCCGCGTAAAGGAACATAGTGGAATGGATTATTGTGTTATGCAGACCCTTCTTAACGATCGCTCATAGTTTGCAGAAAATAGATAATGAAACATTAAGGACGTCGTAATATCCTTATTTGAAAAAAATGTTTATTGGAGTATCTGTTCTACTGTCGTCAAGCGGTTCCTGTGGCTGGTTGTGACTTTTGCAATGGTTGCATTCATGATTTTGCTGCTACAATGAACTGGGTCTATACACTGAAATTTGGACATCAACGAAGTCGCGGGCCAACAACACGACGGGCCGTATTGGATTATATCGCATAAATGTATTAAATCTGTCATATCCGATACTTCTAAAACTGTCATTTCGAACAACAGATCTCTAACCAACAGGTTACCGATGTAAGCACACGCTCCGATCAAGAACCGGGTCGGGCACGTAGCTATAGCACGCGGCCTTGGCAGGTCAAATGTAAACAACTAAGAAAAAGAAGTGAGGACATCTGAATCGATCATTATTAGAACACGACGGAAACCTTTGATACCGCTCACAGTCGAGCTGAAGTCTATGGCATTAACATAGAGCGATATAATGTCAAGCGCTTGGACTTGACTTTGGACCTTCGTTAAAATATCCACATATTATTAGCAGTCACCCCAGGTCACGATAGAAACCAATTACCTTTTTTTTTTTTGTTTTTTTTACTATAGTAAACCGTATTCTTGCTTTGTAGGTTATTTTCACATGAAAAAAGTTTTAAAACATGCATAGCCCTAACAAATGAGTTATTCTCAACGTCTCCTTAAATGACCGGTCACGTACTGCTTTCAATGATAGTATTTCCCGAGATACTTTCTGTATTGCGATCACATGATATCCTATCGACTATATCGGTGAGACTGGTAGTTCACTATACGGATATGGGGTATCTGTTGTCGTTGGCGTCAACATCCGTCTCAGATGCTTTACTCTACGCTGTCACGAACGACGACACATCTGATAACAATGACAGGCATAAAATAAACAAAATTAAAAAAAGAAAAGGGGCCAGTCAGCGAACAGTGGCCTCGAGCTGGTGATCAACTGTACGTGATCGTCCGGTCGTGCCTTTGAGAGGACAACTTAAAAGTTGCAGAGAAGGGAAACAGATTGCCCATCTGTCGACGGCACACCACTCCCAATATAAACAGCATCACCAACTATCCCGTAAAATTAAAAAGATAAATTCATATATGCATCTTAGGTTTGTTTCTGCTCTTTAGTACGATTTACGACTGAAAATGGATTTGAATTGTTATTTTGTTCTAAATCAATTTTCCAAACAAGAACCGAAACAGCGGGCGTGTCTAGTTTGTGCATGCATTCCGTTTTTACTCGTGTAATAACCGATGCTTTTTCAACTTAAAAAAATTTGTTTAAACATTTGTAAGTACTCTTAGTTGGAGCACAATAACTTTTTCAGAGTATCTGCTAAGCGTCTGCAATGTCGTAGCAAAAAAGATGTCGTTAAGATTAAAAGTCAAGTACCTGCCAATTGATTCAAAAACCGTTCCCGTGGACGAATGTCTAGACATTTTGCAAAAAAAAAAAATATCCAAATAGTCATCGCCTGCAGGCCGTCTAATTTCGATCACAGTCTCAAATCTAAATCATATATATGTATATATTTCGAGTGGTGGCATCTATCCTAAAAGAGTCCCGCTTTGTAATTCGTTTAATTCAGATTGGCTGAATGTTTATATGTCTGCTAGGAATTGGCCCGTCCTTCTCAGATTGCGGACATCGGACAGATAGACCGATTTAATTCAATGCAACACATTAGTAATAGACCAAAAGTTAGACAACGAAAAATTACGTTTTTCAGCTCTTAATTACTTTTTGTTTCAATCTGTTCAGTAAGTATGTGGACCAGAAGGAAATATTCCTAGAGAAGGGTCTCAAAAGAAAACACCAGATTTGCCATTATGCGCCGTAATTCAACTCGTACAAAATGGGAAGCGCGATAAAGAATCTGGTGTATGCAATAAAATAGATAGGATAGAAATGTTGCTTTTGCTAGGGCTTGAATCGCGCGGTGCGCAATCGAAGTTGCTTTCATCCTGAGCCTCACTCAGGTCCCTGATGACTCCTACGAATTCGTATTTTCGCTTTTGTGCCTTGCCATCCCTGATTAAAAGGAATTACTCGACGTCGACAGATTATGCAGCTCTTTAAACAAAAAATTACACGGGTTACCTGAGCACTACTGTAGATCTATCATTTTAGTCATTTTCGTATAAGTTGAAAGACGCACACAGTTCTAGGGGCAGCTGGCATATGGAACAAGGTAACTGCTTACCAGCGGATTGTTTTATTTACTTTTTGATCGGTACGAGCGACCCATTTTTGGCACGAGCTTATTTCAGCACTGATATCGGTAGCTATTGGTATGGTAATTCCGATCCGAGATCTATTTCTGTAGCTTGGAGGTAGAAAGTTTACTTCTTGTCTATCTTCTACGATGTCTCTGGCTTCGATATTGACGTTATGTAGGTCACACGCGTATCGGGAAACTTTCCTTATAGCTGCTATCTCAACAAAGTGATAATATATCAGTTATATACAGAACTAGTGGATGCGTAGTAAGGTAAGTGTGATGTTGAAGCGTTTAGCGCAACTAGTTACAACTGCATTGTTCGTGGGTCCCTTTTTCCACCGGGGGGCTGAATTCGAGTTCGATTAGAAGACCAAGAGAAAGTAACGACTTAGTAGGCATGCTTGTACACAGCAGTTGCATGGAGGCTCCCACAGCTGGCGCCGATTCAGGATTTTTACCTAGATTTTCAAGGTCGCCGCTAAAGGTGCAGTCGTAGATTTGAAACGTGATTTTCCCTTTAGCCGGCATCAAATACTGAACACTTCTGACGACTATATAGCAGCAACGTTCGTGAACACGAATACATAGTGTAATCCCGGCAATGCTGAAATCATTTGTATACATATAGCCCACACCCTCCTTCTCCAGCACCAACTTGTACTTCGAAGTCCACGCGTGGGTGTATCGCTGTCGTTGGCATTGCAAAAGATCAGTGATTATGTCTAGTCTTTTTTTTAAGTTGTAGAACCCGTTTTCTAATGTTAAGCTGACCGAATTCACGTCATTCATGATGCAAGTCCTAACACTGACTTTCAGTTTTAGTCTTGTCCTCTAGACGATCTTCGTTATTAGCTAGAATATCGACGAACACAGAGGTTGTGACGCCAAACAAATAGAACGCGCGCAATTTACTGCTTCAGTCGTACTGGCCGAAAGATCCAAAATTGGAAGTAGGCCATGCCAGACCGGAAATCTTTTGAAGACCAAATACGGGACGCTTGACAATTTTCACGTTTCTGTAGTAATTGACTATTCAAAAAAGCTACCTAGAATTCTGGCACGTTGTCAACTCTGATCAACTCCGACCCACACTAAATACCTGCATGCAGCTTTTCAGTGCTTGCCCCCTTTGCTTCCTGATGGTGGCACATGTAACCACACGGTCGCTAGAGGGAACTGCTGTAGAGGAAGAGCATTTACTGAGACGTGTAGTTCAATGGCTGTTCAACACGACGTGGACGAACATTTAGAACATTATGCACAATTTCGTTTCCTCTTCTCTCGTTTGTGGAGAGAAAGAAACGATTCGAAATGTAGTGCGGCAATTATCGTCATGCTTATCTATTCAACGACAATGTTTCTGTATCTCGCAGCGAACTGTGACGATTTTCGTGCTTTTGTGACCCTACATCAAGTCGTATTGGTGATCGCGGATATAATTTGTCGAGTAAATGTTAAAGCGTGCAGCTGATAATTTAGCACAGAAGATAATCTCCGTCATAAAAACAGTACCGGAAACAAAATCAAGAACGATGCACAACACAGCAGGGAGACAGGATCATACTAAACGAGCTACAGTAAGATCAATTTATAGCGGTTTCTCAAAGTTTTTGCAAAGCGGGCAATCGGTGTCCTTAAGGACCCTCGAGCGATGCGTCGGAACAAGCGATTTCAGCTGTCGTAAGCGCGTTTCAAGTAGGGTAGACAACTCTAAAGTTAAACAGTTGAAGACTGGGAAGGGGTCTATTTTCCAGATCTATTGAATTTTGTGATTTAAGGTAGTAATGCTCAACCCGTATACAGAGGTTCGGTGAAAAGCCTCAAAAGTCCTCTATCATTCAGAAGGTTAAATATCCGAATAAAGTATAATTATGTTGGCCGTGATTTACAGCGACGTTTCCCACGAGCCCCTGATTTCATCAAAGGAGCTATAAACAGATAACAATACAGTGTGATAGTTCAGAAGAAAAATGCGGTCTTAGACAATGCTGTTCGAATAGGAATTATGCGTTCAAATGTGACAAGTTATACTAGTATATGGCAAAGTATGTTTATGAAACATCTATGGCTAACAGTGTTGATGTTCTGCTATGGCCTAGAAGTTTACCTGACTTGAATCCGATCGAAAACATGCTGTATGATGTCAAACGGCAAGGCGGGGCTGGACAGGAAATCCTGAACATCTCATAATTCAATAATACAGTGCTTCGAGTACGTGCGCAGAACGTAGATGTGGCAGCGATGATGGGAAAGTGCATCTGGCGCATGTTAAATCGAATTGTAGCCGTTTTTCAGCATCTTTTCTTTCAGCACAGTTTTTAAAAAAAAAAAGAAGGCGACAGTATCATCATTAGAAAGAGGAGAGAGACAGCTTCCGCACGCAGATATTTAGGTCGGGCGCGGAGCCAATTTCGATCAAATTCGACGATATCTGAAATTTCGAAGTAACAGTAATTGTTTAGCCAATCAGTGATGTATTTCTTAACCTTGCTGAGCTTCGGTGTCACGTCGATCTTCATTTCGGTCAATCGCTCGATGCTGCTACTGAATTTAGACATTTAGGCTAATAGCCCTAAACAGAATGACTAAAAAAAAACAAAGATATTCGCTAATATATTGGTATTGTAGTTTAAACTATATTTCACTGTTCAATTATTTTTTTATAAAGTATAGAGGCGTTCTATATAAGTGCTCTTGTCTGCTTAAACTACATAGCTCAACCTACGCTGGTCAATAACTTCTTAAGCCAGTACATTAAATGTCCGCAACGCTAATTATTATTACACTCATACGTTTTTAGCGGCCTTTACGAGAGGTTGATTAAGCCGAAATGTCCTCCACGAGTATCCTGCTTGGGGGTCATTCTAGATATGTATTTGTACACTGTTTGCAAGTGATTTGGAAAGCTTTGACCTGGCAAACAAAGACAACATAGAGCAAGGGAAAAGGAAGCGTCGCTGACTGTCTCTGTAAAAATAGACCTTATTGAGGACTGGACCTAAATAAGTACGACCTTATGAAAAGGAAGAGTGTAATATCTTGTGAGAAACACCAAAGTCTATGAGCATACATTGCGCCACTTGACAAATGTCACCTTCCTTGAATATCTATTAACTGATATAGAAAAAATTGATAGTGGTTACGCTTGGAAAAGACCGGCTATTACCTTGGATGGGTACGTAACACGTATTCTTCATATCGTTAGAGTTTTTGTGTGTTACAAAGATTTGATGCAATCAAAATTTCTATGAATTTCTTTATAATCTGATGTAACGCTGTGTTTTTGCACCAGGGCTATAGCAAAATACGGCGTTAATTGATATAATAAAAGCTCTTAGAAGATCCTTTTTTTTTCCTATAGTCGTCATAAAGCAAAAATTTAATTACCTAAAGTAGTTTATGCGAGTCGTCAATAATTGCCTCAGACGGCTGGTCTCCAGCATGAAACATGGGTATGACTGCGTCCAGTTTCGAACCTACGCAGGCCATCTCATGGGTCCCTAAATTTAGCAAGGAGCAACACAACCACTGCATCATCACCGAGAGAAGCTGACGTTCATCCAAAGAACATTTCACAGACTGTTTTTTCTTGCTGCTTAAACACGCACTATTGTCATCAGTGTCAGTTTCTTTTCTATAGAAAATGCTAACTTACATACCTTTGCAATTTATTTATAATTCTATTTATGATCATAAAAAAGAATTTTGTCATTATAGAATATGGCATAAAATACAAACAACAGGTACGTTATCGTCACTTCATCGCTATTACAGGCTAGAAATGTGCAGGGACGGAAAAATACGAGCAATGAAGTAAGATTTTCAATCAAGAAAAACTGATTATAATTATCGTTGTTTTCATTTCATTTTTATCTTTTATTAGTAGTCAATATTGTGTAAAATTAAAGATTTTTGTATGTACAAGATGAGATTCTATAATTAGACTGTAAATAAGATTGTTGTAAAAATGTTTATATAAAAAAGAATAACGAAAAAACGTTTGTTACATGGCGGTCATATCGATTCATTGTATGCAAGAAAAATAAGGACATACTTTTTTTTTTTTACTAAAGAGTAATTTCATAATAAACTAGAACGAACTGCCTCACATAGGCCATCAATACAAACCATATCTAAATACCTTGCATCCATCATATACATCGGTAGATTGACTGACTGGTTTATCGGCTCGCAACCCAATTCTTTGACCAGACTAACACATATCATACATACTATATCATTTTGTCTTTAGTGCTTTCATCTTGAGAAAAATAGCTACGTTAAAGGAAGTTAGTGGACCCGGTTTTCTTGATTTGATCATTTCTCGTTAGTCTTCAGTCAGTTGGTCCGTATATTAATACACACCGTTAAATTACATTGTATCAGTCTCAGTATTGTTGCGCCTGTCCTCCGTATGTAAATCCTGGCTTTTGACACTATTTAATGTCTGTATTATATACAGGCATCCTCGTATCTACGTTAAGGAGCATCACTAACAATAAGTGTGCACTACTCTTTTAGTACATAACCCTCAGCAAATCAGACATAAATGCTTTTTTCGTTTTTTTTTTACATAGACACCAGTGTTTCACCATCGCCCTGCGCTTCATAATAACCCTCTTGATTGTGCTGGTTGATAATAAGAACCGTTATTATTACTATTATTATTCTCATTATCATTTAATAAATAGATATTAGCCTCGCGTGAACGTACAAACACTTAATAGCGGTATTTACTTTTGGAATTTTTTCCTATTCATGTTTTCTTGTATATAAGCATCGTGCTAAACGCATTTCGAGCCAGATGATATTGGTAGAATACAAATAATAATAAATCATCTAGGGAATTAGCTAACATCTGCCTCTAGCATTCGGTCATGTGACTCGAAATGATTGTACAAACAGAAAGATTGAAGTCCTGCGTTATTTATTTTATGCTGTTACGTTATGGCAATGCGTCAGCAAAAACAATAGCGGTAGTACGCTATGTACACATTTGACAAGTGCTTAGAGTTTCTTGTTCTCGATAGGGAATGTCTTCCTGTGCCTAATATTATTATTACCATTCCATTCATTCGTGAAGTGTTCGCCTGCCAGACCTTGTCTCGTTAGACTCAATGCTGCTATCGTTCCGTGGCGGCTGCACGAAGTAGAATGAAGATGGCTAACATAGGACCAAGTATAAAATACGTTGCCCGTAGCATTGGTCCAGAGTGGCTGAACACAGGACAATATGGGCACTGATACGAGCCGCATACGTGACAAATGGACATTGCATACAGTTGATATACCTCGAACATGGATTCGTTGAAACGTTCTGCAATGGAATGAATCATGACCTCATCATTGTGCGTGGCGTGGTGATAGAGCATGTGTTTGGTTTCGGTTCACTTTTCCAACAAATGTAATTTCATAAGCCTGTATCTGGGCTTTTGAGGAAGGCTCTAGTAGCAATGTGTATGTTTGTGCAGCCTAATGTAAAATCCGGTCTGAACCTGATCGTCGCCTCGATGGAGCTATCTCAAAACGCAGTCTCAATCCAATTCAATGCATTCACACAACTCAAAAGCGCAGTATTCATCACGCACGACAGTTATTTATTATGAGCACCAGTAACAGAGACTGAAATCCTATTCATATATAGGCCGCACCACCATAATAGACTTTTCTAAATAATCTATCTAACCTACGTAGCTTATATAGGTAGTATATACAGTAGTTATATAGTAGCCTATACAGCTAACTATTATCGCTTTGAACAAACTTACTGCTTCAATACGTACCTGGAGCGTAGTAATCATAGACTTTGATGGAAATAAACCTTGACATGTTGGCAACAGGATACCAACGGTTAATGGTGAGATCGACGCAGATTGGCTCTTCGTCGAGCTGCAGATGAAAGAACCGACATGTGTCCATAGCAAGATATGTAGCGTAGGAATTTTAAACGACAGGTATTGAAGATCTATGTCTGTTTAATAGTTTTACCTGCTGCCTTCAAGTCTTCGAAACTACTATCTCAGTGTCATCATCAATGTTGAAGCGATGTTCATTCGGCTTTTAATAACACTGGATAAAATATTAAATAAACGGGAGTCTTTCATGCAGGCCTGAGATATCTCTTTTTATACAACTGGTTCACTGTAGCTAGTACCGGATCTATTCAAAGAAAACGGGCCGCTAATCCCTGCGCTTCTTAGTATCAATGGTCACTGCGGCTGATGACCTACCTTTTGCAATTGAAACTATTAAAGATAAACAAGAATTGCTCTCAACATCCTCGCTGTGGGTATTGCCATGTCTACCCCAGAAAAGCATGACTATAAACCGCTTGCGTGGAGATGGCAGAGTAATGTGTACTTACATAATCAAAGTAGACCTCGACCTTTGTCTCCTGATAGCGTGCTTCACGCAGATTTCGCACGCGCGCATAGCGTACGTAGCTGTCAAGCTTCTGTTGTTGCACATAGTATCCGGATGGGAGGTTCACTTCAAGGACGGCCATGCCACTTGCCATTGATTCTTCTAAACGCGTCCATCGTTGACACGAACTAACAGGGAAAAGAATAGGCCAGTGAACCCGATGAATGACTTCCTACTCATTTATGCAATAAATATTTGCTTAGCTGGCTCTAAATGGAGAGGAAAATATGTTATCTAATATTATACAGTAATGAAACCAAAGAGCTACGTACGTAAAGGTGATGTGGGAGTTATTCCTTCCGAACGAGTATTGACGGACGTCGAGGTCAAATGCTTTCGCTGGTGGCTGGGTTACGAGGTGTCTCCAGGTATCGATATTGTACTGTACATGCATTTGCAGAATGGCTAGACCAGAACCTTGCACCTTCACTAGTACTCCACCGAAGGCATTCGGGATGGTGAGCGCCTGCCGCTTACTCAAGTTATCCCTGTCTGCTCACGAGGTGTAGCACAAAACGCAGACGCAGAGTGTTTCATCAACGTGTAACTCTGCTTCGATACTCAAAGTCATATGGCGTAGCATGCTGATACAACATGCTTGATACAATATCAATGAATACCCATTTCTGTTATATTCACTTACAAATTATCTCTACATATGTAGAAGCATTTGTTTGATCTCTTTGTTATAAAGCTAGGTGGAACGTAACGCTTTTTCTCTAGATCAGAATAAGTAAGTAGAAGGTGTTTTGATATTACGCCACGTACTGATTCGAAGTTCGCGCGTAAACCCTGGCGTTGAAGGTGCATCGACGGTGACGGTAAGATCCACAACGTCCGACAGCCGGTTCTGTATCGTATACTCAGTTAAGGCCTGCATCGCTAGAACGGTATCTTGCGTACTAGACCATCCACTATCGTGCAATCGCTGACAATTTAGCCATTCGACCATCTGCTTTTGAATGACGGCGTTTCGCTTTACGAATGTCAGTAGGCCATAGGCCGTTGTTTCAACATTGGAGGCCTCGTAAAGCGCTGGTAAGCGAGGCTGTCGATATGGCCTTTGGTTTTCGTACTTGTCACGTGGAGGATCTACCTTTACGCGACCCCAATAGCTGCATCAAATAACCACAGTGTTATTACATACTGACATGGATTTTGCTGTTTTATCGAGCTAAACTCTAAAGGAATACCTATACAGATTTTGCAAGAACCTACAAGCTTAATTATTTAAATGGCTGAAAAACCAACGCGTGCTCACATCATTCCAGCTGCTTCCATCTTGCGTTCATCAAGATATTTGAAAGCATCCTCCGCGTCGTCACTGTTAGCAATCGTGAGCGCGTAGGCAACAATAGCCAACTCATACGGGTCTTCCCAGTTCCGAATAATGTTCAATTTCTGTTCGAGGTAACGGCGGGCAGCATTTCGAGCCGTAGTCATGCGGGCTCCAACCTCGCCTCCGAGGTCTTTCACCTAGCAAGTTCAGTTGAATACGTTTGACATGACCATAAAGCAGTTAAACAATTACCTTCGTCACTCTCGAACAGATGGTAAAAAAAACTGTAGCCACTGTAACAATCATACGATTATTTATAATTAAAAATTTAATAACAAACCTCGCACAGGGTGATCAATACGTGTGCTGTAAGCGACACATTCGTATAACGCAGTCGTTCGAAATGTCCTTCAGAATAGGGATTCATCTTTCGGTCGTACGGGTAAGTGGAGTATTCCTGGAAGCTCCCTTCGTCTGACTGAGTGGACAGCAACCATTCCATGCCTCGCCGGATGACCGTCGGATCGATGTAGATGTAATGTTCCCATTCCTGGAAGGTTGCACGTTGGAAGGTGCGCAGGGCAAAAGCAGTCAGCCATACGCTAGGACGTCGGTACCATCGAAATACTGTGAAACTCCCATCGTCGTTTTGGAATTGCAGCTGTCGTTGATAAACTGTAAAAAGATAAGCAAACATAGAATGTAAAATCGACGAAGTAGATCTTTTTCCGTGCTAAGTGTTTTCGTCGGTGGGGGAAAAGTGTGTTCAGTTTGTTGTCCCCTGTTATGTTTGTATATGGTCTTCGATCGTCGTCAGTTAGGGGAGCTACCATATCCTAGCCAGCAATGGTCGCCCGTGGGATATTTTATTTATTTGATATAACAGGAAAGGTCTTAGATAGGATGCTGATTGCTTAACAGATCTGATATGCTCGTTGATCGATAGTGAGAGTGTTAGGGTGAAGACACTTACGCAGGTTAAGATAGATGAATGCATTTTTTTGTTCCGTTTGTCTGTACTGCCCGGTAAGTCGGAGGTACAAAAGCGTCCACATATTAGCAGCGAAATTAAACATATTCTGTTCGCCACAGAAGGACGGCTTTTCAATTAAGGAGCTTGCATTCACTGGCATCGTAGGGAAAGCTGGGCCCACCACGTCTCCAACAATTGACACTGTTGCCCGATTACTACCAAAGATGTATAGCCGGTCTTCTCTAAATGGCAGAATTGGTGTCTCTGTAATGTTGGTATCGAGGTATTTGATGAGGTACGCGCCTTGCGAGAGATCTAGCAACATCGAAATGTGCCTCTCTTGAACGATACCATCCGACTCGACAAACACTGACTTGGTCACCTGATCTTTAGCGATTTGCGTTTTAGCCTGAATTGTGACGTTGACCTGTCCCATACGGACGGGCACGATGGGCATGTATATTTCGAACGATTTCCCTGCTTTAACCTGCGACCGCCACAGTATAGAAAAGGAAGTATTGTGAGCTTTTATTTAAACAAACGTCGACGTAGATGTGCCAGTCATCTAGACAAGGAAACATAATCGTACCATACGCGCCTTCCGTTAGCAGCCATCGTTACATAGGTTGCGCGCTAACGACTATTTAATCCGAACTGAATTATTAACGTATAGACGATACTTACAAACACGAGATGTTGATGTTCTCCGAAGCTTGTTTTTGGCCTGTAGGAACTGACAAGGCCAAACGGGTCAACGTGAACAAATTTATAATCAGGCGAGTTCGCCAGCGTGACAAGTACCTCTGTCTCGTAAAGTCGATAGTTAAACACGGTAATACGAATTCCGATTTGTTCCCCTAGCCGAATATGAGTTGGCATTTCTACGGTCATGTAGAACGGTTTTGCGCTTGAAAACTGTAAAAAAAAAGTCAAAAGCACCCGAACATATTGTAAAGCCGTTCTTCGCCATTATCACCTGTCTGCGTGCACAAACACTTCAAAAACTGACACATACTGCAGCCGCATAAGTAACGCTTTGAAGAATTCAACGCCGACTGTTATCACTTCTTATTATAATAGTTATTAGTGCAAAAATATATCGATCACTGCTGCTTTGATGATTCAAACGTAACCCACTTTGATCATCCGATGTTGACTAGATTCTTATCGAATAGCTTTTAAACTTAAGTATGCCAGTCAAGTATGAAACTCAACCCAGCAAAATTCTGCACAAATTTAATTCGAACTCACGCTTACCGAGAGGGGCTTTGTGAGAATGCCGAAGCCAGTGGCTTCCGTCATACCGAATGCTGAAATCATCCACTGGGTAGGTACGTCCGGAACGGGCAAAGTAAAGATATAGCGGCCAAGCGACCCGATGTTGATGTCTTTCCACAACCAAGAGTTTGTGTACTGTAGAAGGTAGCGATTTGTGCGGAACATCCGGAAGTTACGAACGTCGACACGGTCGTCGGGGCAAGCTGTTTCGTCGGATCCATCCGAGCAGTCTCGAAAGCCATCACAGCGACGAGACGCCGGATAGCATGAGCCATCATAGCAACCAAGAAAACCCGCAGTAATGTTACACTCGTCACGGACACGGGTTACGCTTGCGTCGGTAAACACGACCAGACCAGCGTACTAAAAAACCATGACACACGCACAAAAGCTTCCGAAGTTTAATGCATAGATTTTTATTTTGTATTTTCTATTTATATCTCATTGTAGCGTTTGATACTTAATCCAGAGATGAAGAGCCGCTCGCCATTTCACCTATGGTGTCGTCTGTTCCAGCCCAGCGCACATATGAGCATGCAAAAGCTGCTAAATTTAGTATGAAATTATAGGGTGATTCAGATGCTTCAAGGGAAAAAAATTCAAGATAGGAGAGGTTGGTGAAGCTTATTTATTAAAATACATAAAATTATTAAGATATTATTATCACAAACCCGTACAAGGCCATTTCTCATTTGCGAAAGATCGACATCGATGATAGCAGGGCCCAGTAGAAGTGTAGATCTTTGACTAGACAAGTTTACGCTATAATGAATATGGCAAATTAGATATATATATATATATAGATACGTAGATAAAAGCCCGACCACTCTTCAAAAACTTACGGCGAACGTTCGATTGGCGTCAAGTCCATAGGACGATGATGGAAAGTTGACGTACGTGCTAACGTCGCCCATATGTGACATGGTCTCGTGCTTCAGAGTGCCATTTGTAGGTATAAAAGAATTCATTTTTTCGATCACTTCTGAATAACTGAGTTGTGTGCCTGCATGCATTTCGTATAGAGTTCTTTCAAGACCTGACAGGGCGACGTAGGCTCCAGGTGATCCGTAGACAGCGATTTCGACGTTGTCGCCAGTTTTGTCTTTTCTATTATTTAGTTGTACGGTGAACTTGTCCTTTGAAATGGCGTCTACCGAGAACGTTAGTGAATCAGCTATAATTCGGCCTTCGCGTTTAAGCACATCGAATACGACAATGGTCGCAGAGGGTGCCATTTCGGCGCTGAGTGAAACTGCCATCGTTCGAATCGATGAACTTTGCATGACTTCTTGTCCTGTCAAAAATACCATCCCTTTCGATACGACGATATACGAAAATTGGTCGATGAAATAGTTGGCGCGAACATGGAAGATAATATATTCGCCAACTTTTGGGGTCTTTGTGGACGTTGTCACCTGTATGTGATACCCACTTGGCGAAAACTCAGGGTACAGCAAAAGTTCACCATTCGCTCGACCCAGATAGTCGTCAAAAAAGGCCGCCTATTAAGCCATAAATCAAGACGGTTTAATTATTGTTAATGATCTATCGTGGTATGATGTACTGTGCACAGTATAGCTAGTTCAAACTTTGTTTGATATATATACTGTATATGACAAGAGAATCTAATGCGAGCCTGAACATTCGTTGTGGCTATATAGCAAAGATAATATTAGCTATCAATTTATTTTGATTTTATTATTATTCAAGCATTTGTATTGCTCATAATGGCAATGCCCTTCACAGAAATGATATAGAAGCTTTTCCAAAAATTCTTCCTAACAACCTAAAACCGTCATTGTATTATACCTCGATTCGGATCAGCGGAGGACTGAGCTCCTGCCCTCCAAGGGAGCTTCCAGTGTCGAAGCCGATTTCCCACATGTTGTTTTGGCCAGGTACCCGCACGGGAACCGTGTTTCCAGGGTTCCGCGACCCATGCACGCTGATGCGGAGAAACTCATCGATTCGCTTGCCAACAAGAGCTCCCCTTTCGAGCGGGGAATTGTCGTGATATGATAGAGCGACCTGAAATTTATAAGTAAAACATAACATGATGGGAGTAAAACAGGACTGAATTCGTAGAAAAGCATGCAACCTTCATGGTTCGAAATGTACACTACGTATCTACCACCCCATGGAAAAAAATTTCGATAAAAATTATTTAAGGTACTCACGTAAGCTTTAAATGGCATCCCAGGTTTGTAGACTTGTGGTGAGTTACCAAGGAAGGATAACTTAAGTGTGGAATTGAACACAATCGTAGCAGACTCTCCCATTTCGATGAGATCTAAAAACCGCTCCCCAACTTCCGCCTTGACCACGATTTTCATGCCGTCGAGTTTGGGACTAAGCACCAAAAGGTCGCGCACGGCGAACTTGAAGTTCATGAACCCTTCGAACCAACGGAAACTCTGCTCTATGGAACGTACGAAGTGGTAGTGTATGTCGTATGCTGGCCGGATGGGCTCCACGCTTGCCTTCAGCGTCAAATTACCCGTAACAGCAGCGCCAGACGTGAAACTTAATGGCAAAGAAGGACAGCAGCACGAACAAAGTTTTCGAATGGTATGTTCGCCTTTCGCATTTCTGGGTCTGAATACAAGGGTTATTTCTGCACGTGTTTCTTTAATACATTTAGCATGAATATCGATAATAGATTTAGAAAAGATACTTGTCGGAGACAAACTCTTACTTAGCCATTACAGATCCTTCAACAAATTCTTGTGACATGACGAAGTAAGTAGGCATGGTGACATTAACTTCGAACCGAGTCTGGTAATACTCTTCGACCCGGTAGCTGTGCTCCTCAACTTGACCTTGCGCTATAACTTGAATAGTCCACCAGCCATAATGCGGCTGCTCGGACAATGGGTACTCAAGCGAAACAGCTCCAAGATTTGTGCGACGGGAAAGCCAGCGTCTCATAACCGTTCTGTTTGGATTGAGCATATAGACATCCACCGCGTCCGAGAATGCCTTTAGCTGAGTTGTGAGTGGCAAAGCGCGAAATCTCACTGCAACAAAAATTAAGACATTAACACGTGTTTGCTTGCGTTAACGGGCGACGGAAAAATTTACTTTGACGCTTTGGCCACAATCGCAAACACAAACATAACTGACTAAACTGCATATCCTAATAATGACAATTGTATAACATAACAAACAGAGTTACTTCGCACGCTACCGTACCTGTTTGCCCCTGCATGTAAAGGGGTTTTTCCGTTTGAATGAAGATCGTCATGGACCTCTGTGAGAACTCTAGTATCGTTTCGTTCACAAACGCTGTGCCGCCGAGCACTCCATTAACGTTACCTTCCACGCGTAACTTGTAGCGACCTTGTACGCTCGTGGTTGGAACTTGCATGAGCACATCTGTAGACATGCCTGGATTCACCTGTGAATTGTTTTCGCGTATTGAAACTTCATCTTCTATTAATTAGACATATGCTGGTCCCTCCTACATCTCGTAACAAGAGCAATGCATAACGTATGATCATGAACTAAGTCTAATGTACCGTACGGTACTTGTGTGTATCGTAGCGTAACGACAAGTCGAACATCAGATTTACAAACAGTCACATAGAAAACTAGGAAAAACGTAATTTTGCGATTAGATTTTGCGAACAATTAGATCTCCAAAAAATGGTACATATAAAAAGTTCGTGGTTTTTGTTCGATCACAAACCTGTTCGGAGGCATGAGCCACTTCAACTCCGTCTCGCTGGATAGCGGCAATAACATTAATAGGGTAAGAATCTTCAGTTCCAAACAGCTGGACATATATACGGTAGATCTGACCGGGGCGTACGAAACGGGACGCTAAAATCAGGTACGTCCTAGTAATTAAAAACAAGCAGAGCAGAAACTAAGGAGTTATTTTTGCAGGAGTCGTATGACAGTTACATAGTATATAAAAGCGGCTGCGATAATGCAAAAGTACCAATTAATTAACTGTCTCTGAATAGATGCCAGTGTACGAAAATCAAGATTTTCTGTAGCGCGGTTCTGTTGCAGAGTTTTAATTAGCCCGTGTTTATTAGGATGTGGGTTTTTATGAGTAAAGTTAATCGTTTATGACGTAAACATCACACTGTTTACAAGAATAGATAAGGTTTTGTTTTACATAAATCTCTAACGTGGAAAATGGCCAGGAACCAAAGGTCGTAATGCAATATATCCACTCGATACTTACGGTTCACGAAGCGTTTTGATATTTGTGTTGTCAAAACTGAAGCTAAATTGCCCATAACCTCCGAGATCGTTGAACTGCGGTGACACGCCTGCCAGTAGGACAGCTGTCGCGACGAGAAGCGTCGTTAAAGCGCCAACAGGTCTGTCGCTATATCCTCCCATGGGTGTCATCTAAAATTGAAAAGATTGATTGAACGAAGTTACTATGTATTTAACTACTAGATAACAGAGTATGCTTGCGATAGATATCAAGTGACCCTTAGCAGTGCTTAAAAAAAAAAATAGGTCTTATGCATTGTCGAGGTCGTCGGCAGGTTTTACTTAGAAGTGATAATAAATACGTTGAGTCTGCTAAGTACAAATTCAAACTTAGAAGCCAAAAAAAATAGCGCCGGGATATGTCGTTAAATTACATAATTCGAATTATTCCCAGATCCAGAAAAAAGTGATTGTTGATATTTGTAATAATTAAACATATGGTCCAGCATACGATTTGTATCAGTAAAGAAAGTTATTTTATAGCCATTGCATAAAGATGTTTTATAGACATTGAAATCTCTCATATAAATATTATTGTCGATAACCCAGAAACGCTGGCACCATAACGTAGTATCTGTTAGATGCAGATAACATAATAGACCATCGTTTGACGCTGTTATCTAATCTTCGGAGAGACACTGCTTGTGGTAACATTAAACTTAGCCCTACAAATGCATGTTGTAGATACAACGGGTTTTCACTGAAGGCGTCATAGGTGATTTAGTGGAACGCTTACTCTATAGGTAGCGTAACTAGTTTTGGTCTTATGACGGTTCAGAGGGGGTGGTAATATGTCCGTGTACCAACCAAGTCTCTTCGATATGAGTCGAGCCATCAACTCAATGAGTACTTCCAAGAATAAAATAATACCCAAATTCTAATCGTCTTCATTTTGTCAACAACTTTAGAAAGAAACACTTTGCGATGCATTGCAGTCAAGATGCTGCCAAAAAAGAAATGATCACCGGCCCAGGCACGTATATTTGACTGCATTAGCGAAAGCGAATCTCACTTGGTTTGAATTATAGCAGAAACAGGTCATTACAAATCCGTCGAGTTGGGCCTTAGATAACGGACAAATAAAGGTCTGCTGAAAAAAACTAGCATCGGACAGCGGATCGGTTCAGTTTCAGCAAGCGAAAATAAACTACTATCACACAATTTGTTTTTATAGACACTATGCAATTAGATGTCGTGGCCTGACGTTACTTGAGAATCCCCTGGCGCTTAGATCCCAGTGACATATATGAAACAACTTTGGGCGCTCCGTTAGGACAAAATATTGATGTTGACCATGTTTTTCAGCGTATTTTCTAAGAACTATATCATTATTTGATGCATCGTCTTTGAACCTTGATACTTGTCATCACAAGTGCATAATTTTAAAATCAGGAACTGAGAAGAATATTATTTTTTTAGATAAAACTGAAATATAGCAGTAAACTAATGACACCCTTGAACTTTTCGGTCGTAAATAAAGCATGTTTTTATAGTTACACTTTTATCATGAATCTTTCGACACTTTTATCGAATGCCGTTGCTCAACGACATAGTACGGTTTAATGGACTGTTCGTCGTCTTAGAACGTGACGTTTCTTCATTGAAGCCCTTTAACAGGCGCGTACATACGTTACATTATTAGCTGGCTATATACGAAATAAAATAGTTAGCTATTATCTGTTTTATTTTAGAGAGATGGTTTTTGCCGCCAAGACGGAATAGCGATTGCGTAAACCTGGCCTTTTGATACTGGTCCCCATGAATCAAGTATATCCTATTAGTACTTCCGTGTCGTAATTCTAACGACACTTATTATAGGAACCACTATTTTTGCTATACATATTGTTAAGAGTAGAAAAGTAATATTAATGGGTTCGGCACAACGATTACCATTGAGCCTGTCACACTCTAATTTCAATAGTGAAGGTCCCCTACATGATTTTACAAACGATATTTTTGATTTTTGAAAACGATTTTTGACTGACTGTAAGATGTCGTATGAATTAACTGCAATCCTCACAGATGACTATTTGCTCAAGGGCGTCTGGCCCGCTCGATCTCTTCCAGGCCTCGCGAGAATCGTTGAACATTTTTCTAGTGGGGTGAACGCACGGCCATTTCTACACAAACGTATCTTTTGGTCAGGATATTAGCGGCGCTTGTACTTTGGCATAAAAATTACAACATTCATTTTCAAGTTTTCGATTTTAACTCTAGAAACCTCTGCGCACCTTCAAAAGTTTCGCCGCGCATCGTGTTCGTCTTATCGTACCCCAACGTAATCTATAAACGTAACGCGTGTAGCATAGTTTACCCGCTATCACTCTTCTCAGCAAAAGAAAAAAGATTTCTAATGCGTCATGCTTAACACAGAGTTCGCTCTAAAGTTTTAAGAGTGGTTATTTGTTTTTCAGCTCGGTTGTCAGTTTCCTACGTGTGACCATTTCGAAAGTTGTTTCCATTGTGCCTAGTAAATATATTGGCTGGTATTTCTAGGCTCTGTGGAGAGCCGAGATGGCTTTTTCGTGCCCCGATGATACCTTCCTTTATATCGTAGTTTATCAGCCATACGTTTCAAACATTAAGGAATACATCTGCCTCCATTTTAGAAAGTCGTTCGGTTACCGCCTCAAATTTTTCTTCAAAAACCTGGGAAATCTCTTCGTCCAGTATGCTGTGCGCTGGACCAAAGGAGTACGGGTGGCAAAAAACATGGCTATCTCATAGGGTTTCACCCTCACGTAGTAGTTCGCTAAATTTTAACAGTATAATTCCCTGAATTTCCCGTATCTGCGTTTCCTTATTTGTGTGCGGCATTTATATTTCATTTTGCTTATACTCTCGCAAGCCTTTGATGGTATCCGTGTTTCTCATCCTACTTATGGTGCACTTTCTTCGAGCTTCAAGCGTCTCCAAACCAAGTCTGTAAGACGCTACGTAAGCCGGCTAATAGCCTGTTTTCAGCGTTGGATAGCTTTATGATCGCGTGTACCCCCAGAAGTTATTTTGTAAAGTTTCCTTCGTCGTGCAAATCAAACTTCCATCCAAATATAAATAATAAGTTGAGCAAATCTTACACTTGCAGTATGTTCACGCCATCTATTTTACAATTTGTAATTATTGAATAGATAACGTCCGTACGAGTACCAATGCGGTCTGTCGAGCAAAGTTCAAACACCTCTCGTTATCAGTAAATGACAGTCAGTCGCCTTTAACCGATCTAAGCGTTTCGCCTATGAACAATCCACACAGATGCCACGCTGCCACAAATAGACGCTGTCAGTCAAACAGACTATTTGTATCAAATTGAGTTAATTAGAAAATTAATTAAAATCAAATTCTTCTTCCTAATGCTGGAGCGTTTGGCGACTAGTCGTTGACACGACCGTTCATAGCTTATTATTAGTTACAAGCTCTATTACAATGCTATTGTTTAGCTCAATAATGATCTGGTTGTGGGTACTAATTAATGAATGCGTGCGCAGGCATACGTTATAATTGACAGCTGTCGCGTCCCTCTATCAATCATCTATCTTATCTGATCTTATGACCCAACTCTGCGCTTAGCGTATATTCATTGACGGTAAACAAGACGACGACGACGACGACACCACGTATGCCCGAATGTGTCGTATTGCAGATAGCAGTATTTCTTGCTGTGCGGCTGGGTCCCCTTATCGACTCTGGGCAGTCTAACATGGAGAAATTTACCAACTAAAACTAAACAGGACGGAGACTGCTCCTAGCCTAACGGTATTTTACGCAGTGGTTAGTCCTATGAAAGGTCAAAATGGAGGTACTGGCATCGCAGAAGCGCCTAGTCTATATAGGCGAACAAAGAATCAAGAAGGAACAATTTTGAAAACGCACGCTGAAGGAAAAAAGGAAAAGAAAAACCGCCTGCCCAAAAAGAGCTAGCGAGAAAGTAAGAGTCGTCGATTGTAGCCGGCCGCTGTTGATTTTTGCTCACGATCTTCATTACGGGGCCAACGTCGGTCAGCCGAAACTCAGCGAAAACCTATTTTAGCTTTACATCATTTTCAGCTCGATCTTTTTCCGCCTCATTGTACCTCTTTCTGTGGGTTAGCTAGCTTTGGTCGTAGGACTCTGGCTCAGCTGCCGCATGCAGGTAAAAACAGACACAAGACATTTTTTTGAAAATAGATTTGTATGCCTAAGTAACCTTAGCGTTAAACAGTACTTAGGAAGCTGCTGGGCGTAAGCACAAGGCGGATCAATATGGCACACTGATAATACACAATTGATTTTTCCCTTGTAGCCGAAACCGCAGTATATATATGACATTCGCCATTAAATTGGCCACACAGGTTTTTAAAACCGAAACGATTATTTTAACTTGTGTGTAAACGTTACACTTATTGAACTTGGATCTCACTTCCTTTATTACTGTGGGTAAAAGTTTTACGACATCCATCCACTTAAAAACAACCACCCACGTATGCACTAGAGAATTGATATCTAAACAAACGACTAATAATTAATTTTAAACATCAAATATCGAGAACGTTGAGTTCCCTGTAGAGCCTGAGGATGGTTCGTTGATACCAGTATACCTCATACTTCCGCAATAAATCAGTGTCTGTGTCCAGTACGATATTAAAAAAAATCTCTCGTTCTTCGGAAATGTTTTATTTAGAATAAAATTGAAGCTGAAACTGCTTTGGTCATTACGTGTGTCAGAATGCCATGTCTGCTTGTGTTCCGCGCTCGTCGGATGGAGCATTGATGCGCCAATGAAGAACTGCCTGTAGGGAAACATAGCTGGAACAATTATCGGCGGTTTGGATACTCCGCCGGCCCAGCAAAGTATCTAGGCTATGCCTACTATTGTCAACAACAGCTAAATTCGATCGTAAGGTTCGGGTTTTTAATTTAATAATCGGTTTTAATCGGGTTTAATAATCGGGAGAGCGAATCTTCACCAATGACGTATGGCTAAGTATTTTTACATGATGTATGTTTCTCTTAAGAAATCAACAGTATCGTTATAACTAAAAGTAATATCTCCATCCCGTTCACAAATCGTCACTACAAAATACGACAATTCAGGACAATATTTCTATTGCTAATTTAACGCGTCTGTGTGTTGCATTTTTGCTGTTACCTTGGCAACGGTCTTCGTAGCATAGAAGAATCGTTGTTACAAAGAGCTAGTCTTAATGTTTTCATCTTAATAAAGAATATTGGCTTGGCAAGCTCTTAATGCCTAAACCAAACAAGCCACAAACTTCACTGGTTCCTGCCATACGTTCGTATCATATTGAACGCCGACCTGAGCTCGTCTAATCAGCTCAAACAATTTTATTGTAGCTAACCTTTTGTTTGAGATAAGCTAATGTTATACTTTGTTTTGTTTTGTTTTTCTTTTTTAGAGTAACATCTAGCGTTTATAACTCAGCTCGTTCGAAGCAATCGCTTACATTTTTTGAAAATTAAAAAAAATTATTTCCATTTTAAGGGTCGTGTGATTGAGATATCGGTAGACGCTTCAGACGTAGTGTTAATAAAAACACTACATTAAGTGGTACTCGATATGCCAAAAACATGTTACTAATAGAATCAAGATACTGCAATTAACCTCATGAAACAACAGTGGTTTACGCTTCAATTGGAAAAACTTCCACGTTTATAAGCACATCTTTCATTTAGAAATTGGCAAGGCTAGTTATTCTGAACTCGCGCAACGTGTTTGGCTCAGGAAATAATTCCGGCTCATTACTATCACCTTCTGAAGTGGCTGATACTCCCTAGCAAACAGAGTTACTAAATTATCTAGGAAAGAGCCGCTCCTAGAAGAGCGAACTCTTCCGAAAATTTTAATGTTGACAGCAATATATATGAGGTTTCTATTAGCTCGGGGTGGGTCATTATACGGTTTTCATCTCTTTTATAATAACAAATCGTACGTAGAATCACCGTATGAAGCTAAACTTGTGCCAGGCCACCTACGAGCCCACAAAAAACTCCAGGCAGCGAACCCGTTCATGCAGCTAAATAAATGCACTGATCTTCACAGGCTGCTGTAGCGAAACGGGTCTGGACTTATAAATGTTGTAATCAGAGCTAGAAGTAGAAAGAATAACAGAAATAGAAAAACGCCTTGTCAAATCCTAATGTTCACACGTGTTTTGAAGGTTACGGCCGAATAGGTAGAGCTTGCGTAGACCTGACCAAGTACAAGAGAAATGATATGATAATCGGCTGCCATAAGTTCGTAAGCTAAAAGTGAATTATCGCGTCCTGTACAAAAAATCTGAAAATGGGGACGAGATGATAAAAAATTGCGTATTATGTAATACTGTACATAATAAATAATATAGGTGCTACATGTAGATATTTTAATCTCCTTTCGGTTCTCGAAGATGGCTTATTAGACGTCCTTGCGAGTCAAAGTTAGCTCACATCCGATACAGCCCGATTTGTAAATTAAATTTCAACATACTGTAGAAACGACAAAATAAGGGTTCTTTCTTTATAAGCATTACATTTCCGCATACGAGTAATTACTCCTACAATTAAGCGCGTCAAAATATGCGTATACAGTCGTTAGTCACGTTTGACGTGCCTCTAAAATTTGGTACTTCCACCGTCATATACCATATCTGTATATCATGTTCGTTTCATTGTAGACACATATAATTTTGTTATTAATATAATAAAGCGCCGTGTACCTCTAATTCCATCTTTAAATTGAACCAATTCAAAGGAACCGTAAATACTTTAAATACTAGTATTAATAGTAATGCCAGCTGATCAACAAAGACACTCTCGACAACAGAAAATATAACGACCATTTCGTAATAGAGCGTTGCCATCGGCCAGCAAAATGGTCCGGTTCAGGCCCGAACGCTTTTCAGTAGCCGTTGGGATGATTCTATCCACCGAAGCATCGGAGTTATAGAAAACGGCTTGCGAGAGACAGGTGTTATGTTCAAGCATATACTGGTTGTAATGGGCTTCCCTGAATATCGCCCTAATTCCCGGATGCGGTGTCCCCACAAAATTTTTAGTCCAGCCTTCTAGATGGCAGCAGTCCATACTAATTCTATTATTATACAGAACTAAAGTAATGCACCGATATCTTTCGCGTCGATCAATACCCCGACTTATTTAATCTTTACCTCTTCGCTCGGACAGTGTCGTCATAGTGAGCGGCATCTGCTGTGCAAAAATTCAACTGTCTACTACTCCCTATACCATTTTTCCTTCTTTCCTTTACTCGTATACGTTTCTATTGTACGGTATATCGAATCGTAGTGTGAGCCCTTCCAGGATAAAACTAAGCCAGCCATTCTTCGTTAGACACTTTTTTTGATGACCAGGGCCCAACGATAGCGCTCCTTTATCACCAGCCATCTTCTGTTTCTGCCGCGCGTTGCATTGCTGCCAGTCGTCGTGGGCAACCAAGGTACGGCAACGACCGATCGTAGTAAATCCCAACGGCCTGTCCAGTTTGATTTTTTTTCTTTCCAAATGTTTGTTCGTCTGTCATACTATTACGGAACGCCTGGAGCACCATCAGTAGTATCGCTTGGACGATGCGATGTGTTTTCTTGCGTTACCATGGAGCATAACGCCGTCGCATCTGATCACACAGGATGCCACTGCTAGTAACGAGCGACAAAGCGATAACGACCGAGCCCCGGCAGCAACGTTATCCGAAAAATGCACATTAAAAGTAATTATGAAATGCTGCACATGTATACTTCTGACTACCGGAATCTGAATTTAGTCTGAAGTTCTGAAGAAATTAGATTTACGAGCGTAAGGTATTGAATAGAAATAGGATAGGTCTCTTGATACGTGTGTTGGGTCGGAGGACTTTGCTGGTATTACTGTGATTATGATTTGATTGACAGCAGCTTAGCAATCTGAATAATTCGAATATTGCCATGGTCTCCCTGCTCATAGAGTGCTGTCGATGCTATCCGACAATGGACGTTCAATTATCTATTAAACGAGAGTACAACCACAAATTATGCCATTTCCGCATAGTACAGTTTGTGTGGCAATTTTATCCTAATTTTCGCCTAATTGTCACCTGTAGCTTCAGCTGAAAAATTGCCACGTATGACAGATCCACCTCTATATCATTGTGAGTGTACAGAAACGTTCGCCTTCGATCGCACACGTGCCAATCGGTAGCTTGATTCAGCGCAGCAACTTCAAACTCTTTCAAATCTGGCGCCATTGGCTTACAGATCTCATTGATTTGAATACAGGTGGAAACAGCAGACGATCCTCAATGAGAGTCAGGTTATTGCTGTTCAGAAGAGGCACCACACCTGATAACCCAGATGACCAGCGAAGCCTGACCAAAATTCTTGAGTTCAACACGTCCTAATATTTTACCTGAATCGTAACCTATACTTTTTAAATTTTTTTCGAATAAATTTTATCTAAAACGTTGAAATAATTTGTGAAACAACCATCGATGTAGCAACGATCCATCATTTTACGACCCTGTGTTTTGACAGAAATTCATTTTAGGAGCATGTAGCGAAGCTACGATTTTCGGTAGGGACAGAATGGATAATATATCATCCGAATCCGGCACTATACGAATCTGCTATAGAAGTGCCTATATAAGTAAGTAGTAATAATAAATTTCGGTAACTATATGTTATATTTAGCTGATACGTACCTCCAACCTACGTCAAAACCTGACGTAATACAGATTTCCTTAATTTTTAAACCATAGTCGAGAGTCACCTAGGCAGTTACCGCCACAATCCGCTTGTACTCAACAATACACAGATAAGCCTCTTGTTCAGTTGTATCCAAATAAAAAGGTTTCAAACACTACACAACCAACGAAAGCACTCCTTTGCTCATAGCCTTGCTGTATATTTATATGTATGGTAACCTCAGTGAATCACTCTTGACTGTTTTTCAGAATTTATCGAGTAACGTGCATACACTTACGTGCATTACCACCGTACACACTCACATCTAACACCGTCGTCCATTCGGCCTATCGATGAATACCGAGATACCTCGTCACGCCTTTACTGCTAACTCACAGTACTCTAGTTGAAGTAACATCGGGAATTAAGAGCGCTATCTGCGCTATCTCCTGCTGCGGCAAAAGTAATCAAACCTAGTATCCGTAGTGTGAATATCCAAGCACAATGTAAATGCATAAGCACACTGCATCAGTAGAGTTGTTTCTTCATACAGTTTTCAGTAGGTCGTTGTATACCATCGTCTTCTCTGTTAGCCGTTGTCGTCACGACCACGAGAAGCAGAAGGCCCCGTCGGATTATCCGTTTCGCGTTAGTGTTTGTTCTATTGTTATCTAAGCGTCTGTCTGACTCTGTCAGCTCTATATGATTAAGTCCGATGTTGGCGACTGGGTTTTGACGTGCCTTGCCCCTGCTACAATCAGCCGGCGACTGCTACCACTGCCTCTATTCGCCCGTTCATCCACTGACGGTTTTGCGGCCCTCCGTAACTCCGACGAAGCTGCAGCAGCAGCCGCGGCGGTGAAAGCGGCAGTAGCAGTGATCCCCGAAACGACAAACATTCAAAATGAACGGCCAGCCGTCCAAAGTACGATTGGACTTAAGCCATCGCCGACGAACCAAGAGTCCCTGGCGCCACCTGGCGACCAGAACAGCAAGTGCGCGCGTCTTCGACGTCGAGCTACCGGTAACACAAGAGAACACTTTGGCAGGCCGGTAGCAACTACTTATCGCTGAGAACTTGACTAGTGCAAACAGTTCTGTTGATTGTAGTAACGATGCTTATGACGACGTCAGTACCTCAGAAACTGCAGGTCTGCCGCCAAAGGAAAAAAGATCCGGCAGAGCAACGAACCAATACTGATGCGGATGTAGCCGAACCGAAATCTATACAGGGTTCGCGGATAACGTCATACCTTTTGGTATATTTTGAGAAGCGAACGACTGCTGGCGGCAGCAGAAGCCGCGAAAAAATAGGGCATTTCTGTTTTGTTCGACACAGCAGCCTATCAAGCGGAAAAGCAAGCTAAGTGGCTGAGGAATCGAGTCGAAGGAGTCAAAAAGAATGACGACTTAGTTCTGTGGTTCTGCGTCTGGGTGATAGAAGGCGCGGGTTGCACCGCCCGACGCAGTTCGACTGTCAACGACGACGGCAGTAGCTATTATCTGGCACCGTAGAGAAAGAACAAGACAACCTCTAAGGAGTTAAAAAGGAATGGGTTATTAGCTTAAAAAGATCGCGATATGTGAAATATTGATGCTGAATTTTGACTGTATTACCGGCTTGGGGCGTAGCAGCTTCGGCGGGAGGGCGTCACTGGCCGGCAAACGTGGAAGATGTCATAGTTCCGTAGCTACGCATGGACTTTGTTTCTCGATATTGAATTAACTAAATGGATTTTAATAAAAGTGGACTAGCATTTTTTAGCTTTGTCTATCAGATGCGATTGTTGATGCCTGTCAGCAAAAGATCGCGAATATATACACACATTGTACACGTATACGGCATGTACTTCACGGACAAGTAATTCTATATAACAGCCACTACAATCACTCAAGCGTTTCGCACGGAACAGCATCAGCCATTTATCTTAATCACATGTGTGTAATAGATTGATACGAATCTTCATATTTAATAATAAGAAGACGCAGACGCTTTTGTCTGCTTTTACTTATCGCACCTAATAAAAGTCCGCTGACTTAATACTTCTCACAGCCATCATGCCTTTATAGCAATGTTGGCTGTCGGAACATCGGATCGGTGACAATCGGGGGGTTAAAATAGCCAAATTGCGGGTTCTCATTATTTGGGTCGCTTGCTACAGTACAGAAGTTGGTGTCGTTGTCTTTATTTGGGACAAGAACAATTAACGTTCCGATTTCTTATACATGGCGGCTTTTCAGCAATTCAGTATCTCTTATATAAGTACTCGTGGAAATTTTATACATATATATTGCTTTCTTTCTGTTGATCTCCGTCAAATTGAAGGTGCTCTATCCTTAGTCAGCAGTTAGTACAAAACACAATATTCGATTCTGAAACATCTCTGTAGTGTGGTTAAGAGCGATCCGTAAAGGACGCATTCTAGTCGCCGTAAAGAGAAACCTAGCGTTCATTGTTACGTCTTATTTCCGAGCTTCACTGATTTAGTGGAGCTCTTTGTCTATTTAGCGTCTTAACAACAGGCTCGACCTTACCCCACTCTGATCCCCACGGACTGTACAGTTTCTCCGATTAGTATCACTCGAGGTTAATTTGTCTGTTAGTTTAACTGTCAACTATAACAAAAAATGCGAGTGTTCGTTTTCCAAAAGCTATTGCATAGAGCTGACGCTTTCTATCATCTTCTATCGACCTTCACCCGGAAGCTGAATAATGTGCACATTAAAGGCGCTCAATTTCTTCCAAAGCTAGGAAGTAGTCTATAACGCTGTACACGATAGTTGACGTTTACCCATATTAGAATGAAAATAGATCCATTTATTGTGACACTTCAGATACATATTTGCTGTCCAATTATATTAGTCATACTAGTGTTATAAGAACCTGGGAGAGGTCGTAGCTCAATGTCTGGGGCCTCTCTAACTATCCACACATACTAATGTATGTGATTGTATGAACGTTTACCTAAATCTGTCGAGGTATTCTGGTCGTCGAAGGTGGATGTACACAAAAAATCAGACCTGATCTGGCGTCGAACAGATCGACATTATCGATACGCCTGATCGTGATACACGGGTTTTAGCTATTGGAGCTCAGACAAGTTGTGGGCGACCGTCTCACAGAGCAGGTAATTCAATAAGCCACCGCTAGCACTCATTTCCTAAAAATATGGAAAAGTTTCACGCGGCGTTGTTAGCTTGTGCGATTTCGCGGTTGCTACGTGCTATCTCTGTAAGTGCTCTGAGACGCATATGTCTGCCGCTAGCTTCTTCATAAATAATAGATACACAATTTGGTGGCTGTGTCGCATAGGTAGAACTACTTTAGCAGAGGCCTCGACAACAAAGACAGATAATTGCCTATCTATGCGCTTCCTCTCTGACTCGTGAAGTTTCAGACAACTTTCAATGAATGTTGATAGTCAGAATATAAAAAAAGTTCACAAAAAAGTTGCACGTGTTAACTTAGAGAAGTAACGTCTGTGTCTTTGCGCCCATGAGTACTAGCTAACGACAGACAACATATAATAATTAATTGGTAACACGCTTGCGTCAAGTACTTCAATTACATCTCTTTCCTTTATCTCTGAATCACATTTGTGTTGAATCCACCGTTCTGTTCATAGTACAGATTCTACATTATTTCTAGGTGTGATGTTGGTTGTTGGAGACTGGGATTATCGAAACGATACTTATTCGACTTTTCAAGGCATGACGACAATTGAATTTCTGACGTAGAGGCTAAATGTTATAGGAATCAAATATATAGTGGTCAATGGGCACACGAACATGACCTTTCAATTTACAGACGCAACATCTGTTAATTTACGTTGTATAGTTTGTGGCTTAGTAATGAGTGTCGATAACGGCCACTGTGCTCGTACTTCCTTAAAAGTCGAATAAATTTCAACATATCAAACAACTTATTTGAATTACTCACCATGTCTTCTTTGACTGAAACTTAGGTTAGATACGCTACTATGTTTTTAATTAACATTTTGGGTTTATCTCTCTCATATGTGTCTATATCTCCATATAAAGAAATTTTTTTTGATAATCCTATTATCAGCAAATGATCTGTTATATCAGAATAGTTATTTCTTTAGTTTTTTCTTTCTCGTAGTTGAAATTCTTTTTCCTGGTAAGCTGCTACCATCCGAAGATGTTTTTTTTGGAGACATCGTGTTCCATGTATTTTTTAGATTTTATCAATAATTTTTCCGTCTAATTTTTACTAAAACATGATCCGCGAGTCCATTTTGAAAGTAAACTATACACATAAGAAGACAATCAAAGACAAAAGCACATATTAAAATTCTAGTTAAACAAACAAGTAGGTCTCAATAGCTAATAACATTTGAGCACGATCACTCTTTCAAGAAAAACGATGAATAGCTAACATTCGAAAAATCATATGCTGGAGACACGCAAAAACGCTCACCTCCTGTAACGGTTGCTATCGACGTTTTGGCGCGGCTGTCAGAATCAGATATCCTCCAAAAATATCACTAAACGATGTATCATTATCGAGTCGTGACGTGCGTCTGTGCTTTGGCCTTACAGAATAGCCAAGGTCTACACATTTCCGATACATTTTCTTCACTTCGGTCAAATCACTCAGGATAATTCGAATTTTGCAGCTCTTCGATGCCTTCTAAGGATCGTATTTGCCATTTTTACGATGGATCTACAAAACTATTCCTGGGCGCTAACGTCTGTTAGGCGCTAGCTTAAAGGTGTCGCCATGGCAGCGCAAACTGTGCATAAAGCCCCATTGGAGACACATAAATGCGGCAGGCAGGCAGGCAGGCAGGCAGGCAGGCGGAGTGGGTCCGATTCATATTGTTATCATATAGGAAAGGTGTTTTACATGTTTTGGATCGAGGCACATTGCTAGAGTTCCTGATCGAAATTCTTGAAACGTTTCGGTTTTTATAAGTTAACGTAGATTTACGGTGGTATTTCACTGCTAATTCAACAACTATGCGAAACCTGAGAGAAAGAATTCCAAATGGCAAATTTACCGGTAGCGATAGGTATAGTGATGAACACTATTAGCAGACCCTATTGATCAACAGCGAAAACGAATGAATATCAGAATTGTGACTTGTGTTACTTGCTAGAACTATAATTAAGATGCTGCCTTAAAAAACTACGCTTAGCGAAACGATTTTTACCTATGAAATTACCTAGCTTATTTATTGTTATTTTTTTTTTAAGATTATTAATACATGTAAGAGAGAATAAAATCTTAAATAGTTCAACAAAGGTCCAACACGTTAGAGATGAGCGAAAGTTTCTATAATTGTGAAAATTTGGAATAACTTAGTGGTAATTGTACAGAGGGCAATACGACATGGATGCCTGGCATAGCAAAATCTCTAAAAAACCGACATTTCGAATTTAAATATATTTTTAAGAATTGCTGAAATGATAAATAACTATTAGTACTAGATGTATAGAAAATTAAATAGTTCCTAAATAAATAAATAAGCTTTGAACTTGCCTGGAAGGTAGCACTTGGATAGGAGCGCGGTCAATCACGAAAAAATCACGTGGCAATTGGTTTGCTCATCGCATAGATAAGCCCCAGCTGGGATATACAGGAAAGGAGATATCGGAAGAAGATATAAACATCTCGTCACAACATTTAGTGGAATATGTCGATCATGAGCAGAATAATACAGTATTGAACTTACAGTTAAAGGTTATTAGGGCAAAAAACTAGTAGATGTGGCAAAAAACGCTAGTTGTAAGCTGGGCCGATCGCTTGCTGATTTAAGACCATGAAACGTAAGTGACGTGTTAGCAATTATTTCATCTAATGCTATGTGAAACAATCTATGCAGTGCGTAAAGTACGTGACTAACGTGGTAATACGCCCCAATCGGTTTAAGTTAGGGAACAGAAACTTAAAACGATTACAGTTAGAAAAACTGGCTCTAAATGACCTCAAAGCTATTTTTCGATAAAAAAAATTGAATACGGATAATAATATGAATAATATGGGAATATAATAATATTATAATGGGAAAGGCGCTAAATATTATAATACCTTCGGTGGCTAAATCCCTCCAAATTGATGGTATTCGACGGAATCTTGAACCAGTGCTAAAGTAATCTGTCGTCAGGAAAAAATTAGTTGTCTGTAACTGTACGTCATGTAACATGGTTGTAATCAAGTCGAAAATAGTATTACTTAGACAAAGAATTGCAGTCCCGCGGTAGCTTACTGAATAACGTGTTCACCTAAAAACTTTTGGAACGCGTTGTAGTCTAGGTTCGCACCCGCGCGTAGGCATCACGGTTCGTTCTGTGCTGGGCGCTAACCGTTGTCCTAACTGCGATACCGGATCAAAAACTTGTAGAGTTACTATATTGTACTTTATATATTGGAGAAACTTAAAACATATAACAGCCTAGTCGTATGAATTACTACAGCACTGAAGCGAGAAAGCATGCCAACAATCAAATCAATAAAGCAACATATATTATATATGCGAAAAGTTCCAATTACTTCGAAAGCGTAGCGCTGAGCAGTGTTAAGGTGTACTACGAGGACCTGAACATATATGATAGGTTTCTCTGAGGATCCATAAAAAGTTGCAATAGTGGTGACCATATCTAATGGACACGAAGTAAATGACGAACCGTTCTTAATTTGCATGGGCCCGTTCTTCACACACCCGAATAGGTGTGTGTGAAAACCTGCTTAAAAATTACTTTTGTATAGCAAATTCAACTGCAAATTGTCATTGTAATTATAATAGAAGAAAGAACAGCATGGGCAATTTTAAAAAATCTCATTTATTTTTCAATGTACTGCGCGGTAGCAAATATGCATTCAGAATTTAGTCACTGAACGGTGGCAGACCAAATAGCTCTGGTCGGAAGTTTTCCAATGAGTTAATGCAAATCGTAGGTTCTTTTCTCTGTTCGGGTGTGATAGCTTTAGGATCCGGAACCATGACAACCTACGACACCAATACATCATTGAATAACGGTAATGTTAACGAGACATTTATTGCATCAAAGTATCCTTTACGAATCTAGTCTGTTGATGCAGAAAGAGAAAGCAAGTAAAGCGACATTATAATATAGTAGCGCGTCTTAAAGGCCGCTTTCAAAACAAATATCAGCTCCTTTTTAGCAATACAGCATATTCGATGTTTTTTCTGAGACTTCTGAACTTCCATCGACAGTGTCGGCAATAGTTGAAGTTATTTTCTATGGTTGCGATGTAGCCTGAGTAGACACAATGCGGTGTCTCTGAACTGCTTAAAGCTAGTTCACTTGTAGCATTATATATATAATAACATTACCTAACTTAATCTTCTACTTTATGGGAGTTTTTAAATCTATGCACACCTGCATGTTTGCCGCTAACGCGGCGCGAACGCCATTTGGAGCGTCTTCAAACACCAACACTTGGCCACAAGCTTCGGGTCCTTCGATGGGGGGCGAAAAACGCCTGGCGCACACCTATAATTATTATAATGTATCGTAGAACAATAGGTGTACTAAGCTTCTGTCAGTATCGAAGTGCCGTTTCACGGTACAAACATTTACCGAGCTCCTACAAATTCTTCAATTATAACGAAGTACAGACAAAGTTCACTATGGTATTATTCTGTTCATGTCAGCATCATATTGCCGGTTAAAGCAAACCATGACTCACTTAACAAATATAACTAGAATATACTTTTCTTTTTGTTTATAAGTAGCTAGTATAGATTAAAATATTGAATATTTACTGTGAATATGTAATGCTAAAGAAAAAAGGCGCAGTCACTTTCTCAGAACCTCATGCTCTACATAGCTAACAACTAGCTTCGAAATACAGATCACTGTACGAGGTGATAGTTTGACGTACCAAGAAGACATCGGGAGCCGGCTTTCCTTGCTTAACTTCAGGGTCGTCGCTTCCACTCACGAGATGAAGAAAAAGCTTAATGAACTCTTGATGATTCCTTGTTTTTATTTTAACATACTCAAGTGAACTGCCAGTAGCTATGGCTATCGGAACTTTATGCTTGTGCAGATGGCGAACCAGTCTGTCGGCACCTGGCATAAGTTGACAGTTACCTATTCTCGAAGGAAGAAGCGCATCCAGTTTTTGGAGAAACTCATCAGCAGTAATCGGCAGCTGATAATGCTCAACTGTAATTTTACTGCTAACAGCTCGCGATGTTCCTCGTAAGCGGTTGGCCATTTCGTGGTTGTAGCGATGTCCGAACCCCTTAAGTACCTCGTCAAAACATTCAAAATAGATATTCTCCGTGTCCAACAAAAGGCCGTCCATATCGAAGATACAGTGGGTAACCGGTCTGTAACTTGTGTCGACATTGAGAATCATGTCAGCTATGACAGAGCTTACAGGACTTATTTCGACTTCAAATTTGTTTGAATTTTTACACTGTTGCTACGTGTTTATGGACGACGGGGCTTCGAACGTCACTGGCATCTGCTCGCGCAGTAAATATAGAGCTATTGGTAAACAAAACGATAATGGATTCACTGCGCTGGTCAAGCACAGGATCTTTACCTTTCTAAGCCGGTGTGATGCCTTCTGTAGACACGAGGCAAAATAGAGAGGAGGTGCGCGGCAGCGGCCCGAGAAAGGGTAACGCTTTGCAGCAGTCGGCGAGCGCCCACTGAAAAATTGTCCCCAATGATCAAGTGCAATGATACTGGGTTCATTTTGAAACCGCCGCCGCACGACATTTGCATCTGAGCAAAAATATTGCATCGTCAATAATAGTTTTAAAGTAGGCTAAAAAATCTATTATAACAATCTATAGTATCGTTAAATTTGAATGTGATTTGCTTAAGGTTCATGTAGCTCTGCTGAACGAATACAAAATATATTCATACGTGATTAGAGTGATCGCCTGAACCCATAAATAAACGGCGTTCTTGCAACAATTTATAATCCGGGAAATCTTCAAGGGTGGTCCGTTATGATCAGATTTACGGTCATGGCGACTGCTGTCAAATTAGATTTCCGTCGCAAAAAAGATGTATAGTTTTTGCTCTGCAAATAGTAAGTAGTACATTGTCTTCTATGTAGTTGCAGTAATATAGATTCGTTATTTCCGTCCCGACGGCGGTAATATCAGGCGAGATAGATGAGCCTGAAGTACATTAGGCCTTTTACAGGAGAACCGTTTGTTATGAAGAACAAGTACACTTGACTCGTGTGTTACATCTTGTGTGAAATATATACATATAATTAACGTTAAAAATATTATTATCTTTTATCTAGCGCAATGTAAACCAGCTTTCAATCAGATAGGCTACACCATTTTTACAATTTAGACGCATTACTAACGTTAACAAGTGGACCAGTCTCTACTGCAAGACTGGAGTCAGTCAGTGTCTAGTATTAATATGAATACTTTTGTTTAGGGCGAGTACACCCTGCAACGATAGATTTTATTGAATATATATATATATTATTTAATTGCGGCAGAGTCAGAGTGCCTAACAAGCGTAGGCGCCACCTCTGCTTTCTTGTTGGGAGTCAAAAAATGGTGCTTCATGGGTAAGTGGCCTGAAAGCCGTACATTAAGGCCAGATAATTTTCAAGCCTTTTTTAGAACATAACATTCCGTCAGCATTTTTGCAGCTGTAAAATTTTTCGCCACCAAATGTGCCCATGGACCTGTGTATCTATACTACTAGACTTTTTGCAGTTGCTATCTACGAGTTAAGCATATAACTGAGTATATCGATTCTGTAACATTACCACTGCATTTCGATTTTTCCTATAAATTAATGTAATAAAATCACTCGTATGGGCGTTTATTCAATGCTAGACCTAAGTAACATTTCCAGTAATTTTATCCAGCAGTGAAACAGTTTTTGGTTTCCTGATTTATTATTATTAAAGATTATTATATTATTTATTTATATATATATTATTTTTTTTTAAATTTTATTTTTATAATTTTTTTTATATTTTTTTTATTTTATATTTATAATTTATATTATATATATTATATATATTATAGATATTAAAGATAAAAAAATAAAAAAAAAAGTTAAAATGATATTTATATATTGGACATTCGTTTTAAACGTGCATCTTTATAACAACAGGGACCAAATAGGAAATATTAAACTAGATTCTTTACTCTAAGTGTATCTTACTGTACGTACTGTATATAGTCTACCAGTAATTTTTTTGTCTTTTATCCTTTTTATCATTGTATTAAGATTTTGCGCCGGCCATAAAAAGTAGAAATTGTTCAACTTTGTGATCATTTTTACTAATTTCATGTCAAACAATCAAATTTAAAGCCTTAGGAAGATTACCTAACTGCCAACATTTATCTCAAAAATGTACATGAAGCATTTCTTAAGGAGCTATATCTTAGTTGTATCGTATATTTGACTTGTGCGGTCGCTTTCTCTTCTATTTAGTGTCATTTGAAAACATTTAACTATCCAAAATACGAGATTGCAATGTACGAATATTTATCCTTTATTACATTGTACCGCTAAGATTCTTTAGTCACGCGCGCCATTATCTGCGTCACAATGTAAGCGGCTTTCACTCTATATCATGGCAGTAACGACAGCCCTTCAAAAAGGCATTATTGCATTGATCTTTTTTTTTGTTTCTATTTAGTTCTAACTATAATGTGAAGTACCTATTACGCCTAACAATGCTAACGCGTATGTCTAAAATCGGTTTTTCAAACGTGCAAATTCCGTTATAATATGTTACATTGTTGCCTAACGAAGACTTCTTTTGTGTGTTAACAGGAAGCTCGTTTTTTCGGGAAATTACCCAAACAGGTTTCTACAGAAGTGTACCAGTTCGTGTGTTGTCTTGATTGCTATTTATCATCAGGTGCTGCCAGCACCTGAGGGTTCCGCTTTGATGTGTTCAAGCGAATCGGTACATAACGTTGCCTCTGCATGAAGCTCCGACGGTACGGTAAGGGGATCCGGAACCAACACGACCTAGATCGTTATGAATAATATTATATGATTAAGTCGTTGGTATTTACACCTTGTCGAGAAGAAGTACTAGGCATGCGCACTAAAAGCATAGTTGCTTCATTCTGGTTAGCTAGAATTTAAAGTACTAGTTCCATTCTTTTTTGAAAGCGTTAAGGATATGGGAGGTAGTTAGTGAATGCTATGACATTACGCCTAGTCTTAATATCTCTGTAGGTTAAAGACATATTACAATTTTTACGCTCCATGCAAGTAATGTTGAGATTAGAGAGTAGTTTTTAGCTTAATTTTTTTTTATCAGTTGCTTATCAAGAAAAACTAACTCATTACCAGGCGATAAACCGATACGTAATACAACGCATTAAAACTCTGCAACGATTTGCAAGGCTCCCTTGCTACGCTGAAGAAGATTAGCAGACTACGTCCGTGAAAGCCTTACACGTTAGTTACCATTAGCTTTACATTATTCAACAGTTCCTGTACGAATCAATAGCATACGCAACTCATAATATCTGCGTATACCGTGTCCTGCCTCAAACAGTATTCATATCTTGTGCACTGCCTAACAATAGGTATTTCGTCAATTCAGACCTGCACGTTAGCTGCGAGAGCCGACCTCACCCCATCTTCAAACATTTTGGACCTTCTTGTGCCCGTCTGGGTCTTCTATAGATGTAGAAAATCGCTTCGCACACACAATGAAGGCGTCCGGAGCCGGTTTTCCTTTTTTACCTCAGGTTCTTCTGACCCATTTAGGAGATGGTTGAATAATGACATAAAAGGCAGATGTTGCATGGTCTTCAGCTTCATTGAGTCTAAAGAGCTGCTTCTACCAACAGCGATGGAGATGTTGTGTTTCGCCAAATGCGGCACAAGTCGTTCTGCTCTCGGCATTAAGTTTCACGTTGGCAGAACTGCAACTGCTTTTCGTTTGACTCCGTTTCAGGAACTCTTTTCTTGTAAATGAAAGCTTGCAGTACTCAATGATAATGGGTGCACCATCAAGTAGTGTACTGCACAGCACATGTGAAGCTTGAGGGTATGGCGATGGCCAAACTTCTTGAGGATATGTCATCGATGATCTGAAAATATTACTTCTCACTGTCGACTAACAGACCGTCCGGGTTGAATATTCAATGTGTAGCGGGACAGTATACCGTATTTAATCGTTACTGAACTCAGTGCATCGCGCTGACGGGCCGTGTCCTTAAAGCCCAGTTTACATACTAGACTCACGCAAGTCTATACTTAGGCTAGGGCAGCAAACCTGCTTTTCATTGTATATTCGGAATGGCGGGAGGATCGAGAAGCGACAGCCGTGTCGTACTGCTGGCAGGATGAGCTCTCTGACGAATGTTACGATTGAGGCGTTTGTCACAGAATTGTCTTTCGATAGGCGGCAGAGTATAAGCCGTCAGCGAGGAAGTCGTTGTCTTTTGAAAACAGATCGTTTTTCATAAGCGACTTTGACCCATTTTTTGGTATTTTCACTCACGTACGTTCGACATTTACACTGATTTATCTTATAAACAGGTAGCTCTCTAAGACCTATAGGGCGCTTCATCTTATGCAACATAACCTTGCTTATTCACCCAACTATCACTAGCCTTTTACGACAGTGATGCTTATTATTGGCAGTATATCGAAACTGGTAATGGCGCCATCTTCTGAGATACTTCTGAAAATAGTTAATGTCTCGGGTTCGCAGGGTTACTACATAGAGCCCGTGGTATGCATATATAAAATTAGGGTCTATGAATTTCGTGCCGTTTTTTTTTCTGTTCTTTTTTTTTCATTAGTAATGATATAAATAATCCCCTTTATTGGGATATTGAATATACCTGTACACAACCCATTACGCAAAACCATTTTTAGCTTGCTATGCTCTGTTTTTCTATGGCTGCATTTCTGCCGTGATAAGTCAGAGTTTAACCACGAATTATTAGCGCTTTTCATGTGTACATGCTTAGTGAGTAAAAATAGGCAATTGTGAAAGTTTGCTAATGCTCTAGGTAATGCCGAAATCTATAAGGTAATGTAACCACAAGGGAAATTTTGGAAATGTATCCTATGCAGTTTTCATCTTGATTCTTAGCGATATTCCTCTCGCGTAGGCTCGCCGTCGGATAAAATTAAGGTGTCATTTTTTTCGAGGTTCTGCCAAACTGTTATCTGCTTCTGCTATAAATAACTAGCAGAAAAGAAACGACAAAGCAGTGAAGGGTCACAGCAAGCCGCAACTGCGTATTTGAGCTCCATGAGAAGTGATTCGAAATGGTCGAGGTGCGCATTGACACCTGTGACTCAGGTAGACAGAAGAGAACACGATGCCATATTGTTTTTCAATGACTTGTCACGTCTCCATCACGTGCGATGCGCTGTACTCGTGTAAAAGGCCGCGTCTTGGCCGAACATATGAACAACGCATATGTGAAGTGTATGAAGTCATCACCCAAAAATGCTTCGATTGTGAGGTTCGTTGAGAGATACAGCCTTCTCCAATTTCGCTTTGTTCGACGGGTAACGAACGCGCGTACACTCTCAAATAACCTTGAAGGTAATTGAAGGAGTATAACTTTGTACGGTTATACTCGTATGTCATCATAGCTTTATATGTCTATTTATGTTATTGTTGTCGGGTACTGAGGCTATTTCTGAAGAT